CTGTAGGCTTACTTTCTCAGAGGTTTTACCAGTGTATAAGGAGCAAAACGGAAAAGGCCAGCGCATAGCACAATTCAATATGTGGCTAAAGGAATGGTGTAAAGGGGAAGGCTTTGGATATATTAGTCACGATGTCAGTAGCTGGTCCAATCAAAAGATGTACAAAAGAGATGGTTTGCATCCATCAAAAAAAGGGACTGAGTTACTCGGCTATAAATTCACAGATTTTCTGGAGGGAAATTTAAACTAAACAGCGGGGACAGGGAGTTAATTGATACGGAACAACCCTGTCCCCGGCAATTTAAAAACTATAGGGCTATCAGTGCATGTAGCACAGATGTGTGTGTGGACAAGAATACCAACCTTGCTACCAATCAAAATGAAGCCTCTAATAGCGAGTGCCATATAAAGTGCACTAACCAAATAGGTGGTAAGACAATAGGGGAACTCAGGCACCACACAGGTTATGTAGAAAGGAAACACAGGGCCACCCACAAAGGACTCAAATGTTTATACACCAATGCACAAAGTATGAACAGCAAACAGGGTGAACTAGAAATTCAGGTTAATGAGGGCAGATACGATATTGTTGCCATTACGGAAACATGGTGGGATGAAACTCACACATGGAACACACAGCTAGAGGGATTTAAATTATTTAAAAGAAACAGACCAAATAAAAGAGGAGGTGGAGTTGCTCTCTATATAAGAAATAACTACATCTTCACAGAAATAGAGTACAACAATGATAAAAACTGTCTTGAATGCATTTGGGTCAATATAAAAGGGGGGGGGAATGACATTGCCATAGGTGTATACTACAGACCACCCAACCAAACAGAGGAAATAGATGAACTTTTTGCTAGTCAGCTAACTAAGGTATGTAGGAAGCACATCACAATAGTAATGGGGGACTTTAACTACCCTGACATCAACTGGGAGACAAACTCCGCACCAAGTGGAAGATCAAACAGGTTCCTGGCAAACCTAGCAGACAACTTTGTCTCCCAAAAAGTAGAGAATGGAACTAGGGGATTAGCCATTTTGGATCTAATTCTCACTAACAGAGATGAAATGATAGACGGTGTTGGAGCCATAGGAACCCTGGGAGGAAGTGATCATGCAATATTAGAATTCAACATTATAGAAGCACAACCAATAGAACACAGTCAAACTAGAGTCTTGGACTTCAAGAGAGCTAATTTCAATAAACTTAGAGAGGGCTTGGGAAGGATTCCATGGATGAGAATCCTCAAGGGGAAAACAACTCAAGAAGCTTGGGAAATTTTGAAAAATGAGATAATAAAAGCACAGTCTAGCACAATACCAACAAAGAGGAAAAATAACAGCTCTCAAAAGAAACCAGCATGGCTGCATAAAGAACTCTCTGACAAATTGAAAGATAAAAAGGACAAGTATAGAAAGTGGAAAGAGGGGAACATAACTAAGTTAGAATATCAGCAAATAGCCCGAGCCTGCAAAGATGAAGTGAAGAAAGCCAAGGCTCAAAATGAACTGAGGCTTGCGACCAAAGTCAAAAATAACAAAAAAAGCTTCTTTCAACATGTAAAAAACAAGAAAAAAGTGAAGGAAATGATTGGTCCATTAGTGGGTGGAAGTGGCAAGAAGGTGACAAGCAACAGGGAGAAAGCAGAACTATTTAACTCATTTTTTGCATCTGTCTTTACACAAAGGGAAAAAACAGACCAACCTATCAAAAATAGTGCCACAAAAAACAAAACAGAAACACAAGTTAAGATAGGCAAGAAAATCGTTAGTGAGCACCTGTCCAGCCTAGATGAGTTCAAATCGCCAGGACCAGACGGATTACACCCCAGAGTTCTCAAGGAACTGGCAGATGTGATATCGGAGCCACTGAACTATATTTTTCAAAGATCCTGGAACACAGGGGAACTACCAGAGGACTGGAAAAGAGCTGATGTAGTTCCCATCCTCAAAAAAGGAAAAAAAATGGATCCAGGAAATTACAGACCTATCAGCCTGACTCAATACCTGGGAAGATCCTGGAAAAGATAATCAAACAACGAATCAACGAACACCTAGAGGCAAACAAAGTCATTACTAAAAGCCAACATGGGTTTGTCAAAAATAGATCATGCCAGACAAATCTTATTGCATTCTTTGACCAAGTGACAAAATTAGTGGATCAGAGGAATGCTGTGGACATAATTTACTTGGACTTCAGTAAGGCATTTGATAAAGTAGATCACAACCTACTACTTGACAAGATAGAAAAATGTGGGGTAGACAGAACCACCACCAGATGGATCCGTAGCTGGCTGACCGGCCGTACTCAGCGAGTGGTCCTCAATGGAACTGCATCTATATGGAGGGAAGTGTGTAGTGGGGTGCCCCAGGGCTCTGTTCTGGGCCCAGTACTCTTCAACATCTTCATCAACGATTTGGATGAAGGGATAGATGGGGAACTCATCAAATTTGCAGACGACACCAAGCTGGCAGGAATAGCCAACACTCCAGAAGACAGGCTTAAGATACAGAAGGATCTGGACAGACTTGAACACTGGGCACTAACTAACAAAATGAAATTCAATGGTGAAAAAAGCAAGGTTCTACATTTAGGCAAGAAAAACCAAATGCACAAGTACAGCATAGGTGGCACCATGCTCAATAGTAGTAACTGTGAGAGGGACCTCGGAGTCCTAGTAGACAATCACTTAAATATGAGCCAGCAGTGTGCTGCAGCTGCCAAAAAGGCCAACACAGTGCTAGGCTGCATTAACAGAGGGATAGAATCAAGATCACGTGAAGTATTAATACCACTCTTCAATGCCTTGGTAAGGCCACACTTGGAATACTGCATCCAGTTTTGGTCACCACGATGTAAAAAAGATGTTGAGACTCTAGAAAGAGTACAGAGAAGAGCAACAAAGATGATTAGGGGACTGGAGGCTAAAACATATAAGGAACGGTTGCTAGAAGAATTGGTATGTCTAGTTTAACGAAGAGAAGGACAAGGGGGGACATGATAGCAGTATTCCAATATCTCAGGGGCTGCCATAAAGAAGAGGGAATTAAGCTATTTTCCAAAGCACCTGAAGGCAGGACAAGAAGCAACGGGTGGAAACTAATCAAGGAGAGAAGCAACCTAGAACTAAGGAGAAACTTCCTGACAGTGAGAACAATTAATCAGTGGAACAGCCTGCCTCCAGAAGCAGTAAATGCTCCAACACTGGAAGTTTTTAAGAAGAGACTGGACAGCCATTTGTCCGAAATGGTGTAGGGTTTCCTGCCCGAGCAGGGGGTTGGACTAGATGACCTCCAAGGTCCCTTCCAACTTTACTACTATTACTATTACTAAAAAAGATGTTGAGACTCTAGAAAGAGTGCAGAGAAGAGCAACAAAGATGATCAGGGGACTGGAGGCTAAAACGCCTAAGGAACGGTTGCAGGAATTGGGGGTGTCTAGTTTAATGAAGAGGGGGGACATGATAGCAGTGTTCCAATATCTCAGGGGCTGCCCCAAAGAAGAGGGAGTAAAGCTATTCTCCAAAGCATCTGAAGCAGAACAAGAAGCAACGGATGGAAACTCATCAAGGAGAGAAACAACCTAGAACTAAGGAGAAACTTCCTGACAATGAGAACAATTAACCAGTGGAACAACCTGCCTCCAGAAGTGGTGAATGCTCCAACACTGGAAGATTTTAAGAAGAGACTGAACAGCCATTTGTCTGAAATGGTATAGGCTTTCCTGCCTGAGCAGGGGGTTGGACTAGATGACCTCCAAGGTCCCTTCCAACTTTATTATAATTATACACACACACACAATTATTTCATTTGCTTTTGGGAGTCTATGGCTCTTTCTGTTCCAGCACCTGTTTCCCCCCCCCCAAAATCCTGCAACACCAGTTCATCATCCTTAAATTGCAAGCAGAGATACAGAAGGAAGGGTTCCAGTTCAAATTAAGGTCTCCAGTCTGCACTGGACCATATCCTCAAAGCAGCAGAGCAGCACACAATGATCCCGTGGGGTAGGCTAGGCTAAAAAGCAGCTCACCCAAGACTGAAGATAGAAGCAGAAATGGGCCACAGACAACCAGGATGGGAAATGCAGAACATAATCAGCAATAGTCCCGGAGCATAGTGCAGATCTTTTTTCCTGTCTGAAGATGCACCGGAGGATAAGGCTATGCGTCTCTAGCTAAGCAACCTCCTTAAGCATGAAAAATGTTTCAATGAAAGAAAAAAGAACCTTCGCACAGAGAGAGAGGGGGGGATGAGAGAAGAGAAAGAGAAGAAAGAAAAGAAAAAGAAAGAAAGAAAGAAAGAAAGAAAGAAAGAAAGAAAGAAGAGAGATAGAAAGAGGGACAGAAAAGAGAGAGTAAGAGAAAAGAGGGAGATAGAGAGAAGACAGAAGATGGAGGGAGAGAAGAGAAAGGAGAGATAGGGAGAGAGGAAGAAAGAGAGAGAATACAGTAAGAGGGAAAAGAGAGAGAAAGAGAGATTCCATTTTTGGGATCTTGGGGTTTGCCCTCTTTTCACGCTTTTCCAGTTTCCTTTCCCCTATTTCTAGTTGCCCATTTTAAATTTATTTTTAGAATAGCACCTCTTTTCGTGCCTCTTCAGGAATTAAACCGGCATCATCCACGTGTCAAAGGACTAACCGAGTCTGTTCCAGCAAACAATGAACTGAACCGAGGAAAACAGAATTTAAAAAAAGCAAAAGATGCTTAAGGGAAAAAAAAAAATCCTTCTTTCGGTTGGTTCAATGGAACTATTTTTAGGTCCTAACCTGCTTCAAGCTATACTTAGAAACATGGAATTTAGCTTGATGAGGTCAGCTGACCGGGCTGCTCTCAGCCTCCTTAAGATCAATAGAGAGCCACCCGCACAGATCTGCAAGGGAGTGAATCCTAATGAAGGATCCCTCATTCCGAATGCACCGGTTGTATTTTCATTTGCTACCAAAATCCTTAAAAGGAATGGGGAGGGGGGGGGAAATCCCTCAGCCAGTCTGTTTCAGCCCCCTCGGAAAGCATCTTCGAAAACGCTGGAGCCAGCAGCATCCCAGTGACATCATCAGCATCCTTGGAGAGGAGGCTGTCTCCAAGGCAACAGGGCCCGGGCATCGCCCAATGGAATGCTGGCATCCGAGCTATTGTGGAACCAACAGGGAAGCAGGTAAGGGGTTTCTGAGCATCCCACCTTTTTAGAAGTTAGATTTTCTTTTTCTCCTGCCTTTATTATTTCTTTCTAGATAACTCAAGGCTGTGAACAGGCCAAATCTTTCTCCTCCTATTTTCCCCACAACCACAACCCTGTGAGGTTGGTTGGGCTGAGAGAGAATGGCTAACTCAAAGTCACCCAGCAGTTTTCATGGCTAAGGCAGGACTAGAACTCAACGTCTCCTGGTGATTTGCCCAAAACCACCCACTCAGCTTTCTTGCCTAAGGGGGGGGGGACTAGAACACACCAGGTAACCTAGTTAGTTAATTCCTGGCCTTTTGAATATGGGTGAGCTTCAACTCCCAGAATTCCAATGCTGATTGAGGAATTCTGGGAGTTGAAATCCACCCTCCTTAAAGCATGCTGGCTGGGGAATTCTGGGAATTGATGTACTCCCTTCTTAAAGCATGCCGGCTGAGGAATTCTGGGAGTTGAAGTCCACCCATCTTAAAGCATGCTGGCTGGGGAATTCTGGGAGTTGAAATCCACCCACCTTAAAGCACACTGGCTGGGGAATTCTGGGAGTTGAAGTTCACCCACCTTAAAGCACGCTGGCTGGGGAATTCTGGGAATTGAAGTCCACCGATCTTCAAGTGGTCAAGGTTGAGAAACACTGGTTTATGATATTGTGTATAAACCTGAAAACATGTTTATTCAAGAAATAAAACACCCCTATTTTTCTGACTGCAATTCTTCTCACCTCTGGTGCTGAAGATCACCAAATAATGATGATGATGATGATGATGATGATGATGATGATGATGATGACTACAAGCAGCGGCATGACAAATTAGCAACAATGGTGCATTGGAAGATCTGCAAGAAATATCATTTGCCTGTAAGCAAGAATTGGTGGGATCATAAAATAGAGAAAGTCATAGAAAATGATAAAGTTAAACTGCTCTGGGACTTCAGAATTCAAACAGACAAGCACCTGCAACATAACACCCAGACTTAACAATTGTCGATAAGAAAGACAAAAAAGACTGGATAGTGGACTGGAGTGCCTGGAGAGAGCAGAATAGAAGAGAAAGAACTGGAGAAGATAACAAAATACAAAGACCTACAAATAGAAATAGAAAGACTGTGGCAATAGCAAGCAAGGGTAGTACCAATAGTCATAGGCTCCCTGGGTGCAATCCCAAAACAACTGGAGCACCACTTGAACACCATTGGCATTGACAAATTCGCTATTAGTCAATTGCAAAAGGCGGCCTTATTAGGAACTGCTTCCATCCTGCGACGATATCTGTAATACCATCAAACATCCACATCTGCCTATCCCAGGTCCTGGGTAAAGACTCGATAGGTAGACAAAATGCCAAATCCAGTCTGAACATCTGGCTGACTGTGTGATGATCCATCGTCATCATCATCATCATCATCATCATCAAGTTGGAAGACACCTTGGAGGTCATGTAGTCCAACCCCCTGCTCAGGCAGGAAACCCTATACCATTTTGGACAAATGGCTGTCCAGTCTCTTCTTTTTGGTTTGGACCAACACTCACCATACGTGACCAATCCTGCCACCTGTCACGCCCCTGGTGATGTAGCTTCTCATAATACTTTCAATCTCTCCCCTTTTCTCCATGTCCCCCCTCAATTTTCTCCCATGCCCCCCCCCCTTTATATGCTCTGCTACTTGCTCCCCAACCGGCCGTACTCAGCGAGTGGTCCTCAATGGAACTGCATCTATATGGAGGGAAGTGTGTAGTGGGGTGCCCCAGGGCTCTGTTCTGGGCCCAGTACTCTTCAACATCTTCATCAACGATTTGGATGAAGGGATAGATGGGGAACTCATCAAATTTGCAGATGACACCAAGCTGGCAGGAATAGCCAACACTCCAGAAGACAGGCTTCAGATACAGAAGGATCTGGACAGACTTGAACACTGGGCACTAACTAACAAAATGAAATTCAATGGTGAAAAAAGCAAGGTTCTACATTTAGGCAAGAAAAACCAAATGCACAAGTACAGCATAGGTGGCACCATGCTCAATAGTAGTAACTGTGAGAGGGACCTCGGAGTCCTAGTAGACAATCACTTAAATATGAGCCAGCAGTGTGCTGCAGCTGCCAAAAAGGCCAACACAGTGCTAGGCTGCATTAACAGAGGGATAGAATCAAGATCACGTGAAGTATTAATACCACTCTTCAATGCCTTGGTAAGGCCACACTTGGAATACTGCATCCAGTTTTGGTCACCACGATGTAAAAAAGATGTTGAGACTCTAGAAAGAGTACAGAGAAGAGCAACAAAGATGATTAGGGGACTGGAGGCTAAAACATATAAGGAACGGTTGCTAGAATTGGGTATGTCTAGTTTAACGAAGAGAAGGACAAGGGGGGACATGATAGCAGTATTCCAATATCTCAGGGGCTGCCATAAAGAAGAGGGAATTAAGCTATTTTCCAAAGCACCTGAAGGCAGGACAAGAAGCAACGGGTGGAAACTAATCAAGGAGAGAAGCAACCTAGAACTAAGGAGAAACTTCCTGACAGTGAGAACAATTAATCAGTGGAACAGCTTGCCTCCAGAAGCAGTAAATGCTCCAACACTGGAAGTTTTTAAGAAGAGACTGGACAGCCATTTGTCCGAAATGGTGTAGGGTTTCCTGCCCGAGCAGGGGGTTGGACTAGATGACCTCCAAGGTCCCTTCCAACTTTACTACTATTACTATTACTATTACCTTCCTCCTTCAATCTCTGCTTGATCCCACAAGGCCATTTTTAATCCCAGAATGCATTAAACACTCAAGAGCTTGGACTGTCTACGCTGGCAGGGAATTTGAAGATTTGCAGAGATTTCAGATGGGGGGGGGCAGGGGAGAGAACACCAGGTTGGAGATACTGAATTAAAAGATTTCCCCTTTAATGGATACCTCCCCAAGCCCCCCCCCTTCCTCCTCCTTCCATTTTCATGGTAAAGGCATCAGGGAAGTTAAGAATCGGCATTCAGAAGATGACTGGTCCGTTGCCATAGAAACTGTGTCTGGAATCCCGTGGCAATGGTTGCTTGGTGATGAACCCTGGACCAATCACATGCCTGCAGGGCCGCGTTTCTCAGCCTTAACCGCTTGAAGATGGGTGGACTTCAACTCCCAACTTCCCTTGCCGGCTGGGGAATTCTGGGAGTTGAAGTCCACCCGTCTTCGAGTCGCCGAGGTTGAGAAGCACGCCTGAAAAGAACTGGCAAGGGTACCAAGGAGTGATCCGTGGCCCATTCTCGGTTGCTAGAACCGTCGCCCAAAAGCTCCATAGCAACAAGCCCCACCTTTCCTTTCTCCCGACAACAGCAGTATCCTGGCAACAGGGCGATAGCATCTTCCTCGCACCCCCCCTCCCACCCAGCGGGATCTGCCTCCCAGCAACGATGCATCGCGTGGTGTCTTTCCTCTCCTAGAAACCAAGTGCTGGTCTTCTGGATTGGCTGACCCTGCCAGATCGTCCACAATCAGACACCGGTCAGTTCGCAGCTAGCCAGAGAGTTTGCCATGATGCTGATGCTGATCCTTCTCTCTCTAGATCTTTCCCCCAGATGGTTTCCACAGCTCACTGAGTCTGGGTTGCCAATGTCAAATGCCAACCTTTTCCCAGAATAACAGCGTTAGAAGGGACCTCCAAGGTCTTCTAGTCCAACCCCTGGATGAAGCAGGAGACCGCCCTGAGTCCTTTGGGATTGGGCAGCATATAAATAAAATCAAATACAAATACAAATACCGGGCCTATACCATTTCAGACAAGTGGCTGTCTGATCTTTTCTTAAAAAAGGAGGAGGAGGAGGAGGAGGAGGAGGAGGAGGAGGAGGAGAATAGAGCTGGAAGGGACCTTGGAGGTCTTCTAGTCCAACCCCCTGCTCAAGCAGGAGACCCTGCTGTAGACCATTTCAGACAAGTGGCGGTCCAATCTCTTCTTAAAAAGAAGGAGGAGGAGGAGGAATAACAGAATAATAGCATTGGAAGGGACCTTGGAGGCCATCTAGTCCAACCCCCTGCTCAAGCAGGAGACCCTGCTGTAGACCATTTCAGACAAGTGGCGGTCCAATCTCTTCTTAAAAAGAAGGAGGAGGAGGAATAACAGAATAATAGCATTGGAAGGGACCTTGGAGGTCATCTAGTCCAACCCCCGGCTGAAGCAGGAGACCCCATGCCATTTCAGACAAATGGCTGTCCAGTCTCTTCTTAAAAACCTCCCGTGTTGGAGCATTCACAGCTTCTGGAGGCAAGTCGGGATCATCTCCTGAAGACGGCAGCCAAATCACACCAGTCCTGCAAGCTGATGCACACCCTGTGCTCCACCCTAAACCTGGGTTAAATATGGTTGCATTCACACCACATTCTGGGCCAGAGGAAGTCATTTTCCCAGTTAGCAGGACGCTGATGCAGTCACGATGTTTAAACCAGTATTTCTCAATCGTGGCAACTTTAAGTTTAAAACGGGGCCTGGGGGCTCTTTGTCATCTTCATAAATGATCTAGAGCAGGGGTCTTCAAACTTGGCCCTTTTATGACTTGTGGACTTCAACTCAAGTGATAAAGTGCAGGTAGTCCTCGACTTACAACAGTTTGCTTAATGACTGTTTGAAGTTATAATGGCCCTGAAAAAAGTGCCCCCCAAGACACAGCCAAGCAAGACCTCTGCCTGCCCACCCAGCTGCGTTCTTCCTCCTGTCCGAGGTTTTCATTGTTGTGAGCATTTCTGTTGGGGATTGGCAGTGGGGGTGGGGTGGGGGGCTGTTTGGTTTTTATTCCCCCCCCCCCCATCTGCTGGGTGGTTGCAGCAGGTTTTGGTTCCTTCACATGACCCTGGGACACTGTGACCGTCCTAAATAGGAATCAGTTGCCAAGACTCTGAATGTAAATCACAAGACCCTGGAGACGCTGCAACATTCCAGCTGATCGGCGCTTCTTCTGGGCTCAGCAGAAGCGCCAGGATCAGCGCTGAGCTCCAGCTTGAACCTGGCGCTGATCCTGGTGCTTCCACTGAGCCCCGACAGCCCTGCAGCTCCAGCCATCTCTCGCTCAGGCTTGTGTGGTGCTGCCATTGTTTCAGCTCCTTTCCCTGCCCCGCTACCCCTTTTCTAGGATGGTCGCGTCCCACCTGCCAGGTGCCAATGTACCACAGGTGGTACCCATACCACTGGTTGAAAAGCCCTGATCTAGACAAAGGAATAGGAAGGAGAATTCATCAGATTTACAGACGACACCAAGCTGGAGGGAATTGCTAACACTTTTAGAAGGTGGACTCAAGATTCAGAATGATCTGGACAGACTTGAGCATTGGGCCCTAGGCTATAAGATGCAGTTAAGTGGTGAGAAAAGTAAGATTTTATACATAGGCAGGAAAAGAAACAAGTGCACAGGTATTCAATATGCAAAACCTGGCTCAACGGTAGTCAGTATGAGCGGGATCCTGGAGTCCTAGTGGACCATCCCTTAAACAGGAGCCAGCCGTGTGCTGCAGCTGCCAAAAAAGCCAACACAGTGCTAGGCTGCATTAACAGAGGGAGAGAATCAAGATCACCTGAAGTGTGTTAATACCACTTTACAAGGCCTTGGTAAGGCCACACTTGGAATGCTGCATCCAGTTTTGGTCACCACGATGTAGAAAAGATGCTGAGACTCTAGAAAGAGTACAGAGAAGAGCAACAAGAATGATTAGGGGACTGGAGTCTAAAGCATACGAAGACCGGTTGCAGGAATTGGGTAGGTCTACTTTAATGAAGAGAAGGACGAGGGGGGACATGATAGCAGAGTTTCAATATCTCAGGGGCTGCCCCAAAGAAGAGGGAGTCAAGCTATTCTCTATAGCACCTGAAGGCAGGACAAGAAGCAACAGATGGAAACTCATCAAGGAGAGAAGCAACCTGGAACTAAGGAGAAACGTCCTGAGGAGGAGAGCAATTATCAGTGAAAGGACTAGCCCAGCTTCTAATAATCAAATCCTTTTCAAAGGGGTGGAGTCATCTTAAGCCCCACCTTCCTGAGTACCGTATCCACTGGCGGGGAGGGTCCTTGCAAGGCGGCACTAAAGCATGACCCCAAATGAGGGACATTGATCCCACTGACATTAAGAGCCAGGCAGGACCTCATGCAGAGAAAAGTGGAGCTTGAGTTCCCGTATCAATCCTTTTCTGGTCTCTCTGGCGTTAAAAGAAAAGAATCCACAATTTTGCAATGGAAAAGAAGCCAAGAAAAAACACAACGCCAGTCCATGGTGACTTGGTATGTCTGCCAAATGTTGGATCCACATTCCTGGCTTACGGAGGCTTTTGAAGCACCGATCTTGGGTGCTTCGTGATGCCAAAAAGAGTTAGGAAGGATACCGTGTTTCAGCAAGTGGCATGATCAGAGCCATTTTATAGTCTAGTGGTTAAGGCGCCAGGCTAGAAAGCTGGGGATGGTGAGTTCTAGTCCTGCCTTAGCCATGAAACCTGGCTAGGTGACTTTGGGCCCATCAGTGGGAGACGGTGAGTTCTAGTCTCGCCTTAGGGAGGAAAGACAGCTGGTGACTGGGCCAATCACAGGGAGACAGTGAGTTCTAGTCTCGCCTTAGGGTGGAAAGACAGCTGGGTGACTGGGCCAATCACTAGGAGAATGAGTTCTAGTCTCGCCTTAGGGAGGAAAGACAGCTGGGTGATTGGGCCAATCACTTTGAGAATGAGTTCTAGTCTCACCTTAGGGTGGAAAGACAGCTGGGTGACTGGGCCAATCACTAGGAGAATGAGTTCTAGTCTCGCCTTAGGGAGGAAAGACAGCTGGGTGATTGGGCCAATCACTAGGAGAATGAGTTCTAGTCTCACCTTAGGGTGGAAAGACAGCTGGGTGACTGGGCCAATCACTAGGAGAATGAGTTCTAGTCTCGCCGTAGGGTGGAAAGACAGCTGGGTGAGTGGGCCAATCACTGGGAGACAGTGAGTTCTAGTCTCGCCTTAGGCAGGAAAGCCAACTGGGTGACTGGGCCAATCACAGGGAGACAGTGAGTTCTAGTCTCCCCTTAGGGAGGAAAGCCAACTGGGTGACTGGGCCAATCACTAGGAGTTGGTGAATTTATTTATTTATTTATTTATGAGACTTATATAGCGCTTTAAGTGCAAGCACTCTCTAAGCGGTGTACACCAGTAAGCAATGTGTATATATATATATATATATATGTTTTCTGAGGTTTTCGCGGGTATTTGTATATAGGTCTTTGGTTGTTCGGGTTTTCTCCCGCGTAAAATTGGAAGTGTCTTGGCAACGTTTCGACGAAGTCACATTCGTCATCTTCAGGCTGGTGTTTTTAGCTTCTTGCTTTGAGCAGCAATGTGTGGTTTTATATATATATATATATATATATATATATTTACATTGCCCCCAACAATCTGGGTCCTCATTTTACCTACCCCGGAAGGATGGAAGGCTGAGTCAACCTTGAGCCGGTGAGATTTGAACCGCTGACCTGCTGAACACAGGTTCAATTCTCGTCTCACCTTAGGCACGAAGGCTGGCTGGGTGACTTTGGGCCGGTCCCTCTCTCTCAGCTCAGCCCACCTCACAGGGTGGCTGTTACGAGGGAAATAGGAAGAGGGAAGTGTATTGGATATATACAAATAAGGAATAAAATAAAGGAGCCAGAAGCAGCGACTGGAGCATTAATACAGAAAAGTTACGTCAATGACTTCCAGAGCGGAGACCTTGACGCTCCGTGTATAGGAAGGGGGTGTGTGTTATTATAAGAGGACGCCTCCCTTCAAAGCAAGACCGAAATGCTGGCATCCATGTGCAGGCAGCTCTGCCCCAGCTCTCAGCTTATGGGGTGAACTCATGTGCATTAGAACGGGGGGGGGGGGGGGGCAGAAGGCAAGCAACTAACCGGATTTGAGCAGGACCCACAAATAACCCAGGAGAAAGAGGTTTCTGCCTTGCTGCCTGCTGAACACCAATTCCTCAGCGCCTAGCAGAGGTGGGGGACCCGGCGCCATGACTCAGGCGGGGGGGGGGAGGAGAGGCAGCTCCCCACTGAAGCACAGCAAGCAGGGAAACAGATACTCAGTGGCTGCTTTCTGACGGTGACTCAGACTCCGTCTTCGGTGGGTTTGCCAGCCTAGCTCCCCCTGTTGGGTTCCCGCCCGCGGTTCTTGCAGCCGATGGACAGTTGCCCGCCTCTGTCATGCAGATGACCGTTCCAGCCTTCTGGTCTCCTCACCTGGATCCCCTGGAGAAGTGACATCCTGGCTTTCTCTCTGCCTGGTGCTGATGACCGCTAGCCAGCTCTGCCAACCGCCAGCTGCACCGGCTTGGCCAGCAGAACCGGTGCCAAGGACACATCCCGGACTTTCCCGCCGATGAGGCAGTGAGGGCTTGGGTGGTACCCCAACACAGGTAAGCAGCATGGAAGGGGTGAGGCAGCTTCAGCCGGAGGGGGCTCCCAGCTGGGACATCCAGGCAGACCGTGGGGAACAGGGGGTTTTGAAAGGGGTTCGGCCACGGAAAGACGAGGAAAAGTGCAGAGGTGGTTCAGAGGCAGTGTTTGGACCGCGAGCTCAGCCTGGCTGCTGAATGACTCCAGGGGGTCACACCCTGCAAGTTGGGGTCTTGCAATGCCTGAAATATTAAAAAAAAAATTAACCTAAGCCAGATTAAAAAAAAGGAGGTTTAGGGTGTTAAGAAAATGCAGATGCTCACTTTGGGCAGCATCTGGTTACAGGAACACTATGGGGAGTGGCGAAGAAGAGAATTCCTCTCTCGGCTGTGGATTCTGTCTAGCTAGATGTTGGTCTGTCTCCATATCTACCCACTGTATTCACACACCTACCTATCATCTATATTTTTTCTGCCTGCCTGCCTGCCTGCCTGCCTGCCTGCCTGCCTGCCTGCCTGCCTGACTGACTGCCTGCCTGCCTGCCTGCCTGCCTGCCTGCCTATCTATCTATCTATCTATCTATCTATCTATCTATCTATCTATCTATCTATCTATCTACCTACCTACCTATCTACCTACCCCTCTCCCTCTCCCTCTCCCTCTCTCTCTCTCTCTCTCTCTCTCTCTCTCTCTCTCTCTCTCTCTATCTGCTAGCTAGTTCATCTATCTCATCTATCTACTGGTCTACCCATCTACCTACCTACTTCGTACCCACCTTTCTATCTGTCTATCTCTCTGTTCATCCATCCATCTATCTACTATATCATCTATCCATCTGTCTCTGTCCATTTGTCTGTCCATGCATCCACTATCTATCTATCTATCTATCTATCTATCTATCTATCTATCTATCTATCTATCTATCTATCTATCTATCTATCTATCTATCTTATCCATCCATCCATCCATCCATCCATCCATCCATCCATCCATCCATCCATCTATCTATCTATCTATCTATCTATCTATCTATCTATCTATCTATCTATCTACCTTACTTACGTATCTCCTACCCATCCATCATCTATCCATCTCTGTCTGTCTCTCTGTCTCTCTCTCCCTCATCTATCTCATTTACCTATCCATCCATCCATCCATCCATCTATCTATCTATCTTTCTATCTATCTATCTATCTATCTATCTATCTATCTATCTATCTATCTATCTATCTATCTATCTGCCACCTACCTGTCTGTCCGTCCATCCATCCATCCATCCATCCATCCATCCATCCATCCATCCATCCATCCATCCATCCTAGAGCTGTCTATCATCAGCTATCTTAGGTTTATTATCTGTAGCTTTTTTCCCACTGGAAGGGTGACTAACCAGGTGGGGACCAAAGAGATGGAGTGAGAATGGGTGAAGAGGGCATTTGTGGACGACTGGAAGAAAATGGATGTCCCACACCTGGACTGATTCCAAAATGGGCTTGAGATGCAACTCCGAGTTGGGTTTGAGGGAACAGGGTCTGGAGCAGGGAGATGGGACCATTGCCGAGCCCATCTGTATGTTGTGTAGACATCACGTGAGGAGCCGAGTCACAGATGATTCACCAGAGAAGTTAGCCCGAATAGTTTTAGCCTTCATTAAGCTACAGGGATTGGGGGCAGCTGGTTGCAGAATTGTGCAAACCTAAGTCCTTTGGCTGAGTAGAGGTAGTCCTCCACTTACAAGAATTCATTTAGTGACCATTCAAAGTTACAATGGCAGAGAAAAAAAGAAAAAAGAAAGAAAGAAAGAAAGAAAGGATATCTGCCTCAACCAAGAAAAATTTGCACAATTGCCTAGAGTCTAGACCCTTCCTTCCTTCCTTCCTTCCTTCCTTCCTTCCTTCCTTCCTTCCTTCCTTCCATCCTCCCTCCCTCCCTTCCTCTTTCTCCTTCCTTCCTTCCTTCCTCCCTCCCTCCCTCTCTCCTTGACCCTTCCTTCCTTCCTTCCCTCCCTCCCTCTTTCTCCTTCCTTCCTCCCTCCCTGATCTTCCTCCCTCCCTCCCTCTTTCTCCTTCCTTCCTTCCTCCCTCCCTGATCTTCCTTCCTTCCTTCTCTCCCTCCCTTTCTCCTTCCTCCCTCCCTCCTTGATCTTCCTTCCTTCCTCCCTCCCTTCTCTTTCTCCTTCCTTCCTCCCTCCCTCCTTGATCTTCCTTCCTTCCTCCCTCCCTTCCTCTTTCTCCTTCCTTCCTTCCTTCCTCCCTCCCTCCTTGATCTTCTTCCTTCCTTCCTTCCTTCCTTCCTTCCTTCCTTCTCTCCCTCCCTTCCTCTTTCTCCTTCCTCCCTCCCTCCCCCCTTGATCTTCCTTCCTTCCTCCCTCCCTTCCTCTTTCTCCTTCCTTCCTTCCTCCCTCCTTGATCTTCTTCCTTCCTTCCCTCCCTCCCTTCCTCTTTCTCCTTCCTTCCTCCCTCCCTCCTTGATCTTCCTTCCTTCCTTCCTCCCTTCCTCTTTCTCCTCCCTCCCTCCCTCCTTGATCTTCTTCCTTCCTTCCTTCCCTCCTTCCTTCCTTCCCTCCCTCTTTCTCCTTCCTTCCTCCCTCCCTCCTTGATCTTCCTTCCTTCCTTCCTCTTTCTCCTTCCTCCCTCCCTCCTTGATCTTCTTCCTTCCTTCCTCCCTCCTTCCTCTTTCTCCTTCCTTCCTCCCTCCCTCCTTGATCTTCCTTCCTTCCTTCCTCCCTTCCTCTTTCTCCTCCCTCCCTCCCTCCTTGATCTTCTTCCTTCCTTCCTTCCCTCCTTCCTTCCTTCCCTCCCTCTTTCTCCTTCCTTCCTCCCTCCCTCCTTGATCTTCCTTCCTTCCTTCCTCTTTCTCCTTCCTCCCTCCCTCCTTGATCTTCTTCCTTCCTTCCTTCCTTCCTTCCTTCCCTCCCTCCCTCTCTCCCTCCCTCCCTCTTTCTCCTTCCTTCCTCCCTCCCTCCTCCTTGATCTTCTCCCTTCCTTCCTTCCTTCCTTCCCTCCCTCCCTCCCTCCTCCTCCTTCCTCCTCCCTCCTTCTTCCTTCCTCCCTCCCTCCCTCCTTGATCTTCCTTCCTTCCTTCCTCCCTCCCTCCCTTCCTCTTTCTCCTTCCTTCCTCCCTCCCTCCCTCCTTGATCTTCCTTCCTTCCTCCCTCCATCCCTCCTTGATCTTCTTCCTTCCTTCCTTCCTTCCTTCCTTCCTTCCTCCCTCCCTCCCTCCCTCCCTCCCTCCCTCCCTCCCAGGCCTCCACTTCCTCTTGGTCTGGCTTCTCTGCAGCTGAGGCAGGGCAGGGATGGCTGACTTTGCCACCATCCGGCTTCCTCTCTGTATGGAGGCAGTTCCCATGGCAACGGCCAATCAGAAAAAGAGGATGCTGCCAGCTAAGGACCAGCCAGCCAGGCAGGCAAGCTTCATGGATAGGTGTGGTAGGGAGGGGGCAGGGAAGGGATACCACTGGGTTGGCCACCCACAGGGGAGGGGGCACCAGCTCTCTGCATACCCATCACCATTTTCTGATTCGGGAGCCCCAACATTGAGGGAAAATCCTTAGGGCATCACCCCCATCATTTTTCAGCCTTCTCCTGCCTCTTTCAAATATTGCAATATTGGACTAAATGCTTGTTAAGTGAGTCAGCCTCCTTTCACCACCTTGTTTGTCATAGTTCTTAAGGAGTCATGCAGTCATTAAGCGAGTCAAGTGGTTCAAAGCAAATCATAGGGTCTTTAGGGAAAATCCAACTTCCCCCATTCCTGAGAAGGTCACAAATGGCAATCACACGACTCTCGGACGCTGCAGTGTGCTTAAATTTTGATCATGTGACCTTGGGGAGGCTGGGATAGTTAAATGTGCTCATAATTCGCTTTTTTCAGTTCCTTTGTAACTTCAGACGGACGCTAAACAAATGGCTATAAGTTGAGGACTGCCAGTATGAAACAGAGAAGCAACCTGGAACTAAGGAGAAACTTCCTGACAGTGTGAACAAGTAACCAATGGAACAGCTTGCCACCAGAAGTAGTGAGTGCTCCGTCACTGGAGGTTTTTAGGAAGAGACTGGACACCCATTGGTCAAAATGGAATAATAGGGTCTCCTGCCTGAGCAGGGGGCTGGACTAGATGACCCCCGAAGTCCCCTCCAATTCTGTTATTCCATGTACGCTAGTGTTCGATTGACAACGGTTCGTTTATTGACCTTTTGAAAGTTAAAACGGGACTGAAAAAAGTGACTTATCACCACTTTCCATACTTGCGACCGTTACAGCATCCCCATAGCATTTGAATGCTTGTCAACTGACTCACATTTATGACGGTTGCAGCATTCTGGGTCACGCGATCCCTTTTTTTTGGCAAGCCTCTGAGGTGCAACGTCAAAGCCAGACTCACTTAACAACTGTGTTACTCACTTAACAACTGCAGTGATTCACTGTGGCAAGAAAAGTAAAATGGGGGGGGGGGGAAACGGGTAAATCACTTAACAACTATCGCGCTTACTAGCAGAAATTTTGGACTCAATTGCAGTCGTAAATGGAGGACTACTTATAATGCTATGCCAGTGATGGTGAACCTTTTAGAGACCGAGTGCCCAAACGGCAACCCAAAACCCAGTTATGCATCGTCGGGTGCTGGGTGGGTGTGGCCCATTGGGTGGGTGTGGCCCATTGGGTGGGTGTGGCCCATTGGTGGGCATGGCTGCAGTGGTAACGGCAGACTGGGTGGGACTAAAAAGTTCAATCAATCAATTCCAACTTTGCAAGATCTTTTTTTTTCCCGCGAGAAGTTGAAATTGACTGATTGAACCTTTTTTTTTTTTTTTGCACAAGGCGGTGGAGGCCTAAAGCGAAAAGGTTTTATAAAACTCAGCTGAAGGCCTAGGACTGGGGCGACGGCGCGCGTGCCCACAGAGAGTGCTCTGAATGCCGCCTCTGGCATGCGTGCCATAGGTCTGCCACCACAGTGCTATGCAATCCAGTCTGACCTGCCCGCTTGCTCCCTGCAGCACTGATGGCCAGGGCCGGAGAGCAGATCTGTGGCTGCCAGCGGGGTCCAAACATGGAGGAGGGCAAATGGTACGGCGTCCGTTCGTACCTGCATCTTTTCTACGAGGACTGCACTGGCACCCATTCGGAAGACAATTTGGAGAATGCTGCTACATCCCCCACCAAGGCTGGCTGGACCCCCGTCTTCTGGAAGGTGAGATTTTTCAACCAGGATCCAGGCACCCATTGCTTTGTGGCGTGTTCTCTGAGCACAGACAGAATGCCTTCCCACAACACACTGGCCCAGATTGCAAGTGGGGAGATTATGTTATTTATTAAATGTATAGAACACCAGTCTCCAAAACAATCCTGGGCATCTTACAATGCAATAAAAAAGGATCCATAATGGGCCTTTTGTGGCCTCCCCTCCACTCCTCCCGCTTAGCTCTGTACATGATTTTCTGGGTGAGGGGTCGCCAAATCTAGCCCCTTTAAGACTGGTGGAGTTCAACTCCCAGAATTCTGGGAGTTGAAGTCCATCAAACTAGGAGCCTGGCACCCATTGCTTTGTGGCGTGTTCTCTGAGCACATACAGAGTGCCTTCCCACAACAGAAGCGGTGAATGCTCCAACACTGGAAGTTTTTAAGAAGAGACTGGACAGCCATTTGTCCGAAATGGTATAGAGTTTCCTGCCTGAGCAGGGGGTTGGACTAGATGACCTCCAAGGTCACTTCCAACTTTATTATTATTATTATTATTGATGGATCATCGCACAGTCAGCCAGATGTTCAGACTGGATTTGGCATTTTTTCTACCTATCGAGTCCTTACCCAGGACCTGGGATAGGCAATGTGGATGTTTGATGGTATTACAGATATCGTTGCAAGATGGAAGCAGTTCCTAGTAAGGCCGCCTTTTGCAATTGACTAATGGCAAATTTGTCAATGCCAATGGGGTTCAAGTGGTGCTCCAGTTGTTTTGGGATTGCACCCAAGGAGCCTATGACTATTGGTACTACCCTTGCTTGCTTTTGCCACAGTCTTTCTATTTCTATTTGTAGGTCTTTGTATTTTGTTATCTTCTCCAGTATTATTATTATTATTATTATTATTATTATTATTATTATCATCATCATCATCATCATCATCATCATCATCATCATCATCATCATTATTATTATTATTATTATAACACACTTGCCCAGATTGCAAGTGGGGAGATTATTTTATTTATTAAATTTATAGAACATCACTATCCAGCATCTTACAATACAATAAAAAAGGATCCATAATGGGTCTTTTGTGGCCTCTCCCCCACTCCTCCCACTTAGCGCTGTTCACGATTTTCTAGGTCAGAGGTCTCCAAACCCCTGCTGGCAGGGGAATTCTGGGAGTTGGAAGTCCACCAAACTTAAAGGGGAAGTTTGGAGATCCCCCCCCCTTCCCTAGATCAGGCAGCTAAGTGGGAAAACATCTGACTCAGTGGCAGAGATGTTAGGTTGGAGGCAAACATATGCTGGAAGATTGCATAAGGCTTTTGAAAAATTGGGGGGGGGGGTGTCGGTCCAAGAGCTGATTTGCAGCTGGTGGTCAGGACACAAACCCCTTTGGTTAGTCTCTGGGATGACTCTGTCGCCACCTACAGGCATGGATTGGATCTTCAGGTCACTTTAAGGACCACTTTAAGAGGTGTGGACTTCAACTCCCAGAATCCTCCAGCCAGCAATGCTTTTCTTTAAGATTCATTTTAGTATACGGAAAGAAAGCTTCTGAGAACAAGACTATGCCTAGAAAGCCAGGGCCTTCACACACAGCCCTCACTCCCAAGTGCTGCATTCACACAACTCGGTCAATCAGGTCACTGAAAGAGCTAATAGCTGCTTTTTGTGCAACACACTAAGTTTGGTTTGTAGTAACCGTGATTGGTTTGGTTTGGGGCTTAGGTTGAGTTAGTTAAAGGCCCAGTTTGTTAAATTAGCTTATTACTTGAGGTAGTCCTTGACTTACAGCCAGTTGTTTAGTGACCATTCAAAGCTGCAACAGCTGTGAAAAAGTGACTTTTGACTGTTTACCACATAACAACAACAACAACAACAACAACAACAACAACAACAACAACAATAATAATAATAATAATAATAATAATAATAATAATAATAATAATAATAAAGTTGGAAGGGACCTTGGAGGTCATCTAATCCAACCCCCTGCTCAGGCAGGAAACCCTACACCATTTCAGACAAATGGCTGTCCTGTCTCTTCTTAAAAACGTCCATTGTTGGAGCATTCACCGCTTCTGGAGGCAGGTAGTTCCACTGGTTAATTGTTTTAACTGTAGCGCACATACGGATGCTTGTCTCTCATTCTACCTTCTCCTTTCCAGGTGACGCTTTCAGCCGGGACTCTGCTGATGCTCACCGGCGCGGCGGCTCTAACCACGGGGTCCCTCCTGCCCTCCAGGTTGGAGGACATTGGTGAAGCTGAGTTTGTGGTGCTGGACCAGCGAGCCGTAGATTACACCGGTGCCCTGGATATCTGCCGAGCTGTCGGTGTGGTGCTGTGCGCCGTCGCTGGGGTGTTGCTGGCGGCCTCGGTTGTGTTGTCCAGGATTGGCAGAAGGAACCGGACTGGCTATCCAGGCGACAATGGCAAGGAAGAACAGCTGTCGCCCATCTTGCAGGAGAATGCCCCCCATCCATGGGGTGCCATCGTCTCAGCGACCCCCGCCCCTTTCCAAGTCTCCTGGGTACAGGGCGTCCAGCCAAAGGGAGAGATGTGAATTCAGATTCACCAAAAGCTGTTCAGGCACCAAAGCAGTGTTTCCCAACCTTCAAGATAGGTGGACTTCAACTCCCAGAATTCCCCAGCCAGCACATGCTGGCTAGGGAATTCTGGGAGTTGAAGTCCTTCTATCCACAGGTGGAAAGCTGGGTTCCACCTCCAGAGACAGTGGCCTGCAGATCACGTGATCTGCATTTGCGACCTTTCCCATCCCGCTTCCAACAAATCAAGTCAGTAAGGGGACGCCGGATTCACTTAATGACTGTATGATTCACTTAACAGCTGCAGTGACTTGCTTAACAGCCATGGCAAAAAAAGGTTGTATAATTGGGCATGATTCACTTAACAATCACCTTGTTTAGTGACTGAAATTGTGGACGTAAGTCGAGGACTATCTGTAACAGCAGAATCAAGGAAGGGTCTACCTCCCTATTTCTGCTTTGGTATCTTCCCTCCATTTTTCAATTACCCCTGGTTTTAAGTTGGGAGATGCCCAAAGTGGGGGGAGCCAAGCAGACAGATCCCTCCCTTTACTACTTCAGGGCCCAGAATTAAGAGATATCTCCTTGCTGATTGGTGGTGAGCAGTAGGAAGCGGGCAACAAAAGCCAGTGGAGAAACAAATCACTTGGTCTGGAACGAGCAGCCGGATGCACCAATCAGGAGAGACCATTTGACAGCACCCTGGTAAAGACAGGAATGGAAGTGGGAGGAGCATCAGCTGTGGAGGCCGTACCATTTTCTGATTCAAGGGGGAAACTCCATAGCGGGAAAGACCATCAGAGAGACGGGGGGGGCAGCTGCGCAGAATCTTTCGGCCTTCATGTGGTCCTCTACTTGAGGGAAGAAACCAGCTTAGAATAATAAAGACTGAAATAAGTGCATTTGCTTGGATTAATCGTGGCTTGGAGGGGGGGGGGGAGACACACTTTTTAAAAATATTATCTTGCGTTTCTCAGAATTCCAGGCAGTCAGGAGTGTGTCTGGCTGTCCCTTCCTGTTATTCCCACAACAACCCTTTGAGGTAGGCTGATCTGAATGACCAAAAGTAAATCTGACTGATTCTGTGTCCTCTGCCAGCTTCCCACACAGACAGTAGGAGTCAAGGAAATGAGGGCTGTGTATCTTCTCCACGCTAGTGCAAGGTTCACAGTCTTTGTTGTTGTTAGTTGCAAAGTTGTGTCCGACCCATCGCGACCCTATGGACCACATTCCTCCAGGCCTTCCTGTCCTCTACCATCTTCTAGAGTCCATTGAAGCTCACGCCTCCTGCTTCAGGGACTCCATCCAGCCACCTCCTTCTCTGTCGTCCCCTTCTTCTCTTGCCCTCCATCTTTCCCAGCATCAGGCTCTTCTCCAGGGAGTCCTTCCTTCTCATTAGGTGGCCAAAGGACTTGAGTTTCCACTTCAGGATCTGGCCTTCTAAAGAGCAGTCGGGGTTGATCTCCTCTAGGACTGACCGGTTGGATCGCCTTGCAGTCCAGGGGACTCTCAGGAGTCTTCTCCAGCACTAGAGTTCAAAGGCCTCCATTCTTTGGCGCTCGGCCTTTCTTATGGTCCAACTTTCGCATCCACACATTGCAACTGGGAAAACCATGGCCTGGACTATACGCACTTTTGTTGGCAGGGTGATGTCTCTGCTTTTTAGTATGCTGTCTGGATTTGCCATAGCTTTCCTCCCCAGGAGCAAGCGTCTTTTAATTTCTTGGCTGCAGTCCCCCCAGCTACTTTTGTTGTTGTTCGTTGCGAAGTTGTGTCTAGCCCATCGCGACTCCATGGACAATGTTCCTCCAGGCCTTCCCGTCCTCTACCATCTTCTGGAGTCCATTGAAGGTCACAACTCCTGCTTCCGTGACTCCATCCAGCCCCCTCCTTCTCTGTCGTCCCCTTCTTCTCTTGCCCTCCATCTTCCCCAGCATCGGGCTCTTCTCCAGGGAGTCTTTCCTTCTCACTAGGTGGCCAAAGGACTTGAGTTTCCACTTCAGCATCTGGCCTTCTAAAGAGCAGTCGGGGTTGATCTCCTCCAGGACTGACCGGTTGGATCGCCTTGCAGTCCAGGGGACTTGCAGGAGTCTTCTCCAGCACCAGTGTTCAAAGGCCTCCATTCTTTGGCGCTCGGCCTTTCTTATGGTCCAACTTTCACAGCCATACATTGCAACTGGGAAAACCATGGCCTGGACTATACGCACTTTTGTTGGCAGGGTGATGTCTCTGCTTTTTAGTATGCTGTCTGGATTTGCCATAGCTTTCCTCCCCAGGAGCAAGCGTCTTTTAATTTCTTGGCTGCAGTCCCCCCAGCTACTTTTGTTGTTGTTCGTTGCGAAGTTGTGTCTAGCCCATCGCGACTCCATGGACAATGTTCCTCCAGGCCTTCCCGTCCTCTACCATCTTCTGGAGTCCATTGAAGGTCACAACTCCTGCTTCCGTGACTCCATCCAGCCCCCTCCTTCTCTGTCGTCCCCTTCTTCTCTTGCCCTCCATCTTCCCCAGCATCGGGCTCTTCTCCAGGGAGTCTTTCCTTCTCACTAGGTGGCCAAAGGACTTGAGTTTCCACTTCAGCATCTGGCCTTCTAAAGAGCAGTCGGGGTTGATCTCTTCTAGGACTGACCAGTGTTAGCAAGGCAGACCCCTTGCTAAAAGAGACCCACTGCCAGAGTCCCGGCAATCTGATGGCCACCCAAAAGTTTCCTGGCTTTCTTTCTACTGTCCGGCTCATCAAAAGCACAGGAGCTTGGTCCTGTAAAGATAGTCCTTCACTTAAAATCATTCAGTGACCAAAGTTAAACAGCACTGGGGGGAAAAAAGTGACTTATGATCATTTTTCACACAACCGTTGCAGCCTGCTTACGGTCACGTGCTCAAAATCTGGACCCTCAGGAACTGACTCATAATTATGACGGTCGCAGTGTCCTGGGGTCACGTGATCCCCCTTTTGCAACCTTCAGACAAGCAACCTAGAACAAAGGAGAAACTTCCTGACAGTTAGAAAAATTAACCAGTGGAACGACCTGCCTCCAGAAGCGGTGAATGCTCCAACCCTGGACGTTTTTAAGAAGAGACTGGACAGCCATGTGGCTGAAAGGGTATAGGGTTTCCTGCCTGAGCAGGGGGTTGGACTAGATGACCTCTAAGGTCCCTTCTTATTCTGTTCTGTTCTCCAAAGCGCCAGAAGGCAGGACAAGAAGCAACGGGTGGAAACTCATCAAGGAGAGAAGCAACCTGGAACTAAGGAGAAACTTCCCGACAGTCAGAACAATTAACCAGTGGAACAACCTGCCTCCAGAAGTGGTGAATGCTCCAAAACTGGAAGTTTTTAAGAAGAGACTGGACAGACATTTGTCCGAAATGGTAAATAGGGTTTCCTGCCTGAGCAGTGGATTGGACTAGATCACAGGTCGGCAACCTGCGGCTCTGGAGCCGCATGCGGCTCTTTGAGCCTTCCCCTGTGGCTCCCAGCCTCCTCTGCCTTTGCAGAGAGAGACAGAGACAGAGAGAGGCAATTGCACTTCCCTGCTTCTCTCTCTCTGTGTGTGTGTGTGTTTTGTGTGTGTGTGTGTGTGTGTGTGTGTGTGTGTGTAAAAGAGAGTGCACTCACAGTGTTCTCCGAGGAGCTGAAAAGCTTACTGGGCGGAGCTCCTCCCTTTGCTGCGTCTCAGCAGGAAGCAGGAAGGGCAGGAGAGAGCTAGCTACCCCAGCTAGGCTGACTCAGGAATTCTGGGAGTTGAAGTCCATGAGTCATAAAAGAGACGAGGTTGCCTACTCCTGAGCTTGTTGGACAACAGCTTGAAGCTTGCCAGGTGAGCAGCAGATAGGGGGGGGAGAGAGCGAGAGAGAGAGGAAGGGAGGGAAAGAGCAGAGAGGAAAAAGAGAGAGAGAAAGAAAGAGTGGGGGAAGAGGAGTGGCAGACCAAGGGCAGATAGAGAGGGAGGGAGAGAGACAGACAGACAGAGAGAGACCCTTTTGACATCTAAAATGAAGATAACACTGCGTATATCCTTTTTTTACCTCTGTGTGTGTGTGTGTGTGTGTGTGTGTGTATGTATGTATGTATGTGTATGTATACATATATATTTGTTTTCTGAGGTTTTCGCGGGTATTTGTATGTAGGTCTTTGGTTGTTCGGGTTTTCTCCCACGTAAAATTGGAAGTGTCTTGGCGACGTTTCGACGAAGTCCCATTCGTCATCTTCAGGCTGGTGCTTTCAGCTTCGTACCTCGAGCAGCAATGTGTGGTCTTAGCTGTTTCTTCCTTTTAACTGCCAGTGGGGGTATGAACTGATTGGGTGGGAGCTTGGCTGTGTTCTGATTGGGTGGAGGTGTGTTCTGATTGGTTAGGGGCGTGGCTGTGCTCTGATTGGCTGGGGGGTTGGCTGTGCTCTGATTGGCTGGGGAGTTGGCTGTGCTCTGATTGGCTGGGGGAGTGTTCTGTTTGGTTGTGCTCAGGTTAGTCTGAGTTGCAGAGGGATTCAAGATTTTGGGCTGCCCTGCCATTCCTTGGCTTCGCGTTCGTGGTCGTGCTTCCTCTTCATGGAGGGTGTCAGTTTGCTTCATGTATGGATTGGGGGGGGTTAAAGTGGCTAATGATGCAGCTGTGGTCTGGATAAGTGCACGCATTGAAGAACATAAGAACTCAATCAAAAAAGAGGAACCAACATCTTCCCTGGTCCAACACCTTAAAGCTACAGGACATGAAATTGACTTTAAAAATACCAGAACCATTGCCAAAAGTGAACATTTTAATAACAGAATAATCAGAGAAGCAATCTAGATAGAAAAACGCCCACACAGCATGAACAAGCGAGATGATACCTCCCGCCTACCAGCCATTTGGAAACCCGCCCTCATTGACAAACGACTCCCTAACACAAAAAAATGATACCAGACCCACACTCACAAAAACCACACAGGAGCTCACCACCAAACATCCACGCAAAAAACAAACCCAAAGCCACACTGACTATGAGGCACGACCACAAACCAGAAGCCAGACCACAGCTGCATCATTAGCCACTTTAAACTCCCCCAATCCATACATGAAGCAAACTGACACCCTCCATGAAGAGGAAACACGACCACGAACACGAAGCCAAGGAATGGCAGGGCAGCCCAAAATCTTGAATCCCTCTGCAACTCAGACTAACCTGAGCACAACCAAACAGAACACTCCCCCAGCCAATCAGAGCACAGCCAACCCCCCAGCCAATCAGAGCACAGCCAACCCCCCCAGCCAATCAGAGCACAGCCACGCCCCTAACCAATCAGAACACACCTCCACCCAATCAGAACACAGCCAAGCTCCCACCCAATCAGTTCATAACCCCACTGGCAGTTAAAAGGAAGAAACAGCTAAGACCACACATTGCTGCTCGAGGCACGAAGCTGAAAGCACCAGCCTGAAGATGACGAATGGGACTTCGTCGAAACGTCGCCAAGACACTTCCAATTTTACGTGGGAGAAAACCCGAACAACCAAAGACCTACATACATATATATATATATACATACACACACACACACACATATATACACACACACACAAACACACACACACCTATAATAAAGGTAAAAAAGGATATATGCAGTGTTATCTTCATTTTAGATATCAAAAGGGTTTTGCGGCTCCCGGTGTTTTGTTTTTGGTGGGAAACGGGTCCAAGTGGCTCTTTGAGTGTTTTGGATTGCTTACCCCTGGACTAGATGACCTCCAAGGTCCCTTCCAACTTTATTATTATTATCATTAAAGTCCATGGGGAAGCCAGATTCACTTAATGGCTGCTGTGTTGCTAACTTCACTGCAGTGATTCACTTCCCAATGGTGGCAAGGAAGGGCGTAAAATGGGGGCCAAATTCACTGAATTGCCTTGTTTAAGGACAGAAATGGTGGGCTCAGCTGTGTTCGTAAGTCGAGGACTACCTTTTATTGCATTTGGCAAGCAGAGATCACAGGACTGGGATCCAGCCCAGGAAATTCACTTGCAATCCCAACTGCAGCAGGACTGCCGCCCGGCCCCAGCTATCACAGGATGCTCATCCGTTTCCCATTTCGGCTGACCGACATTTCCTGAAAAGCTGCGCAAGATTTCTGCTTTTACCACAGTCCGAGGTCAGCAGAGTAGCTTGAGGCTGTGTCCGTTGGCTAAATCTGGACGGAAATGCGTCTCTTAAAGGCTTCTTGGTCCCCAAGAAACAAAGAGGGAATCTGCTTTTTGATGGCCAGTAGAACTGCTGGAAAGGCAGCGTCGATAAGTGGCTGGAGTTGATAGCAAGGGTACGTGTGTGTGTGTGTGTGTGTCACAAAGCCCCAGGCAGTGACTAAATCCCAGCACTTGCACACCCAATGCACATACATTGCATCCAGTTTGGGTCGCCACAATATAAAAAAGATGTTGAGACTCTGGAAAGAGGACAGAGAAGAGCCACAAAGATGATCAGGGGATCGGAGGACAAAACATATAAAGAACGGTTGCTGAAATTGGGTGTGTCTCGTTTAATGAAGAGAAGGTCGAGGGGGGGCCAGGATAGCAGCCTTCCAGTATCTCAGGGGCTGCCCCCAAAGAAGAGGGAGTCAAGCTATTCTCCAAAGCCTCTGAAGGCAGGACAAGAAACCATGTTTGGAAACTAATCAAGGAGAGAAGCAACCTGGAAGTAAGGAGAAAATTCCTGACAGTGAGGACAATTAACCAGTGGAACTGCTTGCTTCCAGAAATTGCATGTCCAGTCCCCAGAACACTAGAGACCCTTGAGGAAGATCATTTGTGTGTGTGTGTGTGTGTGTGTGTGTGTGTGTGCACGCGCATGTGAAATAGATTAGACCAAACTGTAGCTAAGACATAACTTTGATCCCGGTGACCACCTGGGATTGGATCCTGCAAAACTTAAAACAATGTATCTCGACTTTGGCCACTTGAATATGCACGAACTTCAACTCCCAGAATGCTCCAGCCAGCTTTGGTGGAGGCTTCCTTTTTCTGCATTCTTAGGCACAGGGCTGGACTACATGATCTTTAAAGTGCTTTCCAATCCTGCTGTTTTAGGACTTTATGATATTTCTTGCTTGGGTCTTATAAGCTCAGTCCTAACTGAAGATTGGTCTCCACTTAATGACCTTCAGGACAGAATAACATACATATATGTATTCATGTGTAAACACATTCTATTATTTAAAAATGTTATCTATCATCTCTATATCATCCGCCCATCTATTATCCATCGATCTATCCATTTCTAATAATATCTCTGTGTCTGTCTGTTTTGAGAAACTGATTTATCTATATAATTATCTCTCCCTCTCTCTCTCTTTCTCACACACACACACACATACACACACAGACACACAAATTTATGGCAGCTCAACTCACACACAAGAAACTCGGGCAACCTTGGCTCTTTTATGACTCGTGGACTTCAACTCCCAGAATTCCTGAGCCAGGCACACTGAGGGGAAAGGGAGAGGTTTCCAAGCAGAGCCATGCTGGCTCAGGAATTCTAGGAGTTGAAGTCCAAGAGTCATGAGGGGGCTATATTTCCCCCATGCTGGCTCAGGCATTCCAGGAGTTGAAGTCCACGAGTCATAAAAGGGCCTGGCCTAGTTCATTGTTTCTCCACCTCAGCAACTTTAAGACGTGTGGACTTCAACTCCCAGAATTCCTGAGCCAGCCACGCTGAGGGGAAAGAGAGAGGTTTCCAAGCTGAGTCATTCTGGGAGTTAAAGTCCACCAGTCATAAAAGAGCCAAGGTTGCGTACCCGATATATACGCAAACCGAATTCAATCAGGTGCCTTTGATTCCAACACAGTGGAACACTGCAATACTTTTCGTGGTTGCGTCATCCCCCCGAGGCTTTCACTTTCGCTTGTCCGCCCCCCCTCCCTATGCAAAGCCAAGCTTCGCCCGATTTTAACCAGTAGTTTGCCTCCCGGATCTCTCCTTTGCAAGTCTAGCCCTGGCCTCTGAGCATGTGCAGAGATCTTTTTTTTTCTTCGCCCACCAGCCATCCTTTCCGAGCCAAGCTGCCCCCCCCCCGCCGCCGCCTTTGCAATTCACGGTTTTGCGATTGCAGCGCAGCCTTTCCCAACCTGGCGCTCTCCAGGTGGAGAGCCACATCTCCCATTATCCCCAGGCGGCTGGCCTGGGATGGGACTTGGGAGTCCGACCCCCTCGCGATCTGAGGCTGCTGCAAGCAGATGCGGGGCTTCGGTGCAGGGGGTCCGTAAAGCCCCCCTCCCCTAATGCTTCCTGCCCTTCTAAAGAAGCGGGTCGGGGGGCGTCCCGCAGCCCCCCCCGAAGCCCTGCACCTGCTTTCAGCAGCCCCCAATCTCCGGGGGCGTCGGACTCCAAGTCCCAACGGAGCAGCCCTCAATCGCCGGCGGCGTCGGACTCCAAGTCCCATCGGAGCAGCCCCCAATCGCCGGGGGCGTCGGACTCCAAGTTCCATCGGAGCAGCCCCCAATCGCCGGGGGCGTCGGACTCCAAGTCCCATCGGAGCAGCCCCCAATCGCCGGGGGCGTCGGACTCCAAGTCCCATCGCAGCATCTTCCAGTCGCCAGGGGCGTCGGACTACAAAGCCCATTGCAAACAGGCCCCAATCGCCAAGGGCGTCGGACTCCAAGCCCCATCGCAGCAGGCCCCCCCTCCCGAGCGCCAGACCCCCAACTCCCATCCCACGCCAGCCCTGCCGCCTGGGGATGATGGGAGGTGGGGCTCCCCTTTGCCAAGCGGCCCCCGCCCGCAAGCCCCGCCGCGCGGCCACTGGCGCAATCGGGCTGCAATCGGCGGGGCGGAGCCGGCGGCGGCGACGGCTCCTGCTGCAATCCGCGCCGCCGGCCGCATCAGCCGGCCGAGCGGCGAGGAGGAGCCGGAGGCGGAGACGGAGGCGGGCGGCGCTGCAAGGCGCCCACCCACCCGCTCCACCGCGGCCGGGGTTACATCATCCCCGCGGCTGGGGCAGAAGCGGCGGCGGGGCTCAGACAAAGCCGCTCGCGGGGTTGGTCGCAGCTGCGAGGATGGCGCCGCGCCGCCGTTGAACGGCGCTGCCGCATCGGGGCCGGTTGCCCCCCCCTTCCCCGCTTCCCCCCCCCAGCGAGGGGTCTTTCCCGGAGTCAGGAAGGCACAGAAGCCCCCCACCCCTTTCAGGGCTCCGGACGAAGGTACGGGGGGGGCAGGCGAGGGGAAAAGCAGGCGGGGGGGGGTCCTGGACTGGCGGGGGAGGGGGCTGAAGTCGCGTGGGGGGGCAGGGGGCGAGGACAATGCGTTGCCCACCTGCAAGTAACGGCGGAGGAGGGGGGGGTTCCCTCCCAATTCTTCCTCTGCCGGACCTTTATCCCCGGAGACCCCCGCCCCCGCCCCCTGGAGCCCAAGGGGCTGCCCTCTGCCCATGCTCAGAGGTCCCCTGTTCGTGGAGCCGCCTTTCCCCACCACCTCAAAGCATTGTCAAGGCTCCATCTCTAGGGCCTTTTTTCTCGGGGGCCACAGAATTGCAGGTTGAGGTTTGGGGGGTGGGTGGGCTAGAGATGCTAACGGGAGGGGGAAATGGAGGAGAAGGGGAGGGGGTTTGGTTTCAGAGAGGGGCCAAAACCCACCCTTGCATTCTTCCTCCCCTCCGAGAGTTTCCCCATGTAGAGGCGCCACAGGTGCCATTTTCAAATCGAGATGGGGGAGGGGGGAGGAACTACAGGCCCCATAACACCCCAGCCAGCCTGCTTTTGGGGGTCCGGGAGGTTGGCATGATAGGGGAAAAGGGGTGAAGCCACCTCCTGGCACAAACGGTTCAGCGGGGACGGGAGAATTCGGAGCTGCTTATTCAGCCCCGGCGTATCGCTTAGTAACGCGCCGTATCATCCATGAGTGGCTCGTGAATGGCGAGGCTGACTTGACGGGACGGGGCGAGTCATCCTGGTATGCACATGGGAAGGGCGGGGGGGGGGGGGCAAAGGCCAGGCCAAGCCGGGATCTGGCATTTTGCGGGGCACTCTAGACAAGGATCCAACCAGTTCTGCATCCTTGAAATAAGCCCCATAAAACAATTAGCTGATAAGGCCATTCCAGGTCATTCTTGACTTACAAGCACGGCTGAGCTCCAAAATTTATGTCGCTAAGCGAGACAGTTGTTTTGGCCCACTTTGCAACCTGGTGGTTAAGTCGATCCCGGCCGATGTCAAGTTAGCAACACAGTTGTTAAGTGAATCTGGCTTCCCCCGTGAATAATAATAATAATAATAATAATAATAATGCTGCCTACCCCAGGTCCTTGGTAAGGACTTGATAGGTAGACAAAATGTCAAATCCAGTCTGAACATCTGGCTGACTGTGCGATGATCAATAATAATAATAATAGTAATAATAAAGTTGGAAGGGATCTTGGAGGTTATCTAGTCCAACCCCCTGCTCAGGCAGGAAACCCTATACCATTTGCTTGTTGGAACGTCGCAAAAGCGGATCACGGGAATCCCAGGACACTGCGACCGTCATAAATATTAGACGGTTGCCAAGCTGATCAAAGTCCAGCCGTCTCGTATTTATCGTGGGGATGCTGATCATGGGGGTGCTGCAGTGGTCACAAGTGTGGGAAACGGTCATACGAAGTTTTTTTTTTTATCCCCAGTACCGTTGTATTTTCAAAAAGTCACTAAACGAACTGTTGTAAATCGAGGACTTATTTAGGTTAGTCACTGCTGATGTGCAGGGAGTTCTGCAGAAAAATAAGGCAGGGGGGCAGTGTTGTGTGCCAATGCTGGGGGTTTTTTTTGTTGGCGATCTCGCCTGGGGGGGGGTGAGAAGGAACATGCGTGCTCGCTTCGGCAGCACATATGCTAAAATTGGAACGATACAGAAGGAACATGCCAGGGGTGAGCAAAGATAAGGTGCCTTGCCAGCCTCTTGCAACACGTCCTGGATGACTCACTCACCTGCGTGCGTGGAAGGATAATGAGACACCTGAGTTGGCCTCAGTGGCATCCTTCGCACTCTCTGAGTGGATTGTTTTCTTGCAGATGTTTCGGTACCCAAGTTAAGAAACAAACTAGCTAGGACTAGCGCTGGTGATGTTACCTAGTTTGGGTAATGAAGGCAGGACAAGAAGCAACGGATGGAAACCAATCAAGGAGAGAAGCAACTTGGAACTATGACGAAATTTTCTGACAGTTGGAAACAATTAATCAGTGGAACTGCTTGCTTCCAGAAGTTGTGGATGCTCCAACACGGGAGGGTTTGAAGAAGAGATTGTCTGAAATGATAGTAGAGGGTTTTCCTGCTTGAGCAGGGGGTTGGACTAGAAGACCTCCAAGGTCCCTTCCAAGTCTGTTGTTCTATTACGCTGTTCACACACCTATACTTCACCCTCCACCAATGGGGGGGGGGCAGAGGATATTGTACCAAAAGGGGGAAAGCGGCATTTTTTAAGCGTGCTCTGCAGAGCGTTTTCCCTTGTTAAGTTAGAAAGAATGCAGCTATTGTTCGGGAAATCCAGATTGGGATAGGAGGCAAGCGAGCTGCCCAGTCTCCAGAGTCAATGCAAGGAGCAACTTGCTCTGTCTTTACATCAGCCACTGTGGCTGCGATGCTGACAGCCCCGTTGCAGAAACTTCCCAGATATTGCATGACTCTGGACACAGGCCCCTCCTCCCCCCCTCCTCCTCCTCTCTGCAATTCCCATTCCCTTCCAGCACTGATGATGTTCCCTAGTTGGGTCATGAAATGTCTGTAAGAAAACAAAAAGCTCAGAGACCACCAAGGATCCCACAATTCTTTTCTACCTCCATTCCTCCTCCTCTTCCTCCTTCTCTTCCTTCTCTTCCTCCTCCTCCTCCTCCTCCTCCTCTCTGCAATTCCCATTCCCTTCTAGCATTGATGATGTTCCCTAGTTGGGTCATGAAATGTCTGTAAGAAAACAAAAAGCTCAGAGACCACCAATTCTTTTCCACCTCCATTCCTCCTCCTCCTCTTCCTCCTTCTCTTCCTCCTAATCCTCCTCCTCCTCCTCCTCCTCCTCCTCCTCCTCCTCCTCCTCCTCCTCCCTGCAATTCCCATTCCCTTCTAGTACTGATGATGTTCCCTAGCTGGGTCATGAAATGTCTGTAAGAAAACAAAAAGCTCAGAGACCACCAAGGATCCCACAATTCTCTTCCACCTCCATTCCTCTTCCTCCTCATCTCCGCATCCCCACTCTCTTCTAGCACTGATGTTGTAACCTAGTTGGGTCATGAAACGTCTGCAAGAAAACAAACAAGCTCAGAGAGCCCCAAGGACCCCACAGTGCTCCTCCTCCTCCTCTCTGCAAACCCCAGTCCCTCCTGCACTGATGTTGTAACCTAGTTGGGTCATGAAACGTCTGCAAGAAAACAACCCAGTTCCAATTACAATCTAAGGACCAGACACAGAACTAGGAAAGGGAACTGGATCCTTGCCAGAATTTCTGACCTAAAATGCCTTAACCCTTTCCACTCCCCTGTGCTTTGTTCCAGATGAGCCAGTGGATGCCAAAGCCTGGCGCAGAGGCCCACGTGCCTAAAAGGAGACTGTGCTGTGAGAAAGGGTCCAAAGAGGGCAGCCCGGCATCCAAGCACCCGCGTCTGGACAGGCTGCCAGGGCCATCACCCTGCCTCCAGCCCCTGCCTCAGTGCCCTCCTGCCGCAGGAAAGGATTTGATCATCACTCAGATTGGCCACTACATCCTTCTGGAGCCGACAGAAGGTGGATGCACCTACAGGGCTGTGGACAGACACACCGAGGCAGAGCTGACCTGCAAGGTATGAGATGATTGGTCTAGAGCCAGGGGTCTTCAAACTTGGCCCTTTTATGACTTGTGGACTTCAACTCCCAGAATTCCTCAGCCAGGCTGGTCTAGACTCTCAAGCTTGGCCCTTTGTGCGGACTTCAATTCCCAGAATCCCCCCAGGAACCATAAACAGACCCAGGAAGAGAATGAATGTGTAAGGTTTAGTTACTTGCAGATTAAATAGCTTTTCTCAACCTCGGCCATGTTAAAATGAGTGGATTTCAACTCCCAGAATTCCCCAGCCAATAACCTTGGACCAATCATAAGTTGCTTTTTCCAGCGCTAGAGTAACTTCTAAAGGGTCGCTAAACACATGTTCGTAAGTGTAAGGACTGGTCCTACATCACTTTTTTTCAGTGCTGTCATAACTTTGAATGGCCGCTAAACCAATGGTTACAGGTGTGAGGAGGACCGATCCCAAGTCACTTTTTTTAGCGCCGTCATAACGTTGAATGGTCGTTAGATGAATAGTCATAAGCTGAGGAGTACAATAAGGAAAGGCATAGCATACAGGAGGCACTGTCAGAAACAGTGACCTATCAATAACTCACAAGGCAGCTGTTGAATGTGACAAATGGGGAACAACATCCTTGCACAGATGAGCCGATGGTCACATAGAGAAAACTAGGTCTGTCTGTCTGTCTATTATCTATCTATCTATCTATCTATCTATCTATCTATCTATCTATCTATCTATCTATCTATCCCCCTCTATCATCTCTATGTGCCCGTCTCTCTATCATCTCTATACACCCGTCTATCATCTATCTTCTCTATCTACTCCCTCTCTATCATCTATCATTGTCTGTCTGTCTATCTATCCCCCTCTATCATCTCTATGTACCCGTTTATCATCTATCTACTCCCTCTCTATCATTATCTATCTGTCTGTCTGTCTATCTGTCTGTCTATCTGTCTATCTAATCTATCTCTCATCTCTCATCTATATTATCTGTCTATTTATCTATCTATCTACTCTCTCTATGTACCCCCTCTATCATCTCTATCTACTCCATCTCTATCATCTATCATTATCTGTCTGTCTATCTATCCTCTATCATCTCTATGTACCTGTTTATTATCTATCATCTCTATCTACTCCCTCTCTATCATTATCTATCTATCTATCTATCTGTCTGTGTCTGTCTGTCTGTCTGTCTATCTATCTATCTATCTATCTATCTATCTATCTATCTATCTATCTATCTATCTATCATCCATCTGTCTCTCATATCTCTATAATCTGTCTGTCTGTCTGTCTATCTATCTATCTATCTATCTATCTATCTATCTATCTATCTATTTATCTATGCACCCCCTCTGTCTATCATCTTTCTCTCTCGCCGTACCTACCTCTATCATCTATCATCTCTATCTACCCTCCTCTATCATCTATCATTATCTATCTCTGTCTGTCTATATCTACATACCCCTCTATTATCTCTCTCTCTCTCTCTCTCTCTCTCCCTCTCCCTCCCTCTCTCAGATGTATAGGCCGCTCATCTTACCTCAAGATAATTCTGCAGCTTGCTCTTCTTTTTTTCCTCACGTCTTTCTCTTTCCTTTCAGGTTTATCCGGCAAAGAGCTACCCGGAGGTGATGGCGCCATATGCTGCTCTCCCCTCGCACCCCAACATTGCCCGGGTGGCCGAGGTCATTGTGGGGGATCAGAACGTTTATGTCTTTTTTGAGCCTGGGAAGGACAACATGCATGACCTGGTGAGGCGGCGTAAGCGTGTGCCGGAATCGGAGGCCGTCGCCCTTTTCCGACAAATGGCCGAAGCCGTCGCCCACTGCCACCAGCACGGCATCGTCCTTCGGGACATCAAACTGAGGAAGTTTGTCTTCGCGGATCGGGAACGGTGAGAATCGAAAAAAGCAGCTGATTTTCCCAGGGCAGAAAAACCCTCAATTTCAGTTCATTTGCATTCAGACGTTATTAAAATTAAATATAATCGCGGTGAGGTGTCCAATTATCACACCTCCCATTTAGCAGATTTCAGTCTAATTGTGAGGGAATTGCACAGCCGGTGTCCAAATGAAGTCAGAGAAGCTGACACGAATTTGTAGTTTTATATAAATATATCTATTTTACATTTATATTTTCAGCAAACAGAGTCAGGAACATCATGAGGTAAATCTAAACCGCATACAGAGCACACAGGAGGAAAACGGGAAAAAAGGGAAACGCCCCCTTTACACCTAGTAACCAATCACAGTGCAAATTGGTTCATGCACGACATTCTCCAACCAATCAACTACAGCTGTGTGCTCTGGCCCATTGTACACTTTACTGTTCCAGCTACTAAATTCAATATCCTAACATTAATATATCTTATTTTTTTATTCCAGCATCTCCCCGGAATAACTGGAATAAATTTTATAAATAAATAACTGGAATAAATTTTATAAATAAGTAACAGGAATAAATTTTATAATAAATAACAAATAAATTTTATAAATGGAAGTAAATAAATAAATAACTGGAATAAATTTTATAAATAAATAACAGGAATAAATTTTATAATAAATAAATAATTTTTATAAATAAGTAAATAAATAAATAACTGGAATAAATTTTATAAATAAATAACAGGATTAAATTTTATAATAAATAACAAATAAATTTTATAAATAAGTAAGTAAATAAATAACTGGAATAAATTTTATAAATAAATAACAGGAATAAATTTTATAATAAATAAAAATAATTTTTATAAGTAAAATAAATAACTGGAATAAATTTTATAAATAACAGGAATAAATTTTATAATAAATAATTTTTATAAATAAGTAAGAAAATAAATAACTGGAATAAATTTTATAAATAAATAACAGGAATAAAATTTTATAATAAATATCAAATTTTATAAGTAAGTAAATAAATAACTGGACTACATTCTATAAATAAATAAATAACAGGAATAAAAATTTTATAATAACTAAAATAAATAAATAAAGTTTACAAATAAGTAAAGAAATAACCGGAATAAATTTTATAGATAAATAAATAACAGGAATAAAATTCTATAATAAATGAATAACAAATACATTTTATAAATAAGTAAATAAATAACTGGAATAAATTTTATAATAAATAAAAGGAATAAAATTTATAAATAAATAAATAAATGGAACAATTTTTTTAAATGAATAAAATACTAAACTAAACCAAACCAAAATCTAAACCAAACCTAAACCTAAACCTTCAACATAAACTTAAACTTAAACTAACCATCTGGATGAGGCCATTTAACTTACCTCATTCCTCTATACTAGCAAATAATAAAATTCAAATTCTGACCTCAGGAGGCAAGTGACATGGTTTTAACATCATGGGCTCCACGTTATATCACTTGGATCATGAAGTCCAGAAGCCCACGGTGTCATTTGAAGGATGACCTCTTAATTCAGTTGACGCAACGGATCTAAATTTAATATAGAAGTAGTCCTTACTTAGCAACAATTCAGAGTTATGACTTGGGAAGTCCTTATGATTTTTGACAAACAAACTCGGTGGCAGGTTGATTCGCTTAATGACTGTAGCAAAAATTGGACACGAGTCCCTTGGCAACCGCAGCACTTAGTGACGGAAGCTAGGGTTCCAATTGTGGTTGTAAGTCAAGGACAACCTGTAATCACAAATAAACAGCTGGATTTTTTTTTAAAAAAGGACTTTGTGTTGGATTCCACTGCAGTGGAAAATCCAGATGTTGCATTGATGAAAAAGGAATCTTATCGTCACGAACGATACATGTGTTTTATTAGATTGATAAATTTATAAATGTGAGATGGGAAGTTATCTAAATCGTGTACATAACTGAAATAAATGAACAGCCTTGTGACAGAGCTAGATGTCATATGAAACTAAAACCCAATACAGGTGATCCTTGACTTACAAATAGTTCATTTAGTAACTGTTGGAAGTTTGCAAAGCATTACTAATACTTCATGTTATTTTGATTCTATGCCTCTGTTTATACAACCAAGAATTGTATTAGCTTTTTTGGCTGCTGCTGCACATTGCTGGCTCACGTTTAAGCGATCGTCAACTAGGACTCCAAGGTCCTTCTCAGAGTTACTGCTTTGGAGCCAAGTTTCGCCTAATCTGTACTTGTACCTTTGTTTTTTTCCAGGTCCAAGTTGCTGCTGGAGAACCTGGAAGATGCCCAGGTCCTTCTAGGTCCCGACGACGCCTTAGTGGACAAGCACGGCTGTCCCGCTTACGTGGGTCCCGAAATCCTGAGCTTCAAGGGATCCTATTCTGGAAAGGCCGCGGATATCTGGAGCCTGGGGGTGGTCCTCTACACTTTGCTGGTGGGCTGCTACCCCTTCCAAGACACCAAGCCCATTTCATTGTTTGGCAAGATCTGCCGTGGACGCTTTAGAGTCCCGGACGATCTCTCGCCTAAGGCCCAGTGCCTTATCCGGTGCCTCTTGCGAAGGGATCCGGCTGAAAGGCTGACCGCCAGCGGGATCCTGCTCCATCCTTGGCTGACTTCGAACCCCGTCCCCAAGGCGTTGGGGGTCAGCCCCGCTGGAGGGCAGGGACCGGATCAAGTGGTTCCCGAAATGGGGAGGTGCAGAAAGGATGCGGATAAATTGCGAGAAGAGGGACAGATGAAGTGGCCTTGAGGGGAAGAAGGAAGAGGAGAAAAAGCGTACGACGTGGATGCCATATCTCAGCTGCCCTGGAAGTGCCTTTTGGGGGACGAAGCGCCATTCCCCTTTGCCCTCCCCTAGGGCAGGGGGGTCACTTCGTCCCGAAACCTGGGGAGAGAAGGGCTTCGCCCTCTCTTTGCCCTTCGCGTTCTCGCCCATGCCAAAGAAACCTTAAGGGGGTTTTGTTAAGCACCAGCAAGCTCTTAAAAGAGGGATGTTTTGCACCTTTAATTTGGGATGTGTGTTGATTTGGACAAGGACTCTGGAACCTGCTGGAATGGTTGATGGGAGAAAGAAATCTAGCATTGATGATGTTACCTAGTTTGGTAATGAGATGTCTGGAAGGAGGCAGCTAAACTCAGAGGGAACAAAGGACCCTGCAGTCATCGTTCTCCTCCTCCTCCTCTTCTTCTTCCTCTTCCTCCTCCTCCTCTCCACTCTGCAATCTTCCCTCCCTTTTAGCACTGGTAATATTACCTAGTTTGATAATAAAACGTCTACAAAAACACTACCAAGCTCAGAGAGCACCAAGGACCCTTATCTCATCTTGAGGTACAAATATTCTTTCCTCCTCCTCCTCCTCCTCCTCCTCCTCCTCCTCCTCCTCCTCCTCCTCCTCCTCCTCCTCTCCACACATCTCACTCCTTTCTAGCACTGATGGTGTTCCCTAGTTGGGTCATGAAAGGTCTGCAAAGAAACAAGAAAGCTCAGAGAGCACCCAGGACCCCACAGTTCTCCTCCTCCTCCTCCTCCTCCTTTTCTACCTCCTCAACCCTCCTCGTCTATGCAAACAGCTCTCCCTTCCAGCACTGATGATATTACCTAGCTGGGTAACGAGACGTCTGCGGGAAAAGCATCCAAGCTCAACGAGCGCCAAGGATCCCAGAAAAAAGATGCTTTTTCTGCACGCTGGGGCTGGATTTCATGGTCCACAGTTTCAGAGGAAGGAATGGATGGAAAGGACGCTCTCCCCGGCGACGTTGAGTGATGGACATTTCTGCAAAGCGTGGGATGACTTTCCCTGTCCGGTGCCAAAGAAACGGTTGAGATGGGACTGATGCTTTCTGAGATGGAAGAGGCCAAAGGAGGGGGAATTCTTGGGTTGGCTTTTCCTGTTTTTTTCTGACACCCCCCTCCCCAAAATGGGATAGCCTTAAATTGCTTGCATCCTGCAAGCCTTAAACTAGAATCTTAATCAATGCTTTTCAACGTTGGCCACTTTAAGACGAGTGGACTTCAACTCCCAGAATTCCCCAGCCAGCAATGCTGGCTGGGGAATTCTGGGAATTGAAGTCCACCCGTCTTAAAGTGGCCGAGGTTGAAAACACTGGATCACCAAGGTCCATTCCATCCTTCTTTTTCTTTTTTGATGCCCTATTTAGAATAGACTTATCTTCGTTGTCACTGTGTAACAACGACATTTCTATTCCTACCCAAATTTGTTTCACAACTATACTTGACAGATGTGGGGTGTTTGGGGCATTCTCCATCTTCCTTGATTCAAAAATGTGGTCCATTACATTGAGGGCTGTGTGACTTTAGAAGACACGTTGGCCGCCATGTTTTCTAAGCTTGCTCACTTGGCTTGAGATGGTTTTTCCACCTCTGCTCCACTCAGGATTGCATTAATTGTGTGTGTGTGTGTGTGTATTTGAATTACAGACCTGTGAAGACGGGTTGGGAAAAGAAGGTTCTTGTGTCTTGGTTGGGTTTGAAGACCAAGCCAACATTTGAGGTCACCAAGATCTGATCCTTCCTCCTGACCTCAGGATCCTCCCCATAATAAATCTGGATACCTCGTTGCCTCAAGTTTCTTTCCCCAACTCCAGAATTTGTAATGTTGTGGAAAAAGAGCTGTGGTAGATCTTGCTTGGAGTAAAGTATAGCCATCAGGGAAAGTAGATGTGGGTATGTGTGTTGATTTTCACCACACATCTGTGAAGATGGGTGGTTTTGAAGATGGAAAAAGAAGATCCTTGTCATTTGAGTCCATAGTTCTTGGTCACGTTTGAAGACCAAGCCAAGATTTGAGGTCACCAAGATCTGGTCCTTTCTCCTGATCTTGCGATCCTTCCCATAACAGTTATGGATACTTCCCTCCCTCAAGTTTCTTTCTCCGACTCGGGAAATTCAGATGTTCTAGGAAGAGGGCCATAGTAGATCATAGATGGGTTGAAGCGTAGACACCAAAGGAAGGCATTTGATCACTCAACTGAACAAGATATGGTTGCGTCTGAGCTCCTCCTCCACTTCCCCAACCCTGAAGGACTTGGTTTGTCCATTAGTGCCAAGAATGGAGCTGGTTTGGTCATGGGTACCCAGGACCATCTTCCCAACCCAACCCAACCCAACCCAACCCAACCCATGGCATGCTAGCTCTACTTGCAAGATGCTAGCTCTGCATGCAAGATCTACCAAGTCTTGCAATCCATGATGGGGCATCTTCTCCCAGAGAAGAATGGATTGATGGGGTGCCCCCTAGAGAGGATGCCTTAAGCAGCTCCATGTGAGACACAGTAACTGGAGGAGAGGGAGATCTATTCTCTCCTCCCCCAAGAACCAGCTGACTTTCCAGTGTGCCTACAAAACTACCTCTCCCAGAATTCCTTGGGAACGGACTTCTTCCCTTATCTTCCAAGCTGCTTTCTGGTTCCTCTGTGTATTTGTGTGAGTAAGTCAGGGGTCTTCAAACCTGGCCCTTTTAGGACTTGTGGACTTCAACTCCCAGAATTCCTGGCTGAGGAATTCTGGGAATTGAAGTCCACAAGTCATAAAAGGGCCAAATTTGAAGACCTTTGGAGTAAGTGGACAAGCGATCTTCGGGACTCGGTTTCCTTTTGGGAGGGTCAGTTTGGCCAAAGCAAACTTACAACAATTCATTTTAGTGAGTGTCCCACTTAGCAACATAAAATTTGGGCTCAATTGTGATCGTACGTTGAGGACTACCTGTATAGATCTGTTCCTTATTAGAGATGTGTTTCTCAACCTTAGCAACGAGGTTATGTGGACTTCAACTCCCAGAATACAAGTAGTCCTCCACATACAACTACTCCTTTAGTGACTGTTCTAAATGAAAAAAAAAACTGACTTACAACCGGTCATCTCTCAACTGTCACAGCATCCACCAGGAGGTGGTGAGTTCTAGTCCCGCCTTAGGCCCAAAAGCCAGCGGGGTGACTTTGGGCCAATCACCAGGAGGTGGTGAGTTCTAGTCCCGCCTTAGGCCCAAAAGCCAGCGGGGTGACTTTGGGCCAATCACCAGGAGGTGGTGAGTTCTAGTCCCGCCTTAGGCCCAAAAGCCAGCGGGGTGACTTTGGGCCAATCACCAGGAGGTGGTGAGTTCTAGTCCCGCCTTAGGCCCAAAAGCCAGCGGGGTGACTTTGGGCCAATCACCAGGAGGTGGTGAGTTCTAGTCCCGCCTTAGGCCCAAAAGCCAGCGGGGTGACTTTGGGCCAATCACCAGGAGGTGGTGAGTTCTAGTCCCGCCTTAGGCCCAAAAGCCAGTTGGGTGACTTTGGGCCAGTCCCTCTCTGTCAGCCCAGCCACCTCACAGGGTTGTTGTGGAGAAAATGGAAGGAATATTATATGTGTTTGCCCCCTTGAGTTATTTGTCAAAATAATGAAGGCAGCATAAAAACAATAAATGGGTTAATCCCGTAATTAACTTTCATGCAAGTGTGCAACCTTCATTCCGCACCCAAAAACAGGCCTGAAATTGGGGTGAATTATTTATGGGTGTGCACAGGGCGAGATCTCTTGTGTGCACCCAGTGTGTGACTCTTATCACTTTGTGCCAGATTATTTATTTATTTCCTTGGGGGTTGTACATTGTGTGAACAGCACTCCTGTATTGGATGAACCCAGGTTTAGTCTGCTGTGTGAACTCATTCTCACTTGCTTTTTTAATACCGAATTTGCTGGTTTTTCTGCCTTTTGGAAAATAAAAGATGAGTTGACTGGCGTTTGTAACAATTTCTTTTTTTTTTTTTTTTTGCAATTTTAACTACCAGAGAAGTTGGAATAAAAGATTTTTGCCTAGATCCTGTTCCTGCAGTTTTCCTAAGGTACGAGTAGAGTCAATATTTTTCAAACTTGGCAACTTTTAAGATTTCTGGACATATTAAACATAGCGTATATCAAATGTTAAACAGTGTTTTCAAATATCTTTTAAAAATACTCTTTAAAAGGAAGAGTTATATTCTCTATCACTGGTTCTCAACCTTGGTAACTTTAAAATGTATGGCTGCTGGAGAATTCTGGGAGTTGTAGTCTACACATTGCTCTATTGCAGGGGCCTTCAAACTTGGCCCTTTTACGACTTGTGGACTGCAACTCCCAGAATTCTTCAGCAGCCATGCTGGCTGAGGAATTCTGGGAGTTGAAGTCCACAAGTCTTAAAGTTGCCAAGGTTGAGAACCCCTGCTATAGAGTATGTTGTAAAATATGTGACTTTTACAAAAGGGAAAATATAATGGATTTTTTATCAGTAGAATAAAGTCCGGGCTTTATTAGTCTGGGCTGCCCGTCTCATTTCAGGTTTTTAACTGTTCTTTTCTAGTTTTTTAATACCCTACCAAGAATCCATTGGCGTCGGCCGGCCAATTGTCTTGTCGTTCAAACTTACAATGGCATTGAAAAAAAGTGACTTATGATCATGTTTCTCACTTACGATGGTTGCAACTTCCCTACGGTCACGTGATCGAAATTCGGGAGCTTAGCAACTGGCATGTACTTATGACTGTTGCAACCCCCCGGGGTCATGTGATCCTCTTTTGAGACCATCTAACAAGCCAAGTCAAGGGGGAAACCAGATTCTGCTTAACAACCACTTCACTGCAGTCGTGAAGTTGTTACTAACTTCATGACTGCAGCAATTCACTTAACAACTGTGGCAAAAAGATTGTAAAATGGAGCAAAACTCACTTAACGACTGCCTTGCTTAGCAACGGAATTTTGGGGGCCCAATTTCGGTCGTAAGCTGAAGACTGCCTGTATCTCTTCCTAATTTTCCCCAAACTGGCTGAAAAGGGGCAGTTGCCCCTCCCCCAAAGTCCAGCCCCCCCACCTTGCCTGCAGGACAACCTGGAAAAGAGCAGCAGGATAGGACTGGATGGGGAACCACCAGGTGATATCAAAGCAGAGAAAAACAATCAGCCCGGATCTGGCTGGGCTTTGCTTCTGGGGTTGTCGCTGGCTGGGCCGAGGCAGCCAAGAAGGGCGGTCTTGTGATGTCACAGAGATCCCCTGTGATTCACTTAACAACTGTGCCCACAAGGTCCTCAAATGGGGCAAAACTCACTTAACAGCTGCCTTTCTTAGCAACCCAAATTTGGGGCGGAAATCGTGGCCTTCACTTGAGGACCACCTGCCTCTCTTCCCAGTTGGCTCCTTTCAGGCTGAAAAGTGGCAGCTGCCCTCCCCCCAAAGTGGAGGCCCCCCCGCCCATAGGACAACCCTGAAAAGTCTGGACTGGACGGGGGACCACCAGGTGATCCCGGAGGTGGGGGTGGGAAAGCATTCCGGAAAAGCAACGGTAATGTTTCCAGGCTCGGCTCGGCTTGGCTTCCGGCGACGCGGCCGAAGAAGGGCGTCGCTCCGGGCTGCTTGCGGGGGGTCGGCCACGCGGGGTCCACGGGAGAAGACCCGGCCGCCGTGACGTCACGGGGATTCCCTCTGCCCGGGCTCCGAAGCGGAAGCCGCGTGCTCGGCGCTGCTGCTGCTCCTCCTCCTTCTCTCTGCCGCTTTTTGGTTTCGCTTTCCTGGTGGCGGCGGTGGAGGCGCTTCCCTGCCCGGGGTTGGCGGTCAGTATTGCGGGACCCCCCCACACCGCTCTCCCTCCCTTGCAATCTTCCCCCTCCCCGCGCGGGAAAAGGGTCTGGCGTCCCGTCCCGGAGCGTGCATTTCTCCCCGCGGCGCTTGCAAGTGGCACGGCGGGGCCGGAGGCCCAGGCCGCCCCGGGGTGGGGTGGGGAGGGGTTGGGGGTGGGTGGGCTGGATCTTTGCTACCCCCCCCCACAAGAAATGTCTCTTCTAGTCTCTCTCCCCCCCCCCCTCCCACTCTCCAAACGGGGTTTGGCTGGCCGGTCCCGCGCGCTTCTTGCAATCAGTCCCAGGGCGCTGGGTTGCAACCTGGAAGCGGGTGTGTGTGTGTGTGTGTGTTTGTGTGCCTTGCAAGGGGGCGGACGGTGCTACTACCTCCATTGCACGAACACCCCCCCTCCTCACCCCACTTCCCAGGCAGACAGGGGGGCTACACCCTCTTCTAGGGCTTCTCCTCCGAGGATTCGCTGCTTGCATGTAAGAGAACAGCTGGGGCGTGGGGGGGCTGATGACCTTCGACTCTACAGGAAGGGTCCTTCCACCCTCTCCCCCACCCCCTTACCCGGGGACCAACTCTACAACCCCGTTACCCCCCCCCAAGGGCTTAACCCCATCAGCTGCACACCCCTCTCCCTACCTACAGTTTGATTTGTTGCTTTCAAGTCTTTGGTCCTCATGAAGTTCCCGCCTTTTCATTTTTCACCTTTTCAATTTCCGCCACCAGGGGAAAGCAGAGGCAGGTCCCGTTTTAGGGGAGCCTGTTCCTCCTCCTCCTCCTCCTCCTCCTTAGGGGTGGGATTTGCCCAGCTGAAATGGTGGGAGGGGGCTTCGGACCGCTGGAGGTCCCCACCCCACCCTGGGGACTCCCCTAGTGGCCTTGATTTGGGAGAGAGTTTGACATCTATAGGGTTATGTAATCCCCGACTTTGCAAACTTTCTGGGCTCTGGATAGATGCAGATTTTAATGCTCCACTGAGGGACTTTTGTGTTGTGCTGGGGGCATGTGTGCTAATTTAAATTTGGGGGTAGGAGCGGAGCTTTATTTCTTTATTAGATTTATTATTTTTTACTTTGGCCAACTGGGCGTTTGTAGTCCGATGTGCATTAAACGAGATTTCTGCTTCTTCCGTCAACAGTTTCATGTGGCTGCTGGATCATTCCCAGCTTTTATTCCTGATTTAGTTTCTTTGGCTGAGTTTTCAGAGTTTAGGGTGACTTGAAGGCAGGTTACAAGCAGAGCTTGATTGGACCCAAGTTAGACAGCATCATCTGTGCTGGAAGATGAGGAGGAGGAGGAGGAGGAGGATTGTGGGGTCCTTGGTTCTCTCTGCACTTGGATATTTTCTTGCAGACCTTTCATCACCCAACTAGGTAACACCATCAGTGTTAGAAGGGAGAAGAGTGTGTGGAGAGGAGGAGGAGGATGACTGTGGGGTCCTTAGTGCTCTTTGAACTTGGATGTTTTCTTGTAGACATTTCATTACTCAACTAGGTAACACCATCAGTGTCAGAAGGGAGTGGGGTGTGTGGAGGAGGAGGAGGAGGAAGAGAAGGAGGAGGATGATGACTGTGGGGTCCCTGGTGCTCTCTGAACTTGGATGTTTTCTTGCAGACCTTTCATCACCCAACTAGGTAACACCATCAGTGTTAGAAGGGAGTGGGATGTGTGGAGAGGAGGAGGACTGTGGGGTCTTTGGTGCTCTCTGGACTTGGATGTTTTCTTGCAGACCTTTCATTACCCAACTAGGGAACACCATCAGTGTTGGAAGGGAGTGGGGTGTGTGGAGGAGGAGCAGGAGGAGGAGGTGGTGGTGGTCCAGAGGGGAGTTGGGTGGACAGGAGGCCGTGTCCACTGGATCCTTGCAAACCTATCCCTCAGGCTACCTCTGTACATACCAGTAGGTGTGGGAGGAGAACGTAGGAAGTCCTTTGGAAAGCAGACTTAAACCCGTCTCCCAGAATGACCTGCCCAGCAGTGAGGGGGCATTGGGGGAAGCAGGAGGGGGTGGGCTCCGCTGCTTTTCGATTGTGAGTTGGAAAACACACCTACCTTCCCTCTCTTGATCTGCCTCACCAGATTTTAAAGATTTGAGGCTGGGGGAGTTGCTTTTCTCTCCAGCTGTGAGGTTGATGGGAACTCAAACTGGGTGTGTGTGTTTCCTTTCAAATGCCCCTTATTCCACTTGGAAGACCGGAAGGGGCTGGGCTGTCAAAGTTGCAGACTGCTAGTCTTTCTTCCCTCCCTCCCTCCCTAACACTGAACATAGAATCCTAGGGCTGTGAGGTCTTCTAGTCCAGTGTTTCCCAAACTTGACAATTTTAAGGCATGTGGACTTCAACTCCCAGAATTCCACAGCCAGCGTTGCTGGCTGTGGAATTCTGGGAGTTGAAGTCCTCATGCCTTAAAATTGTCAAGTTTGGGAAACACTGTTCTAGTCCAACGTCTTGCCCCAGGCAGGAGACTTTATTCTATCCTAGACAAATGGCTGTCCAGTCTCTTTTTAAAAACCTCCAGTGATGGAGCACCCAGAACTTCCAGAGGCAAGCAGTTCCACCGATTAATTATTGTCACTGTTAGGAAATTCCTCCTGATTTCCAGGCTGGATCTCCTGTCCAGCTTCCACCCATTGCTGCTTCTTGTCCTGCCTTCAAATGATTTGGAGAATAAATCAATTCTTTCTTCTCTATAAGAGCCCCTCCAATATTGAAGATTGCTATCCTGTCCCCTCTAATCCTTCTATTTGGAAAAAAATCTTTCCTTTCTTTCTTTCTTTCTTTCTTTCTTTCTTTCTTTCTTTCTTTCTTTCTTTCTTTCTTTCTTTCTCTTCCTTCCTTCCTTCCTCTTTCTCTCTTTCTCCCTCCTTCCTTCCTTCCTCTTTCTCTTTCCTTCCTTCTTTCTTCCTTCTTCCTTCCTTCCTTCCTCTTTCTCTCTTTCCTTCTTTCTTTCTTTCTCTCTCTCTCTTTCTTTCTTTCTTTCTTTCTTTTTCTTTGTCTCTATTTTTATGTAAGGGTGTAGGTCTATATATAAATTGTATACAATATATTTTAAATGTGTGTTACGTATGTGTACACTTGAGAGCAAGCAGCTAGATTTCATTTTTAATGTGTGCTGTTGTGCCCACAGGAAAAAAGGACAATAAAAAGGTTAATCTAATCTAATCTAAATCTCTTTCTCTGTCTCTCTTTCCTTCCCTCCCTCTCTGTTTCTCTTTCTCTTTCTGTCTAACTGGTTGTTTGATTGATTCTCTCATTCACTGCTAACCTAAGAACGCAATTCAATTCTCGGTGGCTCACGACAATAAAACCCAGAACTAAAAAAAAAACAACAAAAAAACAACCCAGTCTTTTTGGTTGTCTGGAGAATAATCCAGCCTGTTTGGGCAATGTTTTCTTTTCTGAGTAACTCTCTGGTCCTGGTGACTGACCCAAATTCACTCTAGAGCAGGGGTCTTCAAACTTGGCTCTTTTATGACTCGTGGACTTCAACTCCCAGAATTCTTGAGTCAGCATGGGTCAGCTTGGAAACCTCTCCCTTTCCCCTCAGCATGGCTAGATCAGGAATTCTGGGAGTTGAAGTCCATGAATCATAAAAGAGCCAAGGTTGCCTACTCCTGGCCTAGTCCGTTGTTTCTCCACCTCAGCAACTTTAAGACGTATGGACTTCAACTCCCAGAATTCCTGAGCCAGCACGGCTCAGCATGGAAACCGCTCCCTGTCCCCTCAGCATGGCTGGCTCAGGAATTCTGGGAGTTGAAGTCCACGAGTCACGAGAGGGCCATAGTTTCCCCATGCTGGCTGAGGAATTCTGGGAGTTGAAGTCCACCAGTCATAAAAGAGCCAAGGTCGTCTACCCCTGCCCAAATGCCTCAATTTTGATCATGTGACCATGAGGAAAAAATATTTAAATATTTAAACCAGGGGTCTTCAAACTTGGCTCTTTTATGACTGGTGGACTTCAACTCCCAGAATTCCTGAGCCATTATGGCTCAGCTTGGAAACCTCCCTTTCCCCTCAGCATGGCTGGCTCAGGAATTCTGGGAGTTGAAGTCCAGAAGTCATGAGGGGGCCATAGTTCCCCCATGCCGGCTCAGGAATTCTGGGAGTTGAAGTCCACAAGTCATGAGGGGGCCATAGTTCCCCCATGCTGGCTGAGGAATTCTGGGAGTTGAAGTCCATGAGTCATGAGGGGGCCATAGTTTCCCCATGCTGGCTGAGGAATTCTGGGAGTTGAAGTCCACAAATCATAAAAGGGTCAAGTTTGAAGACCCCTGGTTTAAATATTGAAATATTTTTCCTCACGGTTACGTGATCAAAATTCAGGCATTTGGGCAGGGGTAGACAACCGTGGCTCTAGAGCTTCATTATCCTGGGACACATATATTTGCCTTCATTTTTATTATTTTCTTTTTTTGCTCAAAAAATTATACTCATTAAAAACAACCAGCCACCATTAAAGCAGCATGTTTCTCAAACTTGGCACGCTGGCTGAGGAATTCTGGGAGTTGAAGTCCACAAGTCACAAAACGGCCAAGTTTGAAGACCCCTGTTGTAGACTTTTCAATAACACCTGCCTCTCTCTTTGTTTCTGCCAAAACTCAGAACAAATGTTTTCACCGAGCCATTCGTCCCAACAACCCAGCATAGTGCCCCATTGGCACTACAACCCCTAAATAGTTATTCTGGTTGGAACCAAGAGTGGTTGTAGTCCTAAATTAATGGGAAAGATTGGGGAATGCTGAAGTGGTATCTGCCAAGTGCAGGCACACTAAAATAGGTTGGTTGGTGTTGCGGGGAAAATAGGAGGATGGAGTTGTGTTGGATATGTTCGACACTTTGCGTCATTTGTAAAAAATAATAAAGACAGATTATAAATAAATAAATGGAAAGGAATGGAATAGGACAAAACAGAATGGATTGGAAGTGAAGTGGGTTGGGATGGAAGAATGGAATGGAATGGAATGGAATAGAATAGAATAGAATAGAATAGAATAGAATAGAATAGAATAGAATAGAATAGAATAGAATATTAAATATAGAATAGAATAGAATGTTAAATATAGAATAGAATAGAATGTTAAATATAGAATAGAATAGAACAAAATAATAGAATGGAATAGAATAGAATGTAGGATAGGATAGAGTAGAATAATAGAATAGAATAGAAAATAGAGTAGAATATGGAATATGGAATATAGATTATAAAATAAAAATAGAATGTAGAATACAATAGAGTAGGATAGAATAGAATAGAACAGGGCTTTTCAACCAGTGGTACGGGTACCACCTGTGGTACATTGGCACCTGGCAGGTGGTACGTGACCATCCTAGAGAAGTGGTAGCAGGGGAGGGGAATGAGCTGAACCGGTGGCAGCACCGCACAAGCCTGAGCGAGAGATGGCTGGAGCTACAGGGCTGTCAGGGCTCAGCGGAAGCCCCAGGACCAGCACCAGGCTCCAGCTGGAGCTCGGCGCTGATCCTGACGCTTCTGCTGAGCCCAGAAGAAGTGTCGATCAGCTGGAATGTTGCAGCATCTTCAAGGTCTTGTGATTTACATTCAGATGCTTGGCAACTGATTCATATTTATGACGGTCACAGTCACCCAGCAGACGGGGGGGGGAATAAAAACCAAACACCCCCCACCCCACCCCCACTGTCAATCCTCAACAGAAATGCTCACAACAATGAAAACCTCGGACAGGAGGAAGAGTGCCGCCGGGTGGGCAGGCAGGCGTCTTGCTCGGCTGTGGCTTGGGGGGCACTTTTTTCAGGGCCACTGTCACTTCGAACAGTCACTAAGCGAACTGTTGTAAGTCGAGGACTACCTGTACTTCATCACTTTTTTTCCTTTTTTTTTTTTTTGGTCATCAAATTTTTGATACCTTGCTAGGCGACTGGTGGTCCTCGGATGTTGTCATATCCTAAAAGTGGTACAATGGGTGAAAAGGTTGAAAAGCCCTGGAATAGAATATAGAAAATAGAAAATAATAGAATAGAATAGAATAGAATAGAATAGAATAGAATAGAATAGAATAGAATGGAATAAGATAGGATACAATAGAATAGAATAGAATAGAATAGAGTAGAGTAGAATGAGAATAAAATAGAATAGAGAATATAGAATAGAAAATAATAGAATAAACAAATTGTAGAATAGACTATAATGTAGAATAGAGTAGAACAGAACAGAATAGAATAGAATAAACTGATTGTAGAATAGAATGGAATAGAACAGAATGGAATCTCCTTGGTTTTTTTATTGTTTGTTTTGAATGGAGTCTAACTGTATGAATTTCTATGTGCCTTATCGACTTCAAACTTATAAAATAAAACTTCTTTTTTTCAGTTCCGTAATCCGGGTGTGGTTTTCTTCTGTTAGACATTTCCTGGTATAACTGTTGACTCTTTATACTAAGTACTTGCAAACAGTTTATGAAAAGAACCAGCTGACCATCAACTTGAGGGATGTTTTTTTTAACGTTGGATTCTGAAAAACAAAACTTTCTCAGAGAAAGGCCTCCGTTTTTGCACCAGGAGAAAAGGTGCAAAGTCGTATTGTGTAATTGTACATTTGTGTCCGGGGTTTTGTGTGCTTCAGGTTTAGCTGGAAACTAAATCTTCTCCCAACAGCTGTTGGCTTGGAAACTTCAGCTTGCAATTCATTTTATCATCATCATCATCATCATCATCATCATCATACAGATAATAAAGTTGGAAGGGACCTTAGAGGTCATCTAGTCCAACCCCCTGCTCAGGCAGGAAACCCTACCATTTCAGACAAACGGCTGTCTTTATTTAGAGAATTTATACGGCCACCAACTCACTTTCAGTAACTCTAGGCGGCTTTCTCAAAATAATAAAAGAATATAAAAAGAGTTTTATCATTAAAGGTTGATCGCCGATGTTCCTTGGGAGCAATTTTTTAAAATTTTCTTTTCGTTCATCCCTGAGGGAGGATCAGTTGGTGTGCTTGTGTCCTTCTCTAACACTATGGAACACACTTGAGTTGTAGTGCCAGGGACCTTTCAGAAGAGATTTTCAGGCAGTCCTCTACTTACAACAGTTCGTTTAGTGACTGTTGGAAGTTACAGTGGCCCTGGAAAAAAAGTGGCATGACTGTTTTTCACACAAGCCTTGCAGCATCCCCATGCTCACGTGATCAAAATTTGCAGCTTGGCAACTGACATGTACTTAGGACGGTTGCAGCGTCCCCCAGGGTCATGTGATCCCCTTTTGCGACCTTCTGACGAGCTAAGTCAATGGGGAAGCCGGATTTACTTAACAACTGGGTGGCCAACTTAATATCCTCAGAGCTAGAAGGGAGCAGGGTATGCAGAGGAGGAGGAGGAGGAGGACTGTGGGATCCCTGGTGCTCTCTGAGCTTGGTGGTTTTCTTGCAGACGTTTCATGACCCAACTAGGTAACATCATCAGGGCTAAAAGGGAGTGGGGGTTGCAGGGAGGAGGAGGAGGAGGAGGAGGAGGAGGAGGAGGAGGAGGAGACGACGACAGAGGACTGTGGGGTCCCTGATGCTCTTTGAGCTGGGTGGTTTTCTTGCAGACGTTTCATGACCCAACTAGATAACATCATCAGTGCTAGGAGGGAGTGGGGTGTGTGGAGAGGAGGAGGAGGAAGAGGAGGAAGAGAAGGGGGAGGAGGACTGTGGGACCCTTGATGGTCTCAGAGCTTGCTTGTTTTCTTGCAGACGTTTCATCACCCAAATAGGTAACATCATCAGGGCTAGAAGGGAGTGGGGGTTGCAGGAAGGAGGAGGGGGAGGGGGTATGAGGAGGAGGGGGAGGGGGTATGAGGAGGAGGAAGAAGACTGTGGGGTCCCTGGTGCTCTCTGAGCTGGGTTGATTTCTTGAAGACATTTCATGACCCAATTAGGTAACATCATCAGGGCTAGAAGGGAGTGGGGGTTGCAGGAAGAAGGAGGGGGAGGGGGTATGAGGAGGAGGAGGAGGAGGAAGACTGTGGGGTCCCTTGGGGCTCTCTGAGCTGGGTTGTTTTCTTGCAGACGTCTCATGACCCAACTAAGTAACATCATCAGGGCTAGACGCCCGAGCAAGATTTGCTCTCTGTATACAGCTAGTCCTTGACTTACAACAGTTCATTTAGTGACCGTTCAAAGTTACAACAGCACTGAAAAAAAAACGACTTAAAATCTTTTACCCTTGTGGCTCTTGCAGCATCCCTGTGGTCCCGTTATCAAAATTCAGACGATTGGCAGTTGACTCACATTTATGACCGTCACTGTGGTCTCCCGGAGGCACTTAATCCCCTTCTGTGGCCTTCTGACTAGCAAAGTCAATGGGGAGAACCAGAGTCCCTTAACCACCATGTTCATAATTGAACAAAAGGGATTCACTTAACAGCGTGGCAAGGAAGGTCGTAAAGCGGGGCAAAAAACAGCTGTCTTGCTTTAGCAACAGAAAAGTTGGCTCATGTGACCGGGATGCTGCTCTGGTTATAAAGGGGGGGGGGAACAGTCATCAGTCACTTTTACAGAGCCGTTGTGACTCCAAACAGTCATTAAACGAACCGTCGTAAATCGAGGTCTATCTATAGTGGGTTTCCATCCCCTCTAATTCCTCGTTGCTTTCTTCTCCTTACAGATTGGAAGTCTCGCCACTCAAGATGAGTCACGGCTGGGCGGCAGCTGCACCAAATGCCGTTTGAGGCTGAAACAACGGAAGTCACAAGGTGGAGGAAGTGCAAAGTTGTGCTTGCCTGGAGTTTCGACCGCCTCGAGTCCTGGGTTCAATTTTGGGCATCAGCCTTTTAAAGAGGATTCGGAGCGTCTGAAACAGGTGAAGAGAAGCGCCGTGACAGCAAATCTAGATAGCCCTGAAACTGATCACTGCTTGTTTAGTGACCGTTTGAAGTTATGACGGCACTGGAAAAAAGTTGTTTCACGCTTAACGGCCATCGCAGCATCCCCGCGATCATAGGATCAAAATTCAAAGGCTTGGCAACTGGCATGAGCGTACGACGGTTGCAGCGTCCTGTGATTCCCTTTTGCGACCATCTGACCTGTAAAGTCAATGGGAAAGCTGGATTCGCTTAACAGCCATGTTCTTAACTGAACCAAAGTAGTGATTCACTTAACGACGGTGGCAGGAAAGGTCATAAAATGGGGCAAAACTCATTTCAATCCTCAAAAAGCAGAAGTAAGCAATTTACCACCTGTGGAGTTCAGCCATGATGGCTGGCGCAGGAATTCTGGGAGTTGAAGTCCACAGGTCGTAAAGAGCCCATAGTTACCCACCCCTGTCTTAAAGGGACAGGCCAACAGCATGGCTGGCTCAGGAATTCTGGGAATTGAAGTCCACAGGTTGTAAAGAGCCCATAGTTGCCCACTCCTGTCTTAAGGGGACAGGCCAACAGCATGGCTGGCTCAGGAATTCTGGGAGTTGGTCCACAGGTCATAAAGGGGTACATAGTTGCCACCCCTGCTCTAAGGCCTCTGAAGACACCAGGAAGGAACCAGGCCTGTTTAAACTTCAGCAAAGGAACTTGAGAATATAATACAGGTAGTCATCTACTAAGGAGTGGTTACTTGGTGGCTGTTTGGAGTTACAACAGACCCCCCCTCCCCAAAGGCACTTACAATCCAGATTCAAAGTCCTGACAGTTTTTCCCACCGTGTCATTTGGGCACATGGCAGCTGGCCCATATTTACATGCATTTGCAGCATCCCAGAGTTACACAACCACAATTTACAACTTCTTTGCCATGAACCCGCATTGAGTTGCTGTTTGGGGGCCAAAAACGCCCCTTGTGCAGTGTCCTGCAGTCACATGACCCTGATTTATGAACTTCTTTGATGGAAATGGACATTTACTTTCAATTTCCATCCAAAAATGCCCATTGTGGACAATAGGTTCACTTAAATGTCCACAGTAGTAGTAGTAGTAGTAGTAGTAATATAATAATAATGATGATGATAATAATAATATAATAATAATAATAATGATGATGATGATGATGTTGGAAGGGACCTTGGAGGTCATCTAGTCCAACCCCCTGCTCAGGCAGGAAACCCTATACCATTTCAGACAAAGGTCTGTCCAGTCTCTTCTTAAAGACTTCCAGTGTTGGAGCATTCACCGCTTCTCTTAACAACCTGCACAAAAAGGTCATAAAATTAGGTCGGTCACATGATGACCTGCTTAATGACCAGCATGAGTCCCATAACCGTCCTTTCAGGGGTTACAAGTGTCACAAGTGTCCCTTACGGTCATAAGTCAAGGACTAACACCTGGAAGGATGTTCAGACGAAATCCAGATGGGTTTTCTCCTCTTTCAGAACGCAGAAACGTGGATTGAAGTTGCTGGAAGGAAGAGATTCTCGTTCAATGTCGGAAAACGCTTTGGGTCAGCTGGGGAAGTAGTGACCCAGAGAAGAGGTAAGGCTGTTTTCTTGAAGATGCTTTCCACTGGATCCCTGCCCTCAGCAGAAAAGTCGCCTTGGGGCCTAAATTGCAGGATGGGATGGGATGGGACAGGATACAACTAGAATAGAGCAGTGTTTCTCAATCTTGGGTGACTTTAAGGTAGGTGGACTTCAACTCCCAGAATTCCCCAGCCAGCTTTGCTCCTGGGGAATTCTGGGACTTGAAGTCTACCCATCTCCTAGAGTCGCTTTACAACAACAACAGCAGCAACAACAACGACAACGACAACAAAACAGACATGGAAGGGACCCTGGAGGTAGAATGGAAGGGAAGGGAAATAGGAATCGGAATTGGAATAGAATGGAATGGAATGGAATACAAATATAGAATGGAAGGGAAGGGAAAGGAAATAGAAAATAAAAAGAAATAGGAATGGGAACAGGAATAGAAGAGATTGTAGAATAGATTGTAGAATAGAATAGAAATGTAGAATAGAAATATAGAATAGAAAATATGGAATAAAGTAGAGTAGAATAGAATAGAAAATATAGAATAGAAATACAGAATAGAACAGAACAGAACAGAATAGAATAGGAGTTGGAAGGGACCTTGGAGGTCATCTAGTCCAACCCCCTGCTCAGGCAGGTAACCCTATACCATTTCAGACAAATGGCTGTCCAGTCTCTTCTTAAAAACTTCCAGTGTTGGAGCATTCACCGCTTCTGGAGGCAGGTAGTTCCACTGGTTAATTGTTCTAACTGTCAGGAAATTCCTCCTTAGTTCCAAGGTTGCTTCTCTCCTTGGTTAGTTTCCATCCGTTGCTTCTTGTTCTGCCTTCAGGCGCCTTGGAGAAGAGCTTGACTCCCTCTTCTTTGGGGCAGCCCCTGAGATACTGGAAGACTGCTATCATGTCCTCCCTCGTCCTTCTCTTCATTAAACTAGACATGCCCAATTCCAGCAACCGTTCCTTATATGTTTTAGCCTCCAGTCCCCTGATCATCTTCGTTGCTCTTCTTGTCCAGCCCCCTGCTCAAGTAGGAGATCCTATCCCATTCTAGTCCTTTCTTCAAAACTTCCAGTGTTGGGGCACCTGGTACCAAAATTCCTTGGGGCTGGAAAGCCTTGTTCGTGAGGATGGGGTTGGGGTTGGGGTTGGGGTTGGGTCAGTCCTGCCCATCCTCACGGCTCCTTCTTCTCTTTGTTTCAGGAGTCCCCGTGGCTGAACGTGTGGCTGATGGAGGAGGCAATAAGGAAAGGTGAGTTTGCAGGTGAATGGGGTGGGCATCCAACAGGTGGGCAGGTGAGCAAAAGAAACTGAAATGGCAGTCAGGACGGTCTTCTGGACGCTCCTTGCTGAAATGGAGCAGAAATAAGGTCTCTGGGGATTTTTCTTCCCATTGGCCAATACTGTAAAAATGCATATTTTAAAAGAGCCTAAAAAGACTTGTTTTTTTTCCCTTTGAGCCTTCAGGTCAGTCTTGATTCCTGATCATTACCTGGACAGGTCCCTAAAGTATTGGCAACACCTTCCTTCCTTCCTTCCTTCCTTCCTTCCTTCCTTCCTTCCTTCCTTCCTTCCTTCCTTCCTTCCTTCCTTCCTTCCTTCCTTCCCTTCCTTCCTTCCTTCCTTCCTTCCCTTCCTGCCTGCCTGCCTTCCTTCCTTCCTTCCTTCCCCCTTCCTTCCTCCCCTCCTTCCCTCCTCTCCCTCCCTCCTTTCTTCCTTTCTCTCTCTCCTTCCTCCTTTTTTCTTCCTCCCTCCCTCCCCTCCTTCTCTCCCTCGCTTCTTTATTCCTTTCTCTCTCTCTTCCTTCCTTCCTTCCCTTTATCTTTCTTCCTTCCTTCCTCCCTCCTTTATCTCCCCTTCCTTCCCTCCCTCCTTTCTTCCTTTCCCTCTCCTTCCTACCTTCCTTTCTTCCCCTTTTTCCTTCCTTCCTCCCGCCCTCTTTCCATCCCTTCTTTCTTCTTCTCTCTCTCTCTCTCCTTTCTTCCTTCCTACCCCTTCGTTCCTTCCTTGCTTCCACCCTTCCTCCCCTCCCTCCCTTCTTTCTTCCTTTCCCTCTCTCTCTCTTTTCCTTCCTTCCTTCCTTCCTTCCTTCCTTCCTTCCTTCCCCATTCCTTCCTTCTTTGCTTCCTCCCTCCCTCCTAGAACTCACTGTCTCCTGATGATAGTCCCAAAGTCACCCAATCGGCTTTAATAATAATAATAATAATACGCCCTTTATTATCAAAGTATAACATGTATACAGTGAAATTGACTGAGCCTCCCTCTGTGCCCCCCCCACCACCGCCAAAGGGAGGTCTAGAATTACTACCCCAATCTGCCTTTCCCTCCCCAAACACAGAATGGGCCTAAAGAAACAGGCTCAAGCTTGGCATTTGGGTGGTGACATTCCTAAGCCCGTTGGGGGCTCCTGTGCCTGGATATCTCCCATAGTGGAGCTCGAGGTGCAGTCATCGGCACCTGCATACAGAAATGGCTCCCAGGGGGCGGAGCGGCATTGTGTGGCAAGGAGTTCCACAGCCAAATTGTCTCCTCTCCTCCTCAGCTGAGCAGCAAGCCCTGAGGCTGGCGGAGGCGATCCGCGACGGGGAGGAAGAGATCGCCCAGCGCTGCGCCCTCTGGCTGGCTGAGCGCCGTGTCCCCGTCAGGGTGCAGCTGGAACCAGATGCCTATCCGGAACACGACATCAGGTGATGCTCTAGGACCAGGGGTAGGCCACCTCGGCTCTTTTATGACTGGTGGACTTCAACTCCCAGAATTCCTGAGCCAGCCATGCTGAGGGGAAAGGGAGAGGTTTCCAAGCTCAGCCATGCTGGCTCAGGCATTCTGGGAGTTGAAGTCCACGAGTCATGAGGCGGCCATAGTTCCCCCATGCTGGCTCAGGAATTCTGGGAGTTGAAGTCCAGGAATCATGAGGGGGCCAAATTTAAAGAACCCTGGTTTAAATATTTTAAATATTTTTCCTCGCGGTCACGTGATCAAAATTCTGGCATTTGAGCAGGGATAGGCAACCTTGGCTCTTTTATGACTGGTGGACTTCAACTCCCAGAATTCCTGAGCCAGCCACGCTGAGGGGAAAGGGAGAGGTTTCCAAGCTGAGCCATGCCGGCTCAGGAATTCTGGGAGTTGAAGTTCACAAGTCTTAAAGTTGCCAAGTTTGAAGACCCCTAGAGAGTCGTTGAGGCCACCTGGAAGTTTATCTGTGTCCTCAGAGTCACCTGAGTGGTGCAAATGGGTGTGGAGCTTTCTTGGACCTGCTGAAAGGATTTTGTGGTAGACCGGAGATGATGATGATGGTGATGATAATGATAGTAATAGTAATAATAATAATGTTGGAAGGGACCTTGGAGGTCATCTAGTCCAACCCCTGCTCAGGCAGGAAACCCTATACCATTTCGGACAAATGGCTGCCCAGTCTCTTCTTAAAAACTTCCAGTGTTGGAGCATTCGCAGCTTCTGGAGGCAGGTTGTTCCACTGGTTAATTGTTCTCACTGTCAGGAAGTTTCTCCTTAGTTCCAGGTTGCTTCTCTCCTTGATGAGTTTCCGTCCATTGCTTCTTGTCCTGCCTTCAGGCACTTTGGAGAACAGCTTGACTCCCTCTTCTTTGGGGCAGCCCCTGAGATACTGGTACACTGCTATCATGTCCCCCCTCGTCCTTATCTTCATTACACTAGAGACACCCAATTCCAGCAACCGTTCTTCGTATGTTTTAGCCTCCAGCCTCCTGATCATCTTTGTTGCTAGATAGATGATGTCGTATTCCCCCCCCGTTGAGGGAGGGCTGTTCAATTTAATAATAATAATAATAATAATAATAATAATAATAATAATCATCATCATCATCATCATCATCATCATAATAATATCCCAGGTCCTAGGTAAGGACTCGATAGGTAGAGAAAATGCCAAATCCAGTCTGAACATCTGGCTGACTGTGCGATGATCCATAATACCAGTTTTTGCTTACAGGCAAATGATATTTTTTGCAGATCTTCCAATGCACCATTGTTGCTACTTTGTCATGCCGCTGCTTGAATCTTTTTGCAACAGCTTACCAGATGGTCCACTGTTTCTTCAGCTTCTTTGCATAGGCGGCACTTACTGTCTGTTGCTGTCTTCTCAATTTTGACTTTATATGCATTTGTCCTTAAGGCTGCAAAAATATCATTTGCCTGTAAGCAAAAACTGGTGGGATCATAAAATAGAGAAAGTCATAGAAAATGATAAACTGCTCTGGGACTTCAGAATTCAAAGAGAAAAGCACCTGCAACATAACACCCCAGACTTAACAATTGTCGATAAGAAAGACAAAAAAGTCTGGATAGTGGATGTGGCAGTGCCTGGAGACGGCAGAATAGACGAGAAAGAACTGGAGAAGATAACAAAATACAAAGACCTACAAATAGAAATAGAAAGACTGTGGCAAAAGCAAGCAAGGGTAGTACCAATAGTCATAGGCTCCTTGGGTGCAATCCCAAAACAACTGGAGCACCACTTGAACACCATTGGCATTGACAAATTTGCTATTAGTCAATTGCAAAAGGCGGCCTTATTAGGAACTGCTTCCATCCTGCGACGATACCTGTAATACCATCAAACATCCACATCTGCCTATCCCAGGTCCTGGGTAAGGACTCGATAGGTAGACAAAATGCCAAATCCAGTCTGAACATCTGGCTGACTGCGCAATGATCCACAATAATAATATAATCATCATCATCATCGAGTTGGAAGGGATCTTGGAGGTCATCTAGTCCCACCCCCTGCTCAGGCAGGAAACCCTATACACTTTGTCAAAGATAAACAAGAAAGCCCAGCTGTTTCGTGAAAAAGCACCTTTGGGATGGAGGAAAAACGTTCCGGAACACGAATGGACTCAGAAGAAGAACCTTGAGACGACGACCTCTGACCTTGGCATGGAGAAGGCAGTGAGTTTTGGGGTCAGACCTGGCGAGGGACCTTCTCATGGTGCCTCTCCTTTCTTCCAGGCTCTGGGTGGGCGTGGAAGACGCCCAGATGGTCACCCACCCCATCTTTCTGAAGGTCCAACCTTCCATGACGATGGCTTCCCTCAAAGACATGGTACGAACCGCCGGGCACATTTGAGGTGAAAGTTGGGTGCGGTTGGAGGACAAGGGACGCCATCTAAGGAAGGGATCTGCCTGGAATTCCAAATCCTGTCCCTTTTCAGGAGAAGTCAGGGAGTCACCATGCCAACAATGGGGAAGTAGAGGCAGACGTCTCGGGGAGGTGTGTGTTTCCTACAGCTGCCTTTTGTCTCCTTGAGCAGGTGCACCTCCATTATGGCTTCCCTCCCAGCATCCAGAGGTGGGTGATTGGACGGAGGCTGCCGCAGGACCACGAGACCCTCCACTACCAAGGCATCCAGCGGGACGGCGACCAGGCCTACCTCTACTTACTGTCCGCCAAGGCCAAGAAGCTGAACAAAGAAACGGCGAAGCTGGACCACGAACGCAGGCAGCTGGAAGGTGAGCGGGTCCCCAGTGGCACCGAAAGTGGGTGGGTGGGTGGGTGGGTGGGCTGCAGGGGGACTGGAAGGACCCAGCTGCAGGTGGTCCTCCATGAGGACCGTGGCTCGTGACAGTCGTAAAGTGGGTCGGTCACGTGATCGTCCCAGTTTTAGGGTCTTCTTTCACAGAGGTCAGTAAGGGAATCCCCGCGGTTGTTAAGTGAATGCTGTAGTCACTAAGTGAACCGGTGGCTTGTTCTGGCCAGGGTTTTGCCAAAAAGTGGAAGCAGATATCGGTTTTCAGCAAAGATGTTGTAAAGTTTGGTCACGTGACTGTGGGATGCTGCGAATAGCCATCAATGTGGGCTGATTCTTCCTCACTCCCTCTCTTTCTTTCTTTTCCCATTTCTTCCTTCCTTCTTTCCTTTTACCATTCATCCTCTTTCCTTTCTTTCCTTCCACCCTTCCTTCCTCAATCCTTCTTTTCATCATCCATCCATCTTCTTTCTTACTTTCTTTCTTTCCTTCCTTCCTTCCTTTCACCATTCATCCATCTTCCTTCCTGCCCGCCTGCCTGTCTCCCTTCCTCCCTCCCTCCTTTCCTTCTTCCCTTCCTTCCTGCCTCCCTCCCTCCTTTCCTTTCCTTCTTTCCTCCCTCCCTACCTGCCTTCCTACCTTTCTTCCTCCCTCCCTCCCTCCCTCCCTCCCTTCCTTCCTTCCTGCCTCCCTCCCTCCTTTCCTTTCCTTCTTTCCTCCCTCCCTACCTGCCTTCCTACCTTTCTTCCTCCCTCCCTCCCTCCCTCCCTCCCTCCCTCCCTTCCTTCCTTCCTTCCTTCCTTCCTTCCTTCCTTCCTTCCTTCCTTCTTTCCTTACTTACTTCCTGCCTGCCTGCCTGCCTCCCTTCCTTCCTGCCTCCCTCCTTTTCTTCCTTCCTTTTTTCCTTCCTTCCTTCCTTCCTTCCTTCCTTCCTTCCTTCCTTCCTTCCTTCCTTCCTTCCTCTCCCCCTGCCTGCCTGCCTGCCTGCCTCCCTTCCTTCCTGCCTCCCTCCTTTTCTTCCTTCCTTCCTTCCTTCCTTCCTTCCTTCCTTCCTCCTTTCCTTCCTCCTCCCTTCCTTCCTTCCTTCCTTCCTTCCTTCCTTCCTCCCTCCCTCCTTTCCTTCCTTCTTTCCTTACTTACTTCCTGCCTGCCTGCCTGCCTCCTCCTTCCTTCCTGCCTCCTTTCTTCCTTTTTCCTTCCTTCCTTCCTTCCTTTCCTTCCTTCCTTCCTTCCTTCCTTCCTTCCCCCCCCTGCCTGCCTGCCTGCCCTTCCTTCCTCTCCCCTTCTTCCTTCCTTTTCCTTCCTTCCTCCCTCCCTCCCTCCTTCCTTCTTCCTTCCTTCCTCCCTCCTGCCTCCTCTGCCTGCCTTCCCTGCCCTCCCTCCCTTCCTTCCCTCCTTCCCTTCCCTTCCTTCCTTCCTTCCTTCCTTCCTTCCTTCCTTCCTTCCTTCCTTCCTTCCTTCCTTCCTTCCTTCCTTCTCCCTGCTTCCTGCCTGCTCCCTCCCTCCCTTCCTTCCCTTCCTTCCTTCTCCTTCCCCTCCCTCCTTCCTTCCTTCTTTCCTTACCTTACTGCCTGCCTACCTGCCTGCCTGCCTTTCTTCCTTCCTGCCTCCCTCCTTTCCTTCCTTCCTTTTTTCCTTCCTTCCTTCCTTCCTTCCTTCCTTCCTTCCTTCCTTCCTTCCTTCCTTCCTTCCTTCCTTCCTTCCTTCCTTCCTTCCTTCCTTCCTTCTTTATACAGGGAGTCCTCGACTTAACAACAGTTTGGTTAGTGACCATTCCAAGTTACAATCACACTGAAAAAAGTGACTTACAACCATTTTTCACTCTTACGACCGTAGCACATCCCAGGGTCATATGATCAAAATTCAGATGCTCGGCCACTGGCTTGTATTTAGGACGGTTGCACTGTGCCGGGATCACGTGATCCCCTTTTTGCGACCTTCTGACAAGCAGAAAGGTCGTAGAATGGGGCAAAATCCACTCAACCACTGTCTCGTTTAGCGACAGGAATTTGGGGCTCAATTGGGGTCATAGGTACTCTTTCAAACATTCCATTTTAAAGTTCTCAGCCCCTCCTGATGGCCTCCCTTTGCCCCCTTGTGACTTGTCATCAGAGTTGGGCATTACAGAAGGGGTCCTGCTGCCTCGGGGAACTGGCGACTCGGCCTCTTTGGGCTCCTCGACACCAACGGAGCCCTCCCTGACGCTGGACGTGTGCGAGGAAGGCACCGGCCCTGGGCTGACCGTCCCGATGGAGCCCCCAAAGGTAGGAGCCTTGCAAGAAAGGGGGCGCGCGGTCGAGATTTAAGAAGATGAGAGACAGAGACAAAAAGCCAAATGTGGGTCACGGCTTTTCCAGGAGGCCCCTGGAATTTAGGCAAGAAAAACCAAATGTACAGGTATAGTATAGGGGGTACCTTGCTCAATAGTAGCAACTGTGAGAGGGACCTCGGAGTCCTAGTGGACAATCACCTAAATATGAGCCAGGCGTGTGCTGCAGCTGCTAAAAAGGCCAACACAGTGCTGGGCTGCATTAAGAGAGGGATAGAATCAAGATCACGTGAAGTGTTAATACCACTTTACAAGGCCTTGGTAAGGCCACACTTGGAATACTGCATCCAGTTTTGGTCACCACGATGTAAAAAAGATGTTGAGACTCTAGAAAGAGTGCAGAGAAGAGCAACAAAGATGATCAGGGGACTGGACGATAAAGCATACAAGGAACGGTTGCTGGAATTGGGTATGTCTAGTTTAACGAAGAGAAGGACGAGGGGGGACAGGATAGCAGTCTTCCAGTATCTCAGGGGCTGCCCCAAAGAAGAGGGAGTCAAGCTGTTCTCCAAAGCGCCTGAAGGCAGGACAAGAAGCAACGGAGGGACACTCATCAAGGAGAGAAGCAACCTAGAACTAAGGAGAAACTTCCTGACAGTTAGAACAATTAGCCAGTGGAACCACCTGCCTCCAAAAGTTCTGAATGCTCCAACACTGGAAGTTTTTAAGAAGAGACTGGACAGCCATTTGTCCGAAATGGTATAGGTTTTCTGCCTGAGCAGGGGGTTGGACTAGAGGATCTCCAAAGTCCCTTCCAACTGTTATTCAGTGGCTTCCCTCCAGAGCAGTGGTTCTCAACCTGTGGGTCGGGACCCCATTTGGGGTCAAATAACCATTTCACGGGGGTCGCCAAACAATGCAGTCCGCCATTTTTTTCCCTTTTCCCTAGCTGTCCTACTCCCTCTTATTGGTGGCCACACCCACTTGGGGGTCACCACAACATGGGGAACTGTATTATGGGGTCACGGCATTAGAAAGGTCGAGAACTACTGCTCCAGAGCATTTGGGTGCTCTTATCAGTGAGATTTTTAAGAAGTGACTGGACAGCCATTTGTCAGGAGTGGCATAGGCTCTTATGCTCAAACAGGAGGTTAGACTAGAAGACCTCCAAGGTCCCTTCCAACTCTATTCTTCTTAAGAGGGGCTGCCCTGTTGTCTCCCCTCAATCCTTTGCTTTCCCACCCGCCCGGGTGGCTTTCTAGGTCGGCTGGGAATGCCCGAATTGTACGTTTATCAACAAACCGTCCCGTCCCGGCTGCGAAATGTGCTGCAGCGAACGACCCCTGAATTACGTCATCCCGGAAGGCTATCAGCTGGATGCAGAGGAGCGGGAATGGCTGCAAAGGGATCTGGAAGCCACACGCCAGTATGAGCAGGTGAGGGGTGGGGCTTACCAGCCACACCTGGGCGGGGGATTGATCTGAAGAGCCCTGGTGGCGCTGTGGTTAGAATGCAGCGTGGCAGGCTGACTTTGTCCACTGCCGGGAGTTTGATCCTGACTGGCTCAAGGTCGACTCAGCCTTCCATCCTTCCGAGGTCGGTAAAATGAGGACCCAGATTGTTGGGGGGACAATAGGCTGACTCTGTAAACCGCTTGGAGAAGGCTGTAAAGCACTGTGAAGCAGTAGATAAGGGCTATTTCTATTTCTCTCTACTCTACTCTACTCTATTGCCATGGTATATAAGTAGTATTTCTATTTCACTCTATTCTACTCTGCTCTATTCTATACTCTATTGCCATGGTATATAAGTGCTATTTTTATTTCACTCTACTTTGCTTTGCTTTACTCTACTCTACTCTACTCTACTCTATTGCCATGGTATATAAGTAGTATTTCTATTTCACTCTACTCTACTCTACTTTACTCTACTCTACTCTACTCTACTCTACTCTACTCTACTCTATTGCCATGGTATATAAGTGGTATTTCTATTTCACTCTACTCTACTCTACTCTATTGCCATGGTATATAAGTAGTATTTCTATTTCACTCTACTCTACTCTACTTTACTCTACTCTACTCTACTCTACTCTACTCTACTCTACTCTATTGCCATGGTATATAAGTGGTATTTCTATTTCACTCTACTCTACTCTACTCTATTGCCATGGTATATAAGTAGTATTTCTATTTCACTCTACTCTACTCTACTTTACTCTACTCTACTCTACTCTACTCTACTCTACTCTATTGCCATGGTATATAAGTGGTATTTCTATTTCACTCTACTCTACTCTACTCTATTGCATGGTATATAAGTAGTATTTCTATTTCACTCTACTCTATTACTTTACTTACTACTCTACTCTACTCTACTTACTCTACTCTCTACTCTACTCTATTGCCATGGTATATAAGTAGTATTTCTATTTCACTCTACTCTACTCTACTCTATTGCCATGGTATATAAGTAGTATTTCTATTAAATTACTCTACTCTACTTTACTCTACTCTACTCTACTTACTTACTCTACTCTACTATACTCTACTCTATTGCATGGTATATAAGATGGTATTTTATTTTCACTACTCTACTATACCCTATTGCCATGGTATATAAGCAGTATTTCTATTTCACTATACTCTACTCTACTCTATAGCCATGGTATATAGTAGTATTTATATTTCACTTCTACTCTACTCTAATTTACTCTACTCTACTCTACTCTACTCTACCCTACTCTACTCTACTCTAACTCTTACTCTACTCTATTGCCATGGTATATAGTGGTATTTCTATTCACTCTACTCCTACTCTACTATATTAGCCAGGTATATAAGTAGTATTTCTATTTCACTCTACTTAATCTACTTTTACTGAACTATACTCACTCTAATTAACTCTACTCTACTCTTATGCCATGGTATATAAGTGCTATTTCTATCTCACTCTACTCTACTCTACTCTATTGCCATGGTATATAAGTGTATTTCTATTTCACTCTACTCTCTACTCTATTGCCATGGTATATAAGTAGTATTTCTATTTCACTCTACTCTACTCTACTCTATTGCCATGGTATATAAGTAGTATTTCTATTTCACTCTACTCTACTCTACTTTACTCTACTCTACTCTACTCTACTCTACTCTACTCTACTCTACTCTACTCTATTGCCATGGTATATAAGTGGTATTTCTATTTCACTCTACTCTACTCTACTCTATTGCCATGGTATATAAGTAGTATTTCTATTTCACTCTACTCTACTCTACTCTATTGCCATGGTATATAAGTAGTATTTCTATTTCACTCTACTCTACTCTACTTTACTCTACTCTACTCTACTCTACTCTACTCTACTCTACTCTACTCTATTGCCATGGTATATAAGTGGTATTTCTATTTCACTCTACTCTACTCTACTCTATTGCCATGGTATATAAGTAGTATTTCTATTTCACTCTACTCTACTCTACTTTACTCTACTCTACTCTACTCTACTCTACTCTACTCTACTCTACTCTATTGCCATGGTATATAAGTGGTATTTCTATTTCACTCTACTCTACTCTACTCTATTGCCATGGTATATAAGTAGTATTTCTATTTCACTCTACTCTACTCTACTCTATTGGGTATATAAGTAGTAGTACTCTACTCTATTTCTACTCTACTCTACCATGGTATATAAGTGTATTTCTATTTCACTCTACTCTACTCTACTCTATTGCCATGGTATATAAGTAGTATTTCTATTTCACTCTACTCTCTACTCTACTCTACTCTACTCTACTCTACTCTACTCTACTCTACTCTATTGCCATGGTATATAAGTGGTATTTCTATTTCACTCTACTCTACTCTACTCTATTGCCATGGTATATAAGTAGTATTTCTATTTCACTCTACTCTACTTTACTCTACTCTACTCTACTCTACTCTACTCTACTCTACTCTACTCTACTCTATTGCCATGGTATATAAGTGTTATTTCTATTTCACTCTACTCTACTCTACTCTATTGCCATGGTATATAAGTAGTATTTCTATTTCACTCTACTCTACTCTACTTTACTCTACTCTACTCTACTCTACTCTACTCTACTCTATTGCCATGGTATATAAGTGGTATTTCTATTTCACTCTACTTTGCTTTGCTTTACTCTACTCTACTCTACTGCCATAGTATATAAGTGCTATTTCTATTTCACTCTGCTCTGCTCTGCTCTACACTACTCTACTATACTCTATTCTATTGCCATGGTATATAAGTGCTATTTCTACTCTACTCTACTCTACTCTATACTCTATTGCCATGGTATATAAGTGCTATTTCTACTCTACTCTACTCTACTCTATACTCTATTGCCATGGTATATAAGTGCTATTTCTACTCTACTCTACTCTACTCTATACTCTATTGCCATGGTATATAAGTGCTATTTCTATTTCACTCTACTTTACTTTACTTTACTCTACTCTACTCTACTTTACTCTACTCTACTCTACTCTACTGCCATGGTACATAAGTGCTATTTCTATTTCACTCTGCTCTGCTCTGCTCTGCTCTACTCTACTGTATTGCCATGGTGGCGCAGTGGTTAGAATGCAATGTTGCAGGCTGAATAGAAAATAGAATAGAATATAGAATAGAATAGAAAATGGAATGGAATAGAATAGAATATTCTTATTGTCATTGTGTAACTCGAAACAAAATTAAGTAATTAAAAGCCACACAGGTAAGAAACCGTACCCTCCCATTTCTCTTTGGTTACAGGTGGAAGAAGAAGAGAAAGAGAGAAACTATAAGCAACTCCTGGAGTGGGACAACCAGAACTTGGTGCTTTCTGAGGAAGCCATTCAGTGTCCAATCTGCTTCATGAACCTGGAGCCTGGAGAGGGCGTGACCCTCCGGGAATGTCTCCATTCCTTCTGCAAGTAAGCCTTGGCTCCAAGGTCTTAGGAGACATCTAAGATGGGTTTAGGTAACTGGTCTCCCTAGTATGGGAATTGCTAGTTCCTACCTTGGTGGTCTCTTGATGGTCTTAGGAGACATCTAAGATGGGTTTAGGTAACTGGTCACCTTAGTATGGGAACTGCTAGTTTCTACCTCTGTGATATCGCAATGGTCTTAGGAGACATCTAAGATGGGTTTAGGTAACTGGTCACCCTAGTATGGGAATTGCTAGTTCTACCTTGGTGATCTCTTCATGGTCCTAGGAGACATCTAAGATGGGTTTATGTAACTGGTCACCCTAGTATGAGAATTGCCAGTTCCTACCTTGGTGGTCTCATGATGGTCTTAGGATACATCTAAGATGGGTTTATGTAACTGATCACCTTAGTATGGGAAATGCTAGTTCTTATTTCGGTGATCTCTTGATGGTCTTAGGAGACATCTAAGATGGGTTTCCATAATTGGTCACTCTAGTATTGGAATTGCTCGTTCCTACCTCAGTGATATCTTGATGGTTTAGGAGACAGCTAAATTCATAGCTCTTGGTGATCAAGAGGTATCAAAGCGTGTGGTCTTTGGTGCTGTCTGAGCTTGGTGGTTTTCTTGCAGACATTTCATTACCCAACTAGGGAACATCATCAGTGCTAGCATCAAGCTCAGAGAACACCAAGGACCTCACAGTTCAACCCTCAGCTACAAATGTTCTTTTCTGTCGGTGTCCAGGTGTGCTCTTCATGGCCATATTGGAATTCTCTGGAAGTTCTTGGTGTGGTTCAGTTGTAGGATGATCTGTTCTGTACTTTCTCCTTGCATCCTCAGGGACTGCTTGAGGGGGACCATCCTCAACAGCCCAGAACCGGAGGTCAAATGTCCCTACATGGACGATAACTATTCTTGTCCCTGGCAGCTGCTGGACCGCGAGATCAAAGCGGTGAGTATCCAAATGGACCTCGAAACCAGCGTTTCGTCCCCACTTCTACTCTTAACGTTCCTCCCCACTGCCCCAAGAAGAGAAGAGCTGTGGCTTTCCAAAGGATATCCACCCTCACGCCCAACACACAAATGGTGAAGGATGCTAGGGCTTGTAGCTCAGCAACATCTGGAGCAGGGTCTCCTAACCACTTAGATTGGGGAACATATTTGGAATTTTGACCATACACTGGGGGAGGAGGGGGTGTGCTCTCACAAAATGGTGGGCACAGCAGATATAATCACAGGAGATAGATAGACCAGTTTGACAAATTCTCAGATTATTTTGAAAACAAAATATGTCTTTCTGTCTGTCTAATCCAGTGGTTCTCAACCTGTGGGTCGGGACCCCATTTGGGGTCGAACGACCATTTCACGGGGGTCGCCAAACAACGCAGTCCGCCATTTTTTTCCCCCTTTTCCTTAGCTGTGCTCCTCCCTTTTATTCTCTTGGCTTTTGAAAGCCAATAGAAGAGACTCTCTTGAACAGAGTCTAATTCTATTGGCTTTCAAAAGCCAATAGGAATTGTCCAGGCTGTCTCTGCCCCGCTGAGCCCGCCAAAAGTCCCATTCTGCAAACGGTGCTACACCAGTTGAGTAGTCCTCGATTTACGACTGGTTGAGTAGTCCTCGACTTACGACCGGTTGGGGGTCGCGGCATTTAAAAGGTTGAGAACCACTGGTCTAATCTATATCTAATCCATCTATCCACCCGTCTCTCTGTCATCTTTCTAAGTTTCTATGTCTACAACCTATCTAATCTACAGTATTGTATATGTATCATCTATCTTTCAATTAGCTGTCATGTGTATCTATGTATCAATTTATCCATCCACGTTTCTATCACCTGTATCATCTATCTCAGTGGTGGCGAACCTATGGCACGGGTGCCAGAGGTGGCACTCAGAGCCCTCTCTGTGGGCACACACGCGCCGTCACCCCAGTCCTAGGCCTTCAGCTGGGTTTTATAAAACCTTTTCGCTTTAGGCCTCCGCCACCGTGTGCAAAAAAAAAAAAAAAGGTTCAATCAGTCAATTTCAACTTCTCGGGGGGAAAAAAAAGATCTTGCAAAGTTTCGAATTGATTGATTGACCTTTTTAGTCGCACCCGGTCTGCCGTTACCACCGTAGCCACACCACCCAATGGACCACACCCACCCGGCACTCGACAATGCATGTGGGTTTTGGGTTACAGTTTGGGCACACGGTCTCTAAAAGGTTCGGCATCACTGGATTCTATCTCTATCATCTGTCTGTCTTTATTGATCTATCTAATTGCTATCATCTCTGTCCATCCATCCATCCATCTATCCATCCATCATATCTATCTATCTATCTATCTATCTATCTATCTATCTATCTATCTATCTATCTATCTATCTATCATCTATCTATCTATCATCTATCTGTATCTTTAATCATCTATCTCTATCAATCTATCTCTATCTTTATTTATTTATTTATGAGACTTATATACCGCTTTAAGTGCAAGCACTCTCTAAGCGGTGTACACCAGTAAGCAATGTATATATATATATTTACATTGCCCCCAACAATCTGGGTCCTCATTTTACCTACCCCGGAAGGATGGAAGGCTGAGTCAACCGGTGAGATTTGAACCGCTGACCTGCTGATCTTTAATCATCTATCTCTATCAATCTATCTACTATCTATCTATCTATCATCTATCTATCTATCTATCATCTATCTATCTATCTATCTATCTATCTATCTATCTATCTATCTATCTATCTATCTATCTCCATCTTTAATCATCTATCTATATCAATCTATCTCTATCTCTATCTTTAATCATCTATCTCTATCAATCTATCTACTATATATCTATCTATCATCTATCTATCTATCTATCTATCTATCTATCTATCTATCTATCTATCTATCTATCTATCTATCTATCTAATCTGTCTATCATCAAGTGATGGTTTTTACCAAAACCATCATAAAACGTGGTCATGTGACCACGGGATGCTGCAAACAGCCATAAAGGAAGAGCCGAGGTGGCGCAGCAGTTAGAGTGCAGTACTGCAGGCCACTTTAGCTGACTGTGTTCAGCAGGTCAGCGGTTCAAATCTCACCGGCTCAAGGTTGACTCAGCCTTCCATCCTTCCAGGGTAGGTAAAATGAGGACCCAGATTGTTGGGGGCAATGTAAAATATATATATATACATTGCTTACTGGTGTACACCGCTTAGAGAGTGCTTGCACTTAAAGCGGTATATAAGTCTCATAAATAAATAAATAAATAAATAAATAAGTCCAGTCACATGACTGCAGCTATTAGAATTTTGTACCTGGCTTATAAGTGGCCTTTTTTCAGATCTGTCATAATTTTGACAAGGTCGCTAAGCAACCAGTTGTAAGTCGAGGATTACCGACATCCTCCTCCTGCTGGGGGTTCCACAGGCTAAAATTTCATGAAACGATTGTCCTAGCAGATTGTCCCTGTTCGAGCAGGATCAGGAGGAGGAGCTGGAACACCCTGCAAAGATCTTCTCTAAATTCGTCTCCATTTCATCCGCAGCTACTCACGGAGGAAGAATATCAGCACTTTCTGGACTTGGGAATGTCCATCGCTGAGAATCGCAGCCGGTCCAGTTTCCACTGCAAAACGACGGACTGCCGGGGTTGGTGCTTCTACGAAGATGACGTCAACGAGTTCGACTGCCCGGTGTGCCACAAAGTGAACTGCCTGGTTTGTCAGGTGAGCCGTGTCTCATCTTTGGATCGGGCACCACGCCGATCCTGCACAGAAGGACTTAGCCCTTAGACCAGTGGTTCTCAACCTTTTTAATGCTGTGACCCCCAACTGGCCATAAGTCGAGGACTACTCAACTGGTGCAGCACCGTTTGCAGAATGGGACTTTTGGCGGGCTCAGCAGGGCAGAGACAGCCTGGACAATTCCTATTGGCTTTTGAAAGCCAATATAATTAGATTCTATTCAAGAGAGTCTATTCTATTGGCTTTCAAAAGCCAATAGAATAAAAGGGAGTAGCACAGCTAAGGAAAGGGGGGGGGGGAAATGGCGGACTGCGTTGTTTGGCGACCCCCGTGAAATGGTCGTTTGACCCCAAATGGGGTCCCGACCCACAGGTTGAGAACCACTGCCTTAGACTTATATACCTCTTTACGGTGCTTTACCGCCATCTCTAAGCGGTTTACAAAGTCAGCATATTGGGGGGGCGGCAACAATCTGGGTCCTCATTTTACCGACCTCAGAAGGACGGAAGGCTGAGTCAACCTTGAACCGGTCAGGATCGAACTGATGGCAGTGAAAAGAATTAGCCTGCAATATTGCATTCTAACCACTGCACCAGAGAGGGAAAAGGAAAGGAAGGAGAGAGGAAGGAAGGAAGGAAGGAAGGAAGGAAGGAAGGAAGGAAGGAAGGAAGGAAGGAAGGAAAAAAAATATTGCAATAGCTCTTAGGCTTATATACCGCTTCGTAGTGCTTTACAGCCCTCTCTAAGCAGTTTACAGCCTCTTCCCCCCCCCACACAATCTGGGTCCTCATTTTACCGACCTCAGAAGTATGGAAGGCTGAGTCAACCTTGAGCTGGTCAGGATCAAACTGATGGCAGCTAGCAGTCAGCAGAATGCAGTACTGCATTCTAACCGCAGCGCCACCAGGACTGGTCGAGTTAGTAAAGTTTTACACTTAGCCAAGAAAAACCAAATGTACAGCTACAGACTAGGTGGAACTTGGCTCAACTGAGATTCTATGAGAGGGACCTTGGCATCCTAGTGGACGATCACTTCAACGTGAGCTGGCTGTGTGCAGCCAAAAAAGCCAATGCCATCCTTAGCTGCATAAACAGAGGCATAGAAGCAAAATCATGCCAAGTGTTAGTACCGCTTTTTAAAAACCTTAGTAAAGCCACACCTGGAATCCTGCATCCAGTTTTGTTCACTACATCACAAAAAAGATGTTGAGAGTTTGAAAGAAGTGCAGAGAAGAGCATCTAGGATGACTTAAAGACTAAAATGTTGCAGGAACTGGGTATAGATAATCTAGATAATCTCTTCATTAAATCTAGTTTAATGAAGAGAAGGATGAGGGGGGACAGGATAACAGCGTTCTAATATCTCAGGGGCTGCCCCAAGGAAGAGGGAGTCAAGCTATCCTCCAAAGTGCCTGAAGGCAGGACAAGAAGCAACGGATGGAAACTCATCAAGGAGAGAAACAACCTAGAACTAAGGAGAAACTTCTTGACAGTTAGAACAATTAACCAGTGGAACAACCTGCCTCCAGAAGCGGTGAATGCTCCAACACTGGAAGTCTTTAAGAAGAGACTGGACAGCCATTTGTCTGGAATGGCGTAGGGTTTCCTACCTGAGGAGGGGGTTGGACTAGATGACCTCCAAGATCCCTTCCAACTTTATTATTATTATTATTATTATTATTATTAAGGATAATAATAAGGGTGAAATCCTAGCAGTCTTCCAGTATTTGAGGGTTTGCCACAAAGAGGTCAGCCTATTCTCCAAAGCTCCAGAAGGCAGGACAAGAAGCAACAGATGGAAACTAATGACAGAGAAAAACAATTTGGAATTAAAGTTGACACTTCCTGACAGTGAGAACAATTAACCCGTGGAACGACTTGCCTCCAGAAGTTGTGGGTGCTCCATCACTGGGAGGTTTTCAAAAATAAAGTAGAGAACCATTTGACCAGGATGGTATCAGGTCTCCTGCCTTGAGGAGGGGGTTGGACTAGAAGACCTCCAAGGTCCCTTTCAACCCTATTATTCTATGTCAGTGGTTCTCAACCTTTTTAATGCCGCGATCCCCAACCGGTTGTAAGTCGAGGACTACCCAACCAGTCGTAAGTCGAGGACTTTCCCTGCCCGGGAGCGCCACGCATGCGTGGTGCCGCCCCCTGCACCGGCCGAGGCGTAGCTGGCAAGCGGCAGAGACGGTGCAGGCCGACCACCGGCTGGGCCACCAGATGGCCCAGCCCAAGGGAGGTAAGGCACCCGCTGGGCCCCACGCGCGCCAGCAACCCTCCCTGCGCTCGCCGGCCTCCCACCTTCCACCCCTGGCCCTCTTTTACTTACTTTTAGTAGTTGCTCAGCAGGGAGGGGTGGAAACTTCCAGACAGCTCGCCTTCACTGCAGACAACTTGCAGCACCATTTGCGGACTGGGACTTTTGGCGGGCTCAGCAGGGCAGAGACAGCCTGGACAATTCCTATTGGCTTTTGAAAGCCAATAGACTAAAAGGAAGTAGCACAGCTAAGGAAAAGGGGGCAAAAAAATGGCGGACTGCGTTGTTTGGCGACCCCCGTGAAATGGTCATTCGACTCCAAATGGGGTCCCGACCCACAGGTGGAGAACCACTGTTCTATGTTCTGTAGTAGAGTTCCCCAATCTTTCCGGATTTGAGGACTGGAGGAGGGGGGGGGGAGAGGATGGTTCTCTGCAAGTGGCTGGTGAACATGTGAGCGCGCCACTCTAGTTGAGCAAGCACTGGGCACGCATGTCCGCTGCTCACACAAATGGCGCACGCACGAACGAGCTTGCCTGTTTCCCGCACAAGTGGGGATGTGCACGTGTGTGCTCGCTCACCCGCTGCTTCTGCGACCCGGTTCCAAACGGCTCATGGCCCAGTTAGCGGGCTGCAGCCTTGGGAGTTGGGGACCTCTGTTCTATATGGAAAATGTGGAGTTGCTCCACCTCCTGTGGGGAATCTCTGCTCTGATTTTTTTTTTTTAATTAAAACGTTTTACAAAAATTTTACAAAAAACAAACCCCCCCTCCCCCTCCCCCACTTCCCAGAGCTGAGTACAGGATTACAAATATAACAATCATAATTTAACTAACATTAACCAACTATATAAAAAACCAAACTTAATACACTTTAACTCCTTTTTTTTAAAGATAAAATGAACAAATTAAAAATAAACATAATAACATAAATAAACAAATTAATATCCTAATTCTTAAAGTACAGTATAATAAAAAATTTCACTATAATAAACTAATAATAATAATAATAATAATAATTAGTCAATTGCAAAAGGCGGCCTTACTAGGAACTGCTTCCATCCTGCGACGATATCTGTAATACCATCAAACATCCACATCTGCCTATCCCAGGTCCTGGGTAAGGACTTGATTGGTAGACAAAATGCCAAATCCAGTCTGAACATCTGGCTGACTGTGCGATGATCAACAATAATAATAATAATACTCATTATTCAAAAAGTAAATGGAACTTTTTAGTCCCATATTTATTTTGAATATAATCTATCCATCTTCTCCAATCCGCAATATATCTTTCTTGTGAATGATCTTTCAAATAAGCAGAAATTTTTTGCCATTTCTGCTAAATTAGACACTTTAAGCATCCATTCTTCCATAGTAGGCAAAGAATCTTTCTTCCAAAATTGCCCAACCAATAATCTTGCAGATGTTATAAGATTTAACATCAAATTAATTTCTTTAACAACAGAATCTACAATAATACCCAACAAAAATAATTGTGGAGTAAATTTTATCTTTCTTTTAAAAATCTTTTGAATGTTCCACCAAATCTTAATCCAAAAAGCTTTTATATTTCTACAAATCCACCAAATATGAAAATAAGTTGCATCCAAACTACCACATCTCCAACATTTTGGCAGTAGATTAGGATACATACAAGACAACTTTTGTGGATCCAAATGCCCTGATTCTTTTATGGATGGAAAATTTGTCCTTGCGGATGCATTCTTGGAGGAAAAGATCTCCGTGTGATCCTTCCAACTTGGGCGACATAGGATCCCTTACTCTTCATCTGGGAATCTGTGCCCTAATGCAAAGGTCCCCAACCTGGGCCATGGACGGTTACCGGTCCCTGTCTTGTTAGGAACCGTGTCACGCAAGCGCCGAGCAATCAAGCAAAGCTTCATCTGCGCACGTGTGGGATCTAAGTTGTGCACGAAACCGTCCCTCCCCCCAATCCCAGTCCGTGGAACAGTTGCCTTCCACGGAAGCGGTCCACGTTGCCAGAAAGATTGGAACCACTGCCCTGAGGGGTGGATTAGTGGCAGGGTGTGCTAAGGGAGGGTCCATTCCAGCCAACCTTGGTTTGATGACAGATGGGGGTGTAAGGACCCACCCCACTTTGCATCTTAAGAAGACAGAACTCTTGGAATAATTCTTCCAACAGGAATCCTTTATTAAGAAAAAGTGGTTGCAGGCGTGCTAGACAGGACTTGGGGTTCAAGCTCTCCCATTCGAGGTTTTAAGGGGTTCCCCAGTAGTCCCACCCAATCACCCCCCCCCTTCCAGTGATAGTTTCAGGCATCACAATCCCACCCCTTTTTTCCTTTGTTCCGTCTGGATGGAGACTTCAGATAAACTACATGAAAGGTAAATAGCCTCCTTTGTTATGATAAGGTCTTTTGGTGCTAACCACATTCAAACTCTTTGAGGTTGCAATACACACATTCAGTTCCTTAGAAGTATACTGAAGGAAGTGAGGGCCATAAAGCCCCTTTGTTCTCCCCCTTCTCTCCCTCTTATGGCAGAATCCAGAGAAGGCAGAATTGGGGTTTTCTATATTTGATAACTAAAGATGAAATATAATTGGATTCTGACATCGGGTCCAAGTCACATTTTCCCCATAGGCTATTCACGAAAACATGAACTGCAAGCAATACCAGGACGATCTCCAGGTCCGGGCGCAGAACGACCACGCAGCACAACAGACCACGGAGATGCTGCTGGTAAGAACAGCGGAGCGGCAGGGAGCGGTTTTTATTACCGAATTAAGAGAATTTATAGGGGCGCCCAACTCCGGGCTGAAGAGATAAAACCCCAATAACAAAAGCCAGTGAACTCCCACCTTTGCTGGTCACAACAAACCAGCCACAGGAGGAGTTGTGTATCGCCCTGGGGTTCCCAGACCCCCCTGGCAAAACCAGGTCTTTGGGGGCGACGAGATGGGGTGGGTGTGGGGGCAATTTTATTTCTGCAGGAATGATGTTCCACAGGGAGGGAGCTACCACAGAGAAGGCCCTTCTTCGTGGTCCCACCAGATGGACCTCCTTAGCAGAGGGGGGCCACCTGTAACATCCCGTTTGCCCACTCTGGTGTGTTGGGTAGATATAAAGGCAGACCCTAACACTAATCCTAACTTGTAGACAAAGCCCCTTCCCTCCGGGATCTGTCTGTCTGTCTGTCTATCTATCCATCTATCTATCTATCTATCTATCTATCTATCTATCTATCTATCTATCTATCTATCTATCTATCTATCTATCTATCTATCTATCTACTACCTAGTTCATCTATCTGTCTCATCTATCTACTGGTCTACCTGTCTACCTACCCACCTTTCTGCCTGTCTCTCTGTTCATCCATCCATCTACTGTATCATCTATCCCTCTATCCATTTGTCTGTCCATGCATCCACTCTATAATCTGTCTGTCTGTCTGTCTGTCTGTCTGCCTATCTGTCTATCTATCTATCTATCTATCTATCTATCTATCTATCTATCTATCTATCTATCTATCTATCTATCTATCTATCTATCTATCATCTATCTATCAATCTATCATCTATCTATCTATCTATCTATCTATCTATCTATCTATCTATCTATCTATCTATCTATCTATCTATCTAATCTGTCTGTCTCTCCATCCCTCCATTTATCCCTCCATCCTTCTATCCTAACCTAGCCCTATCATCTCTCTCAATCATCTGTCTATCAATATATCCATCTAATCTCTATTGTCTATCTATATTCTCTCTTTCTCTCTTTCACCCACATTTATTATTTTTTATAAACAACTCAAGGCAGCAACTATTCCTAATAGTCCTCCCTCCTCCCATTTTCCCCACAACAAGAAACCTGTGGGGTGGGTTGGGCTGAGAGAGAGAAACTGGTTCAAAGTCACCCAGCTGGCTTTCATGCCTAAGGCGGGACTAGAACTCACCGTCTCCTGGTGTTTGGCCCATAGTCACCCAGCCAGCCTTCATGCCTAAGGCGGGACTAGAACTTGCCGTCTCCTGGGGATTGGCCAAAAATCACCCAGCCGGCTTTCATGCACAAGGCAGGACTAGAACTCTCGGTCTCCTGGTGATTGGCCCAAAGTCACCCAGCCGGCTTTCATGCCTAAGGCGGGACTAGAACTCACCGTCTCCCCGTTTCTAGCCTGGTGCCTTAACCACGAAACCAAACTAGGACTCTTATCAACCTTTCCTCTCCCTCCTGGTGCCACGAGGAAGAGGCGGGCACACGGTCTGGCTTGTTTTGGGCAGCTTTGTTCCCTTTTTCAGAGACTGGTGCGGGATAAGGAGGCCATGTACTGCCCCAGCTGCAGGATCATCGTGCAGAAGAAGGATGGCTGCGACTGGATCCGTTGCACCGTCTGTCACACGGAGATTTGCTGGGTGACCAAAGGACCACGCTGGGGACCAGCTGTACGTATTGACGGAGGGTGGAAACGAGGGCGCCCCGGGCAACCTCCTGCCTTTGGGAATAGTTAGGATGCATCCTAAATACTGCACAAGGCAGATCAGGATTTCTCAATCTTGGCAACTTGTAAGACTTGTGGACTTCAGTTCCCAGAATCCCCCAGCCAGCTGGCACTGAAAAATATCCCAGACACCGATATTACAGCAGGGGTCCTCAAACCTGGCCACTTTAAGACTTGTGGACTTCAACTCCCAGAATTCCCCAGCCGGTTATGCTGGCTGGGGGATTCTGGGAGTTGAAGTCCAGTAGTTTTAGTTGCCAAAATTGAAAAAATCATTCTGGCTGGGGGATTCTGGGAGTTGAAGTCCACCCCTCTTAAAGTCACCAGGATTGACATCCATTGAGATCCAGACCCACCATCTCGTGATCCAAAATTCAGACGCTTGGCCACCTGACTCATATTTATGACAGTCGCAGTGTCCTTGTGTGTGTGTGTGTTACGCGATTCCCCCCTTTTGCGACCGTCGGATGATCAAAATCAATGGGGAAGCCAGATTCACTTAACAACCGCGGTGATTCACTTCACTTAGCAAATGTCTCACTTAGCAACATCAATTCTGGGCTCAGCTGTGCTCATAAGTCAAGGACTGCCTGTACAAAGCCCACCGAATAGCGAAAAGAACAGCATCGCTGCCTCCTGCTGGTTGTCTGAATTTTTGCATCCCTGCTATATATATATATATATATGTTTTCTGAGATTTTCGCGGGTATTTGTATGTAGGTCTTTGGTTGTTCGGGTTTTCTCCCACGTAAAATTGGAAGTGTCTTGCCAAGACACTTCCAATTTTACGTGGGAGAAAATCCGAACAACCAAAGACCTACGTGTGTGTGTGTGTGTGTGTGTGTGTGTGTGTGTGTGTGTGTGATAATATTAAAAATATGAACCCTGGGAATATTCGTGTTTAAAATAAAATGAGCACCAAGGTAGTTAAAACTATAAAAGTTTAATTGAAAAACGCCAAGCTTTCGCCGTCACCTGCCGACATCATCAGGGCTTAAAACGCCAGAGAGTGAGAGAGTCTTTTATAAGCAAGCCGAAGTCTGCGCCCGGCTCCTTGATAGATGAGACAGATAGATGATCAAAGGATGGGGACAACCAGGGAGGTTGCCCCACCCGCCTTAGAATCCAAGGAGAAGGCGGCAAATGAGGACACACACATAAATAAGGGGTGCAGGAAGAAACGGATCACCGGAGTACAATCTATCCCAGTGGTTCTCAACCTTTCTAATGCCGTGACCCCATAATACAGTTCCCCATGTTGTGGTGACCCCCAAGTGGGTGTGGCCACCAAGAAGAGGGAGTAGGACAGCTAGGGAAAAGGGAAAAAAATGGCGGACAGCGTGGCTTGGCGACCCCCGTGAAATGGTCATTCGACCCCAAATGGGGTCCCGACCCACAGGTTGAGAACCACTGATCTATCCAATTAGGTCCGGTAACGAGATCAAGGAGCCAGGTGCAGACTCTAGCTTGCTTATAAGAGACTCTCTCACTCTCTGGCATTTTAAGCCCTGATGATGCCGGCAGGTGACGGCGAAAGCTTTACGTTTTTAAATTAAACTTTTATTGTTTTTATTACCTTGGTGCTCATTTTATTTTAAATATATATATATATTTGTAACCTTCCCAGCTGTGCTCCCATCAAGCAGAATCAATCGGGGAAGCCAGCTTTGCTTAATTATGCGATTCATTTAACGACCATAGTGATTTGCTTAATGATCGCAGTGATTCGCTTAGCGACTGCATGATCCACTGAACAGCTGTGGCAAAAGAGGTCTTCAAACGGGGCGCAATCACCGTCTTGCTTAGGAGTGGAAATTTTGGGCTGACTTGCGGCCGTTAACTTGAGGACTATCTACAGTTAGTCAAGATGGAGAAAACCGACTCGTTTAATGACGGTGGCGGTGGATTAATGACCATTGCAAAAAAATAAATAAATCATAAAATTGGATGCGGTTAGGAGCCGCAGCTTTACGACTGTGATAAGAGTTACGTTCGTAAGTTGAGGACTCCTTGCAGGCCCATTTTTGAGGGGGACGGTCTCGTCCTTGCCGGTCCCGCACCCCCTTTTGACGCTCTTGTGCTTCTTTCCCTGCAGGGCTCGGGCGACACCAGCGGGGGCTGCCGTTGCAAAGTGAACGGGGTGTCCTGCCACCCAAATTGTCAGAACTGTCATTGATCCAGAGACTCCTGAAAAAAAATCAGATTTTTTTTCCCAGACACTCCGCTCGCCTGCAGGGAAACACGGGAGGCCTGGATGACAGCCGGGGGTGACTTTGGGACAATTGCCCGGGGTTCTTCTCCTGCAGGACCAGGGACCTCCGTTCCCACCACGTCCATCTGGGAAAACACTCCGAGGTGGCCATGGGGCCGAGGATGCACATGGGGGCGTATTTTCGTCCCCCCACCCTCCTATGTCGATCGTGTCCAGAACTTGACTTGTTGGTTAGTTTTCACTCGAGATGTTGCTTCGTCTTTTTTGTAAAAAAGAAAAAGCAGCAGGACACGATTCCTTTTTTTTTTTTTTTTTTGAGCTTTCCAGGTCAGATCTCCGTGATCTAACGAAGCCACGGATGGTTGCCACTCGTCGCAGTAGTAAAACCAGACTTTGGAGTTGCGATTTTATTTACAAAACAAACCACAATTCTTCTCCCTTGTTGGTTGTTACGGAACGGGCCCCTTGGCCTACCTTCCCTTTTTCGCTTGTTTTGCTCTAAGGACGTTCCAACTTCCTGCTGTCTTTCGGTCGCCTCTGTGATTTGAGACCAAATCCGGATCAGATGGAGCTTTGGGGTTAAGGGGGGTTTGTGTGTGTGTGTGTTACCTCCCCCGTTCCCTTCCACCCAAATCTAGTTTCTGAAATTGAAGGCAAAAAACAGCACAGAATCTTTGCAGGGAATGGGAGAAGTCCGCAGAGTGAATCTTCAACGGCTGGGAATTAAAAGTTGTGGAATTGCTGAAAAGGTCTTCTCTCTTTTTTTTTTGAAAAAAAAAAAAATGCACCATTTTGTGAATTTACTACTTGAAATTATATGAGGAGATTCTCAGTCAATCCAGGACGTGGCTGTCCCAAAGGTGCCTTTTTCAAGAGGCAAGTGGACTGTCCTTCGTTTTTCCTTGAAGACGTTTCGCTTCTCATCCAAAGAGCTTCTTCATTTCTGGGGAAGAACGAAAGAAGAATCGAAGAAGCTCGGTTGGATGAGAAGCGAAACGTCTTCAAGGGAAAACAAAGGACAGTCCACTTTCCTCTTGAAAAAGCACCTTTGGGTGTACTAGGAGGTGTAAAAATAATGGGGAGGATGTAGTCGGGTAGTTTTCAGAAGTCTAGAGAACCCCAGTCTAAAGATGATCAGGGGACCGGAGGCTAAAACCTACAAGGAACAGTTGCTGGAATTGGGTATGTCTAGTTTAAGGAAGAGAAGGACCAGGGGGGACAGGATAGCAATCTTCCAGTATCTCAGGAGCTGCCCCAAAGAAGAGGGAGTCAAGCTATTCTCCAAAGCGCCTGAAGGCAGGACAAGAAGCAACGGATGGAAACTAATCAAGGAGAGAAGCAACCTAGAACTAAGGAGAAACTTCCTGACAGTTAGAACAATTAACCAGTGGAACAACCTGCCTCCAGAGGCTGTGAATGCTCCAACACTGGAGGTTTTTAAGAAGAGACTGGACAGCCACTTGTCTGAAATGGTATAGCAGTGGTTCTCAACCTGTGGGCCGGGACCCCATTTGGGGTCGAATGACCATTTCACGGGGGTCGCCAAATAAGGCTGTCCACCATTTTTCCCTTTTCTTTGGCCACACCCCTGGCACCCGGTGATGTATAAGTGGTTGGGGGTCACCACAACATGGGGAACTGTATTATGGGGTCGCGGCATTAGAAAGGTTGAGAACCACTGTGGTGTAGGCTTTCCTGCCTGAGCAGGGGGTTGGACTAGATGACCTCCAAGGTCCCTTCCAACTTTTATTATTATCATTATTATTGTTACTACTACTACTATTATTACAGCGTTTCTCAAATCTGGGGCAACTTTTAAGACGTGGACTTCCAATTCGCAGAATTTCCCAGCCGGGCCTGCAATTCTCTGTGCTGGCTGGGGAATTCTGGGAGTTAAAATCTCCTCCTCACATCTGAAAATGGCCACGGTTGGGAAACACTGATTTAAAGCGCTCCAACGGGGACTTTATATTCTCACAACTATAGTTTCCTTCACTTCCCTGAGAAGATCTATGACTGTCTCACAAGCACAGAGCCCATGACAAGGATGCCTTGAAATAATAACAAAGTTGGAAGAGACCCTAGAGGTCTTCTAGTCCAACCCCCTGCTCAGACAGGAAACCTTGTACCATTTCAGACAAATGGTTGTCCAGTCTCTTCTTAAAAACTTCCAGAGTTGGAGCATTTACCGCTTCTGGAGGCAGGTTGTTCCACTAGTTAATCGTTCTAACAGGAAGTTTCTCCTTAGTTCTAGGTTGCTTCTCTCCTTGGTTAGTTTCCATCCGTTGCTTCTTGTCCTTCCTTCGGATACTCTGGAGATTAGCTTGACTCCCTCTTCTTTGGGGCAGCCCCTGAGATAGTGGAAGACTGCTATCATGTCCCCCCTCGTCCTTCTCTTCATTAAACTAGACATACCCAATTCCATCAACCTTTCCTTATGTTTTAGCCTCCAGTCCCCTAATCATCTTTGTTGCTCTTCTCTGCACTCTTTCTAGAGTCTCAACATCTTTTTTACATCGTGGTGACCAAAACTGGACGCAGTATTCCAAGTGTGGCCTTACCGAGGCCTTGTAAAGTGGTATCAACACTTCATGTGATCTTGATTCTATCCCTCTGTTAATGCAGCCTAGCACTGTGTTGGCCTTTCTGGCAGCTGCAGCACACGGCTGGCTCCTATTTAAGGGATTGTCCACTAGGATTCTGAGATCCTTCTCATAGTTGCTAGCAAAAGACTCCACTTTGAAGTGGGTCAATTCGCTATGGCCAATTCACAGCGGCCATCTCACCCCGGAACAATTTTAACAATTCAATTACTGAAACTAATTTCAAAAAGTAATTTTGATTTTTGTCACTCACGTTCCGTCTCGTCCCTCCTTTGGCATCCTTTCTTTAACAATTCCATTCCACGGCAAGTCGTCGCAGACCCGCTCTGCTTAGCCCAAGCAGAGCAAGGAAAGAGAGAACGCTGGATTCAACCGGCACCATCCTTGCACACCGCTATAGTAAGTTAATACCGCATTTCTTTATTTTACACAATTACAAATCTACAAGTTTAACATACGTACAGGAGTATACAAAAGAGCCACATGGCCCAGGATGCACGACCAAAGGGCTGTGTCGATCCCCATTTTATTTTTCCTCCACTGAACTCAAACCACTGGGCTTTGTTACCTGTCTGCCCACAGAGAGGTGACAAGGATGCAACAGGTGGGCGAGGCAGCCTGGACTGGTGGGTTTCCAGGCTCACCGCTGCAAGCCTGGGATTGTGTGAAGTGGAAGAGTGCCGTCAAGTTGGCGTTCAGCGTAAACGCTGCCTGTTGCTTCATTCGTGACGAGCAGCAAGGAAAAGACTTTGTTCCCCTCTTCCTGGCACCAATATGGTCCCAGTTAATTCACCGGTGGAGCAGGCCTGTTCCTCAGCAAACCGCCGTCCTTTCCAACAGAACTGCAACTAACCAGCAAAATCCCGGGCCAATTTTTTTTTTAGACCGCAGTGCAAACTCCATTTCTATTGAGTTTTCACCTGTTCGCCAAATTCTCCCTCGATAACGTTCGTTTTCTAAGGATAGGACTCTGGATTTTGGCAGGCAGGAAAGGCCCCCAGCTTTTGCTAAATCCTGCAAAATCCAAGTTGCTAAGATTCGGCTGAACTGGGGGAACCTCACTCCCTATTTAAGAGGTCCGTAAGGGAGCGTAAGTGCCCTGGCCTGTCTCTCGTTCCCTGTCCCTTGTTTTGATTTTCCCGAATTTGTACTTCTTGTTTTGACGAGTAAAATAAAGGCTCGAGGCAGTCCTTACGAAACACGACAAGAAGGAATTTCTCTTTCCAACGGCTACATCTTTCCTGGGGCTGGAAGCAAAACGCAGGGCTCCGGTTTTCCTCGGCCGATATGACCGATTCGCAGAAGCCGAAGAAAACGCCTCTTAATTCTTTTAACAAAAGAGACATCAAAGCACCACCCCAAAAGAGAGAGAGAGAGAGCCCTTCCGGCCTTAATAATTCTCCATAAAAAGGCTGTCCTCTCCTTCTTCTTTTAGGACTCGTTTGTGTAAAGTGTTTTTTTTGTTTTTAAAGGCGAGGTCAGGGATTTCCCGGGCCCTCTTTGCGTGTCTCCTTCTCTTAGAGGCCACGGAAAGATTTTTTTTAAAAAAAAACTTCTCTTAAGAGGCCCCAATCTGGCTTTTCCTGTCCCTTTTTTGTCACTGCTGTTCAGATGGCATCACCCCCATACCTGCTTCTTATGCTGTGACACTGGGTTTAGGTCCAAAGGATTGGGGAAAGTCTACCTACGTTCTCCTCCGCCTCAAGAGGCATGGTACAGTCCAAAACGTGTGATCCAGAATGTTGGCTGGGCCCTCTGTCCAGAAACATCTGAACAGCTACTTGAAGGCCAAGCAAAGGTTGAAGTCCCACCAGCTTTGTGAGTTGAAGTGGTCTTCAGAAGTACACAAGCACAATCCAAGCCCTGGAGAAAGGCACGGTCCTTGTGGCACCAGCCCTGAGCTTATCCAGAATAGAAGGTCAACAAGCACGTGAGGAATACAACTTGCTGTGGGTATCCTGGCCTCTTCTCCAGAATAAGCCAGTCTTGGCACAGAGCAGAATTCAGCGCCACTGTTTTTAGAGAAACACAAACAGAGGTGAAGTCTAGATCCTTCCAGGAAGTGGATCTGGAAGCTGTGGCTTTCTGGAGGACCTCTTGAGGTCCATCCTTCGGCCCGAAGAGCACGGCGGGGCTAATCGGCTGTCCACCTCAATGCCCAGCTGTCCAGCACGCTCTTGGCTGAATGCCATACTCAACTGGTGCCCAGCTGGCAAAGGGAGCGATGGGCCAAGAAGGACGGTTCTTACTTCTTAGGATGTTTCGCTTCAGCTGGTGGCTTCAAAAGATAGCCAAGAACTTGCCTGTCCAAAGGAGTGGAGGCTGGATAAGGACACTTGTGAGAGAGGCTTTTGCCGTGGGAAGTCGTGGAGACAATACGCGGGATTCAGTGGACCTTCATTTTGGGGGAGAACCCTTCATGCAGGTAAAGAAAAGCTTCATTTTTTTCGTCGGGGAAAGTCTTGAGTATCGCACATCGAACCCGGGCGATTAGGATTGATTCCCCCCCCCCCAGCTTCGATGGCAACAGATCAGTTTGAAAGATCTATTGGGGGGGGGGAGGTCCAACTTTTAAGATTTGTGGACTTCATCTCCCAGAATTCCCCAGCCAGTTGAAGCCCAGCAGTCTTAAAAGTTGCCAACATTGGACACACACACCCCCCCGGATCTGTTCTGCGTGTCAACGAAACTTCTTTTTCTGTTGTTCCCTTTCTGGCTAGCACGGGGAGACGTTGAAACGAGATCTAGCGAGAATTAAATTCCGCGAGAGAATTAAATTCTGCCTTCCGCCACTTTGGGGTTGAGACAGACAACCGAATTGCTTGCGGACGTTCTCAAGGTCCCGAGATCCCACGTCGCTCCTTCAGAGGAAAACCGCAGGAACACCACCGCTTTCCCCGAACAGGCGCGCCGCGTTCTCCTCTTTTCACCGGGGGTGGCAGACGGAGGACAGAAGGTGGTCTTGGGGGAGAACAACTGCGCCCTCCCCCCAGCCGGCCGGAAGATCCAACAAAAAATTGGGACCTTCCTTTCTTCCTTCAGCCCTAAGGAAAGATCTGGAGTTCAAATTTGGGCGCCCACTCCAGAGCGCTCTTGACCACCGCCACCGCAGCCGCCCCCAGCATGACCGTCAGCCCCATCACGGCCAGCTTGACGAAGCGGTTGGTCCTGGGCTTGGTCGCTAAGAGGGACTTGGCTCTCTCTTCCAACCGGAGTTGCTCTCGGAAGCGCTGGCGCAGGACGGTGTCCGGCCGCTGTTGGGAGGAAGCCAGCTCGAAGTCCTTGAAGGTGGAAACGGCCGTCCTGCGGGGGGGGGGGAAGGAAAAGAAGAGGAGGGGGTGAGGGGCTGCGGAGCCTCCGAGGGGGCCGTCTTTCTCGCGGGTCGGGCGTCAGTTGTGCAAAAGAGGAAGTCCTCGGCTTACGGCCCTGCGTTTTAGTGACCGAGGTTACAACGGGCACGGGAAAAAGCAATTGGGGAACGTTTTTCACATTTAACGACCCTTGCAGCGTCCCCAGTCATCAGAATTAGGACGCCTGGCAACTGATTCATGTTTATGATGGTGGCGCTGTGATTTCGCGAGCTTCCGACAAAGTCCACGAGGAAGCCCGATTCACTTAACGACCGAGTCACTCACTGAACAACCGCAGGGATTCAGTTAACCAGGGAGGCAAGGAAAGTCTTAAAAACGGGGCTTAAAACTCACTGAAAACAACGGTCCTGCTTAGCAACGGGAATTCTGGGCTCCATCGTGGTCGTAAATCGAGGACTGCCCCCCCTATGAGGGATGTTTGCTTCTCCTCTTTTCTCCTGGAAGCAATTCTTCCTTTATTTTTTGTTTTTTGCACAGCTGAGGGGCCGAGGGTGGACCGTGACCCAAAGTCCTGCAATTCCCCATCCTTCTGGAATGCCCCCCCCCCCGTGGAACCTTCTAGAAATGGATGAGGAGCTCGGAACGGCCCTCCCCTCCCCTCCTCTCTCTCTGCTCTCTCCCAAGGGCAAGCAGCAGATGGGGGGGGGGTTGCGGACCCCGCCTGGCCTAAACTTCAGGGGAGGAGACCCCTCCTCACCTCTCGGCTTCCAGCTGAGCGGCTTCCTGGGCAAGCTTGGAAGGTGGGAACTGAACGAAGAGGTCGCCGGCCCGACTGATGAGCATCTCGTAAGGAAGATCCTGGGGGATCTGGGAGAGCAGGTGGTGGACGGAAGCCATGTCACAGTCGCAGGCCAGGACCTCTGGGGCCCGATGGAGCACAATCTGCAAAGGGAAGCAGCGGCTCTGGAACTCAGGCCGGCCTGCTGGCAACGCCGACGTTTCCCCCTTCCGGGTATGTGACCACAAGTGGGTTGAAGGCCCCCACCCAAGCCCCTTGAGTGGGGGGGGGGGAGGAACTGTACATGGCTGACATCGGTTGTATTTGCAGCTTGGGAAGGGAAGGGAAAAAGAAGGGAAGGGAAGGGAGGAAAGAGTAATGGAGAGGAGGAGAGGAAGGAAGGAAGGATAAAGGGTAAGGTGAAAGAAGGAAGGCAGGAAAGGGAAGGAAAAGGAAAAGGAAGGAAGAAAGGAAGAAGAAGGAAAAAGGGAGGGAGGAAAGAAAGAAGGAAGAAAGGAATGGGGAAGGAAGGGAGGGAGGACGGGAGGAAGAAAGGAAGAGGGAGGGAGGAAGGGAGGAAGAAAAAAGGGAAGAGGAAGGGAGGAAGGAAAGAAACAAGGAAAAAAGAAAGAAGGAATGGGGAGGAAGGGAGGGAGGAGGGGAGTAAGGAAAAGGAAGAGGAAGGGAGGAAGGAAAGAAAGAAGAAAAAAAAGGAAGAGTTAAGGGAGAAGGAAAGAAAGAAATGAAAAAGGGAAAGAATGAAAGGGGAGGAAGGAAGGAAGAAAGATGGAAGGAAGGAAGGAAGGAAGGAGAAGGGAAAAGGGAAGAGGAAGGGAGGAAGGAAAGAAAGAAGGGGGAAGAAAGGAAGGAAGAGAAGAAAGGGGGAAGGAAAGAAAGAAATGAAAAAGGGAAGGAAGGGATGGAGGAAGGAAGGAAGGAGAGGGAAGAGGAAGGGAGGAAGGAAAGGAAGGGGGAAGGAAGGAAGGAAGAGAAGGGGAAAGAAAGAAATGAAAAAGGGAAGGAAGGGATGGAGGAAGGAAGGAAGGAGAGGGAAGAGGAAGGGAGGAAGGAAAGGAAGGGGGAAGGAAGGAAGGAAGAGAAGGGGAAAGAAAGAAATGAAAAAGGGAAGGAAGGGATGGAGGAAGGAAGGAAGGAGAGGGAAGAGGAAGGGAGGAGGAAAGGAAGGGGGAAGGAAGGAGAAGGAAGAGGAAGGAAAGAAAGAAATGAAAAAGGGAAGGAAGGGATGGAGGAAGGAAGGAAGGAGAGGGAAGAGGAAGGGAGGAAGGAAAGGAAGGGGGAAGGAAGGAAGGAAGAGAAGGGGGAAAGAAAGAAATGAAAAAGGGAAGGAAGGGATGGAGGAAGGAAGGAAGGAGAGGGGGGAGGAAGGAAAGGAAGGGGGAAGGAAGGAAGGAAGAGAAGGAAGGGGGAAGGAAAGAAAGAAATGAAAAAGGGAAGGAAGGGATGGAGGAAGGAAGGAAGGAGAAGGGAAGAAGAAGGGATGAAGGAAAGGAAGGGGGAAGAAAGGAAGAGAAGGAAGGGGGAAGGAAGGAAAGAAATGAAAAAAGGGGAAGGAAGGAAGAGAAGGAAGGAAAGAAATGGGAAGGAAGGAGAAGGGAGGAAGCAAGGAAGGAAGGAGAAGGAAAAGGAAGGGGGGAAGGAAGGAGAAGGAAAAGGAAGGGGGGAAGGAAAGAATGAAAAAAAAGAAGGAAGGGGAAAGAAAGGTAGGAAGGGGAAGAGAGGAAGGAAGGTGGAGGGGATGGAGAGAGGAGGGAAGAGAAAGAAGAGGGAGAGGGGAAGGCCCTTAATGAAAACCATAAGCCAGAGGCTGCTATGGTTCAGGTCCTCCTTTGGGGGTCTCTGAGAGGCTCCTGGTTGCCCCCCCCCCACACCCTCTGGGATCCCAGGACAGAGAGCAGCACTGGTCCTGTTCTGAATGGCTCCCCTCCTCCTCCTCCTCTTCCCCCTCAATGCCTGGCCCCAACAACCCGTGTTCCCTGCGGACACCCACCACGGCGGCAAAGTAGATGGGCATCAGCGGGTGGCAGGCCAGGAAGAAGTCGTATAACCGCACCACGTGCTTGAAGTCCGACAAGACGTGCCCGAACCAGGTGATCAGCCAGCTGAGGGCGAAGATGGTTCCCACTTCAGCTCTGTGCAAAAAAATATTGGGGGGGGGAGGGAGGGGGGAGAGAAAGTTAAATATAAAAAGCAGCCACTCGGGAAACAGATCAGACCCTTTTTTTTTCCTTTCTTCAGAGTGTAGATGTCAACGCTGCTAAGATCGGATGTTCTCGCTTTGACAATATATGAAGATGCAGCCAATTTCCTCCTTAACTTGTGTGTTACTTTTAGAGTTAGAATTAGATGATACTGGGGGGGGGGGGGGGAGAGGAGGAAGAATGTGCATGGGAATTAGTTAGACATCACAACATCGTAGTAGAGTGTTTTTCAATAAGAAATGATAAGAAATGCCAGGCTGGAGAACTGGAGGGAAGGTCTGCCTTTCAAACTAATGGGAGAATGTGATTTATGACTGTTAGAGGAGGGAATTGTGCTTTGATACTATGTGTTTAGGGGAGGAGAATTCAGATTTCGGCTTCGACCATGTACGTGCCGATGCCGTGCAACTTGAATAAAGATTCTTTAAGGTAAACAATGCCTCGAAGTTCTTTGAAGAGTTTCCAGAAGTGGTGAAAGCTCCAACACTGGAAGTTTTTAAGAAGAGGCTGGACAACCATTTGTCTGAAATGGTATAGGGTTTCCTGCCTGAGCAGGGGGTCATACTAGATGACCTCCAAGGTCCCTTCCAACTTTATTATTATTTATTATTATTATTATTATTATTATTATTATTATTATTATTATTATTATTATTTATTATGGATCATCGCACAGTCAGCCAGATGTTCAGACTGGATTTGGCATTTTGTCTACCTATCGAGTCCTTACCCAGGATCTGGGATAGGCAGATGTGGGTGTTTGATGGTATTACAGATATTGTTATTATTATTATTATTATTATTATTATTATTATTATTATTATTATTATTATTATGGATCATCGCACAGTCAGCCAGATGCTCAGACTGGATTTGGCATTTTGTCTATCTATCGAGTCCTTACCCAGGACCTGGGATAGGCAGATGTGGATGTTTGATGGTATTACAGGTATTGTTGCAGGATGGAAGCAGTTCCTATATTATTATTGTTGTTGTTGTTGTTATTATTATTATTATCTGTCAGAATCATGACAGTAGATAAAGCCGCAACATAACAAATTCTTTTCCTTTAAAGGGAAACACACATTGAGCCTAAGAAGAAGGCGACAGATGGATCCCCAGCTTCTCCCGGCCCCCAGATTTACGGTTTAAATTTTGATTACATGAACGTGAGGAGGCTGCAACAGCCGTTAAGTGGGAAAACTGGTCGTAAGTCACGGTTTTCAGCGCGGTTCTAACTCTGAACGGTCACTAAACGAAGGATTGTCAGTCGAGGACTACCTGGACTTGGAAAAAAAAAACAACCTAAAACTTTGTTTACCTCTGCATGAAATCGTGGAGATCTGGGTTCACTTGGTCTATGATGGGCATCAGGTAATTTAAAATGTGTCTGGTGTTCTCCATGGTCGGGTCCATAAAATCCCTGCAAACGACGAAGGATTAGCCAAGTTAGAGTGCAACAATGGTGAGGCACACAGATATACACACCACAAGCATCTTGCATATGAGGGATCCCCAACCTCTGGGCTGTGGACTGGCACCGGACCGTGCCTTCCAAAAACTGCCCCTCCGTGGAACCCTAGCGCCCAAATATTGAAGACTGCTGGACTAGGAGACTGGGAGGCTAAAACATATGAAGAACGGTTGCTGGAATTGGGGATGTTTAGTTTAATGAAGGACCAGGGCGGATATGATAGCAGCCTTCCAGTATCTCAAGGGCTGCCCCAAAGAAGAGGGAGTCAAGCTATTCTCCAAAGTGCCTGAAGGCAGGACAAGAAGCAACGGATGGAAACTCATCAAGGAGAGAAACAACCTAGAACTAAGGAGAAATTTCCTGACCGTTAGAACAATTAACCAGCGGAACAACCTGCCTCCAGAAGCGGTGAATGCTCCCAACACTGGAAGTTTTTAAGAAGAGACTGGACAGCCATTTGTCCGAAAGGGTATAGGGTTTCCTGTCTGAGCAGGGGGTTGGACTTGATGACCTCCAAGGTCCCTTCCAACATTATTATTATTATTATGGATCATCGCACAGTCAGCCAGATGTTCAGACTGGATTTGGCATTTTGTCTACCTATCGAGTCCTTACCCAGGACCTGAGATAGGCAGATGTGGATGTTTGATGGTATTACAGGTATCGTCGCAGGATGGAAGCAGTTCCTAGTAAGGCTGCCTTTTGCAATTGACTAATAGCGAATTTGTCAGTGCCGATGATGGTATTCAAGTGGTGCTCCAGTTGTTTTGGGATTGCACCCAAGGCGCCAATGACTATTCGTACCACCCTTGCTTGCTTTTGCCACAGTCTTTCTATTTCTATTTGTAGGTCTTTGTATTTTGTTATCTTCTCCAGTTCCTTCTTGTCTATTCTGCTTATTATTATTCTGCTTATTATTATTATTGCAAGAAAGATGATTAGGGGACCGGAGGCTAAAACATACGAAGAACGGTTGCAGAAATTGTCCAGATCCTCCTGTATCTTAAGCCTGTAACTTCTGGAGTGTTGGCTATTCCTGCCGGCTTGGTGTCGTCGGCAGATTTGATGAGTTCCCCATCTATCCCCTCATCCAAATCGTTGATGAGATTTCATTAAATTAAGCTGCAGTGTTTCTCAACCTTGGCTGCTGGGAGACGGGTGGACTTCCACTCCCATTCTGGGAGTGGAAATCCACCCGTCTTCCAGCAGCCCAAGTGGACAAAGGCTGGGGAGGGGGGGGGGAAGAAAGAGCACCTGAGGTGATGGGTTGAAAGTTTTTCCACCAAGGTGGCCGCCAGTCTGTCCCCCACCACCAGCAGAAAGGTGACCACGATGTCATGGTATCCCTGGTAATAGTGGAGTTGTGCGTTGCGTTGCAGAACCTGGAGGATGCAGTCGATCAGCTCCTCCTGGAGACCCTCCCTCTGTTCATCTGGCATGTCTGGGAAGAAAGGGAAGAGAAGAAAAGAGACGGAAGTGAAGCAACAGCCGAAGGAAGATGCTTACCTGAATCCTACGCTCAGGAAGAACCGCCAAGCTGGGACCGATGGTCTACAGGTCGTCCTTGACTTACAACGGTTCAAAGTTACGACGGCGCCAAAAAGATGGTGTCGTCACAGTGCTTTCCCCTCCCACAACGAAAATGAAGATAGCAGGGGGAGAGCCGTGCTAGTGTACAGGCAAGTCCTTGACTTACAACGGTTCATTTAGTGACTGTTCAAAGTTACAAACAGCAAGTTAGGACCGTTTCCCACACTTACGCCCGTTGCAGCCTCCCTGCGGTCCCGCGATCAAAATTCGGACGCGTGGCAACCGACTCGTATTTATGACTGTTGCTGTTTTGCGAAGGTCATGTGATTTCCCTGCCTCCCCCCCCCTTTTGCAATCTTCTCACAAGAGGGAAGCCAGATTCATTTAACGACAGGGCGGACTAAACTTATCCACTTTGGCGATTCGCTTAACGCCTGCGGGAAGAAAAGTTGCACAACGGGGGTGAAACTCACTCTAACGAGTATCTCAGCGACAAATTTTGGAATCTGTCGTGGCCAGTTTATTCTATTCCATTCCATGATTCTATTCTATTCTATTCTATTCTACATTCTATTCTATTCTGTAATTCTATTCTATTCTATTCTACATTCTATTCTATTCTATTCTATAATTCTATTCTATTCTATTCCATGATTCTATTCTATTCTATTCTATAATTCTATTCTATTCTGTAATTCTATTCTATTCTATTCCATGATTCTATTCTATTCTATTCTATTCTATTCTACATTCTATTCTATTCTATTCTACATTCTACATTCTATTCTATTCTATTCTATTCTATAATTCTATTCTATTCTGTAATTCTATTCTATTCTATTCCATGATTCTATTCTATTCCATGATTCTATTCTATTCTATTCTATTCTATTCTACATTCTATTCTATTCTATTCTATTCTATTCTACATTCTATTCTATTCTATTCTATTCTATAATTCTATTCTATTCTGTAATTCTATTCTATTCTATTCTATTCCATGATTCTATTCTATTCTATTCTATTCTATTCTACATTTTATTCTATTCTATTCTATTCTATTCTATTCTATTCTACATTCTATTCTATTCTATTCTATTCTACATTCTACTCTATTCTATTCTATAATTCTATTCTATTCTGTAATTCTATTCTATTCTATGATTCTATTCTATTCTATTCTATTCTATTCTATTCTATTCTATTCTACATTCTACATTCTATTCTATTCTATTCTATAATTCTATTCTATTCTATTCTATTCCATGATTCTATTCTATTCTATTCTATTCTACATTCTATTCTATTCTATTCTACATTCTACATTCTACATTCTATTCTATTCTATTCTATTCTATTCTATTCTATAATTCTATTCTATTCTGTAATTCTATTCTATTCTATTCCATGATTCTATTCTATTCTATTCCATTCCATTCTATTCTGTTCTATTCCATTCCATGATTCTATTCTATTCTATTCCATTCCATTCCACGATTCTATTCCATTCCATGATTCTATTCCATTCCATTCTATTCCATTCCATATTTTCTATTCCATTCCATTCCACTCATTCCATTTCATATTTTCTATTCTATTCCTATTTTGTATTAATTCAGCCTGGCAATCCAATTTTCATTTGGATTTTGTACTTTAATCTTCTGAATAAATAAGAAAATTGATGGAATAAAGTCATGACAGTTGGGAAGCAGATCACAATGTGCCTGGACCCAATTTTACCATCTTTTTTTGGGGGGGGGGAATTGCTAAACAAATGCAGCTGTTGTTAAACGAACCTACTGCTATCTATGGCGTGTGTATTTTGTGCCAGAAACCAGAAATAAATGCTGGTTTTTGGCAAAACCACTTCATATTGTAGTCACTTGTCCACAGAGCATTGCAAATGGCTGTCAAGGTGTTGCTGAGCACCCAAAATGCACCCATGTGGGGGGGGGGAATGTTGTAACTAGGTCATAAATAGATTAGGGGGAATGTGTCGTATATAGAAAGTCCTTGATTGTTGTTGTTAGTTGCGAAGCCGTGTCTGACCCATCGCGACCCCATGGACAACATTCGTCCAGGCCTTCCCGTCCTCTACCATCTTTCTGAGTCCATTGAAGCTCATGCCTCCTGCTTCAGGGACTCCATCCAGCCACCTCCTTCTCTGTCGTCCCCTTCTTCTCTTGCCCTCCATCTTCCCCAGCATCAGGCTCTTCTCCAGGGAGTCCTTCCTTCTCCTTAGGTGGCCAAAGGACTTGAGTTTCCACTTCAGGATCTGGCCTTCTAAAGAGCAGTCGGGGTTGATCTCTTCTAGGACTGACCGGTTGGATCGCCTTGCAGTCCAAGGGACTCGCAGGAGTCTTCTCCGGCACCAGAGTTCAAAGGCCTCCATTCTTTGGCGCTCGGCTTTTGTTATGGTCCAACTTTCACAGCCATACATTGCACATCCTTGATGTGCACCCACAATTGAGCTCAAAGACAGTTAACCAAGAGAGTTAAATGAGTTTTGTCTCATTTTAGGACTTTTCTGGCCAAAGCTGTTAAGGCAGTCACTGCAGTCGTTAAGTTAGTAACACTGCTGTTAAACAAAGTTGGCTTCCCGCACTGATTTGGCTAGTCGCAAAAGGGGATCATGTGATCCCGGGACACAGCAACCGTCACAAATGTGAACCAGTTGCCAAGCATCCAAATCTTGATCCTGGGTGATGCTGCAACGGTCGTTACGTGTGTGAGAAACGGCGACAAATCAATTTTTCAATGCATTTGTGGTTTCGAACGGTCCCTGAAGGAACGGTTGTAAATGGAGGGCGTGCTGTGTTCAAATGGTTGCTAAGCAACTGGTCACAACTCGAGGACTCCCTGAATTCAGAGAACATCCAACTCTCCTTTGTTTTCTACAAAAGGACCTTGGGAAGGACCCAAGAATTAATACAACCACGCAACAAATAGCAGGCTGTGGCAGAAGCGTGCAGGTCATCCCCGATTTACAAACCACAATCCAGCCCCAAAATTTCCACCGCTAAGTGAAACATTTGCTAAGTGAGTTTCACCCCATTTTACGACCTTTCAGTGAATCCCTGCAGGTGTTAGGTTAAGAACACGGTTGCTAAGTGGATCCGGTTCCCCTTTTCTTTGCTTGTTTGAAGGGCGCAAACGGGAATCACAGGATCTTGGGATGCTTCAACCGTCATAAATACGAGTCAGTTGCCAAGCATCTGAATGTTCATCACGTGACCACGGGGGGATGCTACAGAGGTCAAAAAGGGGCAAATGTCCCTTTTTTCAGCACCGCTGTAACTTCAAACGGTCACTAAATGAAACCGTTGTAAGGACTGCCTGTAAGCATTTGGCTTCACTGGAAGAAACGGCAACAAATGAGTGCCGCTTTAACCCAGTTAATTTTGCAGGAGTTCTCAAGGTCAGAAAGAGGATTGACTAAAAATTGAGACAGACTAATTAGGACATTGACTGTCTATAAAGACTGAATATCAAAATAACCAGGATATGTATAAGCTAAAAATTATGGATCAATGTAAGAAGGTTATTTTTATTGAATTGATGTAATAAGAATTGTATTAGTTTAAACATGAGACAGGAAATACTAAGGGGAAAAGAGAGGAGATATTTAATAGGATAACTTGTACTAAACATACTTATATGTCACTGAATTATCGATTAACTGTAAAATTAGAAAATCAACAAAACATTTTTTTTTAAAAAAGACTGACTGATCAAAATACCTGGCGGGAAACGCCGGAGGGATCGCCTCACATCCAGCAGGACTTGCTGATAATCTTTGCTTTTTTCTCGAAGTTCTTCCTCTAAGAGAAACGGCAAAGGGTTTTATAATTAATGATAATTAAAAAAGAAAAAACGGGAAGCTAAGAAAAGACATTGTTAAACCGTGAAGATTTCAAGCCAGACAGGCTTTGCCTTCTGATAGCTCTTAAAAAGCAGAAAAGCATAATATCATAAACCAGGGATCTTCAAACTTGACCCTTTCATGACTGGTGGACTTCAACTCCCAGAATTCCTCAGCCAGACTATCTTCAGGGTTACTAGGGAGTGGGTTTTACTCTTTGTTTATACGCTAGCTGTCAAACTCGCAACGTCACGTGACGTGTTGCGACGTATCGCGACTTTTTGGCCATTGCTGACAATGGGATGGGAGCGGTTTCGCTATGATGCATCCGGCCCGTGGACCGGCATTTTGACACCCCTGCATTAGTGGCTTGCCCTGTCCGTGTTGGTAGGAGTGTTTTTGGCGGTTCCTTGAATAGGTTGTTGTTTACTGTTGGCTTGTTGGTCTGCGTTGGCAGTTCCTTGATTGTCCCAACCCACTCCTTTGCAACACCGATGATGTTATCTAGCTGGGTCATGAAATGTCTTCAAGAAAACAACCAGGCTCCGAGAGCACCAGGGATCACCACAGTCTTCTTCCTCTTCCTCCTCCTCCTCCTCCTCCTCCCCACATACCCCATTCTCTTCTAACACTGAAGATGTTACCTCGCTGGGTCATGAAATGTCTACAAGAAAACAACCAAGCTCAGAGAGCACCAAGGACCCCACAGTCTTCTCCTTCTCCTCCTCCTCCTTCTTCCTCCTCCTCCTCCTCCTCACATACCCCATTCTCTTCTAACACTGAAGATGTTACCTCGCTGGGTCATGAAATGTCTACAAGAAAACAACCAAGCTCAGATAGCACCAAGGACACCAGAGTCTCCTTCTTCTCCTTCTTCTTCTTCCTTCTCCTCACATACCCCATTCTCTTCTAACACTGAAGATGTTACCTCGCTGGGTCATGAAATGTCTTCAAGAAAACAACCAAGCTCAGAGAGCACCAAGGACCCCACAGTCTTCTCCTTCTCCTCCTCCTCCTTCTTCCTCCTCCTCCTCCTCCTCACATACCCCATTCTCTTCTAACACTGAAGATGTTACCTAGCTGGGTTATGAAATGTCTTCAAGAAAACAACCAAGCTCAGACAGCACCAAGGACTCCACAGTCTTCTTCTTCTCCCTCCTCCTCCTCCTCCTCCTCCTCCTCCTCCTCCTCCTCCTCCTCCTCCTCCTCCACCACCACCACCACCACCACCACCACCACCTCACATAACCCATTCTCTTCTAACACTGATGATGTTACCTAGCTGGGTCATGAAATGTCTTTAAGAAAACAACCAAGCTCAGAGAGCTCCAACGACTCCACAGTCTTCTTCCTCCTCCTCCTCCTCCTCCTCCTTTTCTCCCCCCCCCTTCTAGCACTGACGATGATGTTGCCCAGTCAGGTAATAAAAGAAGAAAACAGCCAGGCTCAGGGAACACCAAGGACCCCCAAATCCACAGATGGAATGTCCTTGGTGCAGAGGGACCCGCGCCCCGCCCCCGTGCTCCGAGGCTGGGCAGGTGGAGAGAACGGGAGGGCTTCACCTGGCGGAGGCAGCAGGTCGTCGGTGTTGACATTGAGAAGTCTGGGCCATACTTTGCAGCGGATCTCGTCCCTGAGAAGGCCACCTTCGCTGATCGCCATGCGCCGGAGGGGGGCAATGTCGACAGGCTCGCTGTCCAGGACCTGGTAGATCTCGGCTACCTTTCTCTGTTGCTTGGCCTCCGAGTCTGAAAGAGACAGAAACCCCCATCAGTCCAGGGCCTGTTCTCCCACCAAGCAGAGCAGGCCTCAACCAGCCTGGCATAGTGCCAGCCTAGGAGACGGTGAGTTCTAGTCCCGCCTTAGGCATGAAAGCCGGCTGGGTGACTTTGGTCCAATCACCAGGAGAAGTTGAGTTCTAGTCCTGTCTTAGGCATGAAAGCTGGCTGGGTGACTTTGGACCAATCACCAGGAGACGGTGACTTCTAGTCCCGCCTTAGAAATGAAAGCCGGCTGGGTGACTTTGGGCCAATCACCAGGAGACGGTGAGTTCTAGTCCTGCCTTAGGCATATGAAAGCTGGCTGGGTGACTTTCAGCTAATCACCAGGAGACGGTGAGTTCTAGTCCCGCCTTAGGCATGAAGGCTGCTGGGTGACTTTGGGCCAATCACCAGGAGACGGTGAGTTCTAGTCCTGCCTTAGGCATATGAAAGCTGGCTGGGTGACTTTCAGCTAATCACCAGGAGACGGTGAGTTCTAGTCCCGCCTTAGGCATGAAGGCTGCTGGGTGACTTTGGGCCAATCACCAGGAGACGGTGAGTTCTAGTCCCGCCTTAGGCATGAAAGCCGGCTGGGTGACTTTGGACCAATCACCAGGAGACGGTGACTTCTAGTCCCGCCTTAGAAATGAAAGCTGGCTGGGTGACCTTAGGCCAATCACCAGGAGGCTGGGAGTTCTAGTCCCGCCTTAGGCATGAAAGCCGGCTGGGTGACTTTGGTCCAATCAACAGGAGACGGTGAGTTCGAGTCCCGCCTTAGGCATGAAAGCCGGCTGGGTGACTTTGGACCAATCACCAGGAGACGGTGACTTCTAGTCCCGCCTTAGAAATGAAAGCTGGCTGGGTGACCTTAGGCCAATCACCAGGAGGCTGGGAGTTCTAGTCCCGCCTTAAGTACAAAAGCAAGCTGGGTGACTTTAGCCCATTTATTCTCTCTCAGCCCAACCCACCTCACAACGATTGTTGTGGTAAAACAGGAGGAAGAAGGAATATTAGGCCCGCTGGCCACCTTGAGTTATTTATAAAGTAATAAAGGCAGGATAAAAATCTAATAATAAATAAACTCAGCATCAAAAGCTGAGAAGGGAAGTCCAACAGACATCAGTCTAGCCAGCTGACCAGAATTTTGAAAATGAAGTCACGTCCTTGCTTCATAACCTGAACACCGACTGATAAAACAATTGTTAGAACAATTAACCCGTGGAACTCCTTGCCTCCAGAAGCGGTGAATGCTCCAACCCTGGAAGTTTTTAAGAAGAGACTGGACGGCCATTTGTCTGAAATGGTCTAGGGTTTTCTGCCTGAGCAGGGGGTTGGACTAGATGGCCTCCAAGTTCCCTTCCAACTTTTATTATTATTATTATGGATCATCGCACAGTCAGCCAGATGTTCAGACTGGGTTTGGCATTTTGTCTACCTATCGAGTCCTTACCCAGGACCTGGGATAGGCAGATGTGGATGTTTGATGGTATTACAGATATCGTCGCAGGATGGAAGCAGTTCCTAATAAGGCCGCCTTTTGCAATTGACTAATAGCGAATTTGTCAATGCCGATGATGGTGTTCAAGTGGTGTTCCAGTTGTTTTGGGTTTACACCCAAGGAGCCTATGACTATTGGTACTATTATTATTATTATTATTATTACAACATTCTCACTTCAGAAGGCTGTTTTAAAAAGATAACACCTACCTTTTTTTGAAAAAACAAAACAAAAAACCATAGAGATTTATATTGAAAGGTAAAGAAGCCAAAGAAATACTGAGAGGTAAAAAGCATGCAATGCACCCAGAAATTTTGCATTTAAAGCACGAGTGCCCTACATATGTAATCAAAGCCAGGAAAAAGTTGGGTAATCCTTATTTATTTCACATGCCTCATTATTCACCAGGACAAGGAAGAAACTACTGGGGGGGGGAGCCACACAATCACCTCAGTGAGTTCAGAACAAAATAGCGCAACCTGTTTGTTTTTAAAGCCTTCTTTCATAACAGCCCTTTTACCTTACTGCATATCTAAGGGGCGGTTTTAGAATTCGTGCTCAAATAATCTGATTGGGAGACTTTAATTTGGTGACGCTCTCGTCATTCGGCTTGGATCAAACACATCCTACTGACCGAAACGATCTGAATTGTTGATATGGGAAAAAAAGGATCTTGGATTATGCAACTGAAGAGCTTGCCTGGCTGCGTGTGGCACATTTTACAGGTTGTAAATTTTACTGGCTTTAAAGAATATTCTGCTGAAACACATCTAGATACCTGGCCCAAATACGTTTCAGAATTAGTAGGCTAAACAAAGGGGAAAAAATAATTATAATAATAATAAAGTCTAATGGTCTCTAATGCAAATTATAAAAGGGCAAATAGAGAAGAGCAACAAAGATGATCAGGGGACTGGAGGCTAAAACATACAAGGAACAGTTGCTGGAATTGGGTCTGTCTAGTTTAACGAAGAGAAGGACGGGGGGGGGGACAGGATAGCAGTGTTCCAATATCTCAGGGGCTGCCCCAAAGAAGAGGGAGTCAAGCTCTTCTCCAAAGCCCCTGAAGGCAGGACAAGAAGCAACGGATGGAAACTCATCAAGGAGAGAAGCAACCTAGAACTAAAAACCTAGAACTAAGGAGAACAATTAACCAGTGGAACAACAATTAACCAGTGGAACAACCTGCCTCCAGAAGTGGTGAATGCTCCAACACTGGAAGTTTTCAAGAAGAGACTGGACAGCCATTTGTTCGAAATGGTGTAGGGTTTCCTGCCTGAGCAGAGGGGGTTGGACTAGATGACCTCCAAGGTCCGTTCCAACAACTACTACTACTACTACTACTACTACTACTACTACTACTACTTCTTCTTCTTCTTCTTCTTCTTCTTCTTCTTCTTCTTCTTCTTCTTCTTCTTCTTCTTCTTCTTCTTCTTCTTCTTCTTCTTCTTCTTCTTATTATTATTATTATTATTATTATTATTATTTTCTCTTTTATTGTGTTAAGCACCAATTTTTTTTAAAAAGTGACAGATGTAAAAAGACAAGGAACTTCAGAGATCCTCTAGTCAAACCAAATCGTTATTTGTTACATAGATCAGCCTAATCCATCCCTGATAGGCAGAAATCCAGCCTCTCTTTAAACTAGTGGTTTTTCAACTTGGGGGCTTAAAGACAGGTGGACTTCAGCTCCCAGAATTCCTACCGTCGTAACTCAGTTTTTTCAGCCCTGTCACCATTTCAAAGGGTCACTAAATGAATGGTTGTTAAGTCGAGGACTACAGGACTTACAACAGCTCACTTAGAGACCTTCCAAGTTACAACGGCACCGAAAATGAGCCGAGGTGGCGCAGCAGTTAGGGTGCAGTACTGCAGGCCACTTTAGCTGACTGTGTTCAGCAGGTCAGCGGTTCAAATCTCACCGGCTCAAGGTTGACTCAGCCTTCCATCCTTCCGGGGTAGGTAAAATGAGGACCCAGATTGTTGGGGGCAATGTAAATATATATATACATTGCTTACTGGTGTACACCGCTTAGAGAGTGCTTGCACTTAAAGCGGTATATAAGTCTCATAAATAAATAAATAAATAAAATAAAAGAAGTGACCCAGGATCACGTGATCAACATCCAGACGCTCGGCGAGCGGTTTCGTATTTATGACGGTTGCAAGTTGTCCCAGGGGGGGTGTCACGCGATCCCCCCCTTTTGGCGACCTTCTGACGAGCGAAGTCAACGGGGAGGCTGGATTCACTTAACCACCGTGTTGCTAACTGAAGCACTGCAAGGATTCGTTTAAGAACCCTGGCGAGAAAGGTCATCAAACGGAGCAAAAAAAACCTCCCTTAACAAACGTCTCGCTGAGCATTGGAAAATTTTGGGGGCTCCGCTGTGGTCGTTAAGCCGAGGACTCCCTGGATCTGTTCAGCGCAAGGCAGCTGCGGGAAAGGGCAGGCTCAGAGGCCAAAATGGAGTTTGACTGACATGTGTTTTGTTTTTTTTCTTTTTTTTTCCTCTCTTTTTTCTGACATTTCGTTTTGGACACCTTCCTTCTCCTCCTCCTCCACCTTGAACAAGGCTTGTCTGTCAACTGTCTGAACGGACCCTTTACATTCGGCTTCACCAACCTCAGCTGCAGAATCCAAGGTTTGTCTGTTCGGCTATCCGAGCAAAGCAGGGAACCATCGGCTTCGTTGATTAAAAAAAAAAAACAGAACCAGACTTCCAGTGCGGGAAGTCCTCGACTTACAACAGTTCCTTTAGTGACCGCTCAAAGTTACGACGGCACAGGGAAAAAAAGGGACTTGGGACCTGTTTTCACCCTTACGACCTTTGCAGCAGTGATTAAAATTCGGACGCTTGGGAACCGACTCGTATTTATGACGGTGGCCGTGTCCCGTGTGTGTGTGTGTGTGTGTGTCACGTGATCCCCTTTTGCGACCTTCTGAAAAGCAAAGTCAACGAGGGAAGCTGGATTCACTTAAGGACCATGTAACTAACTTATCGGTTGTAGTGACTCCCTTAAGTGGCGAGGAAGGTCGTGAAATGGGGCAAAAATTCGCTTAACGGCTGCCTCGCTTAGCGACAGAAATGTTGGGCTCAGTTGTGGCCACTGGTCAAGGACTACCTGTATAAGGAGCCCTGTAATAAATAAGGATAAACAATAAGAGCCTGGATCTCCTTTCCATGACTTAAAACGATTCAAAAGACACTTCATGTATTGCGGTTGCAGAATTCAGATTTTTTTTTTTTTTCTGGCTGCAGAATCCGAGGCACAGATTCCCAGTGGCTCCTGCTCAACCTTTGGGTGCTGATGTCTGACTTGATTCTCCCTTTCGGTCAGAATACAGCTGGAAGGCACCTTGGAGGTCATCTAGTCCAACCCCCTGCTCAAGCAGGAGATGCCATACTATTTCAGACAGGGGGCTGTCCAGTCTTTTTTTTTAAAAAAAAAGTTTTATTGTTTTTTAACAGAGTTCAATAATAGTTATTCA